TTGTTGTTAGTTCAGCATGAGTATGGAGTACAGAGATACCTCCTGGTTAGCTTAGAGGCACTTTGTATTGCGTTGTGTTTAACTCTCTCAGCAATTTGAAATGAAACTATTGATTGTACTCTGTGATACTGTGAAGAGTTGTAGGACTGGTTTTGTGGAATGTTCTAGAACTGTGAAATGTTACTCTTGGTAAAATAAATTTTATAAAGCTATCATCAATTCTGTATACATACAGTCTGTTACGAACCTGTACGCACACAACAGAATCTCTTTAAATTTTAAGATCAACTTCTGCTATCTGATTCCCTCAAGTGGGGGAAATTTAATCTCCGAGGACAAGCCGTGCAAATTTAAATTTTCAATTTAAGTTTTAAATAAAAATATATGTTGAAACCTTCTTAAGACTCTGTCATAATTTCATAGACGAAGCGATAACCCGCTTTGTTGTCTTAGCAGGGTTTAACAATGGAAAACTATCAAATAAAATGTGTTCATAATGAATAGCTCCTTGAAGCTTCTTTAGAGTGCTAGGTGGCGAATGCAGTAAGCAAATTAGCGTTCTAGTGTGTTCCTCGCATGTTCGGAATTAAATCCGAAGCATATGCGGACCAGTCCGTCTGTTGAATTTCTTCGCCCTCAACATAATCGGCCACTAGTGTAGTGCGATATGGAAAAGCATTGTCATCCATTAAGAGGAAATTATTACCGATTGCACACATAAGCAACTTGACATTAAGGTAAAAAAAACCTCTGTATATTTCAGCATTCGTAGTTGCACCGGTAAAAATGTGTAGGTTAGTACGACTATTCAAAATGACGCCCGCCAATACCATGCTTCCACCACCTTTATACCGATGTCTGTATATATTACTAGTATTTTTAAGCCATTTTCAGATTTCTGACATGAAGCTTTTGGTTACCTATAGGTCTATGTAGACTTGTGAAGTGTCTGCCGTGCTTTATATTCTCTCAGTTTTATGCCATTTATCACAAGCCACCATATGCCTTTCTAACGCATTGTTCCACCTTCCCCACGCCAGCTTTTTATACAATATTATTCAAATAATATTGAAATTAAAATTAAAAAAAATCACTTTGCACTCATTTCTGCATGTGCCAAAAGAGGGGGAACGAAAGTTTGCATGTTTGTCAGAAGACCGGCTGTTTGCGTCCCGCTCACATCTACGGACAGGAGAGTACAATTAGCATGGTGCAGGCAGTATAGTGATTGGAGTACGGAGCAATGGGCGCCCGTTCTGTTCACCGACGAGTCCTGTTTTAACCTAAACACGAGTCTCGCCGTACTTTCATATGGAGAGAGCCAGGGACCCGCTACCTACCCTTTAATGTCCGCGAAATGAACAATTATGGTGGCGGCGGTGTAATGTTTTGGGAAGGCATCATGTTGAATGGCCGCAAACCTCTCCACGTCTTTGCCAGAGGCTCTGTGACTGGTGTGAGGTATAGGGATGAGGTCTTGGAGCCCTATGTTTGCCTTTCCCGGGGTGCAGTGGGCCACGAGTTCATCTTACAGGACGATAATGCGAGGCCACATAGAGCTCTTCTGGTCGGCGAATTTCTCGAGAGTGAGGATGTTCGCCGGATGGATTGGCCAGCCAGGTCTTCAGATCTCAACCCTATAGAGCATGTCTGGAATGATCTGATGAGGGCAATTGCAACTCGCAACCCCCCTTCGAGAACCATCCAGGAACTGAAAACAGCGTTTCTGAGTGAGTGGGGCCATTTACCATAGGTACTGATAAACTGCCTTATTTCCAGTATGACATCACGCTGCGAGGCCTGTATGGCTGTAAGAGGGGACCATACCCCCTATTAAGCCATTTCTTTTGTGTCTTCTGTAACCGCTGTTTCAGACCTTCAGACTCCCATGAGTGTTACACACGAACATGTGTATCTATTATAACTGTTGAATGTTTATTTTGTTTGTATTATATCAACCTATGTTAACACCAAATTTTATTAAAATCTGTCCAGTAGTTCTGGAGATCGTAGATATAATATGAAAATTCTCTTAATTTATTTCACCAGTGTATTACAAGGAAACACAACATTTAAAAATTGAATATTGTTCGCGATATGCAGGAAAATCCCTGAATGTAGACGGGAATTAAAAGAAAACAGCTGATTCTAGTAAAAATATTATTCGTCATGCTCGTCACCCTTGACAACTAAAAGCCAAGGTCGAAATCATATTTTTCATTCAGTGAGGATTCCGTTACTGTATAGCACCGCCCCCTTTGCATGTGCGTTTTGTATATTTATTTTTAACACTCGCACGCAAGTTTCCATTTTGTTAGGATAAGTAGATTTCATTTTATTCTATTTTAATATTTAATTTTCATTACGTCGTTTCTGCTACAAATTTTTCTGGGGGAAAAAATTGCAAGTATCTTATTACAGTTTTTACCTCCTTTCTCTTTACTGTCTCTCGCTAATTATTTTGCAGAGGCTCCAAAAGCACAATAAGTTGACGAGTACGTTGTTGATATATCATACCAATATAATCTCTTATACATATATATGCTGCGTATCATATATCAGCGGTTCTTAATTGTATTCACATTTTAGTGGTTTTATACCCGTTAATTTTGTGCTTTTCCTACGTGAAAAGTAAGGAAAGATTACCATGCATACAAGCTATTTCTTATCTTCTGCCAGTTATGACAATCTGTAGTTCCAAACTTTGCAAAAGTAATTAAGGGAATAAAGTAACTCAGGAAATAAGAATAAAAAATTATACCTATGACATTTTTTAAGAAAGTATATTACTGTTTTTATGAGATGTGCAGTGCTTTCTTTGCCATAAAATGCAATCTAAATGGCAAATGGGTTTTGCATAACTAGTGGCAAAGAAATAATTATCGATTTTTATATTTTATGAACTCCAGACTAGACAGTGTCTTTCTCCATAAATATGTCATATTCAAAAGGGAAGTAATTACTTAACAGTTTTTTATGTCCTTACTGATTTAATTTTTATACCATTCCATTAATATTTTCCTCATGCACAACCAAAAGTCAGGACGTTTATTCTTTGAAAATATCAGGAATTTCCTACCGATGAAATGGTTCTCCTTGCCGTTCATTTTCTAATTGGGGGGGGGGGCAAAATCTGTAAGCTTCCTCCCGCGTTTTTGATGCATAAAAAGTTATGAATAATAATGTCATGATATTCATTCCATTCTCAGAGGTTTCTAAAAAGTCGAACTGAGTCGAGAATAACTTAGAAACATTATTTCCAAGTCGGGCAATTAAATCTTTCGATTATCGTATTTATTTTGTCTTAGACTTAAATATGTATGCCATAGTTCCTTCTGAGATTAACTCATTTCGTTCAAAGATACTAAAGATGCTGTTTTACACACCAGGAAAAACAATTAAAGTGATTTTTCCAGTGAAATTTAGGCTCTGAAATTAGAATAATTGGGACTGCATGATATTTTTAATACACTTTTAAAAATGATATCAAATAGCGAATCAAATTTTTGTATGAAAAATCGTTTGCTCATTTCTGACTTTCGGAACCTAAAGGATACGCAGATAGCATTTTAAAAGTCGTTAACATGCGGCTGATTTAGCTTTTTACTTTATCATTACCACTTTCTGGGAAGGGTGCATCTTATCTCTTCCAGAACGGTAAAACACAGTCTGAATCATGTAGCAACGCAGGATTGGAAACACCATTTTCTTATGGTAAATGATTTTGTTTGGCCACAGTATTCCTCACACATTCTTTCATGATGCTTTCATTTGTAAACTGCCTTCAGAGGAAACAGAATGACTGACCACATGAATATGGAGTGGGCTGATCCTGCGTGTCGGTGCTATTTTCCTTTTGTGTCATTATTATTGCCGTTTATATATGTTTTGTTAAATATTTAGTAAATAAAATTTAAAATATAGTTAAAACATTTTTCATTTTGCTTTGAAAAAATCGGCCCGTTACCAGATTTTAGACTGGTTATTCGGCTCGCATGCAGTTTGAGCTGAGATCTTTGCCATATATGATCTCATGCCGAAATGAAATGCAAGGTGTTATGTCTTTTTACAAGCTGCCTTCTTTTTAATACCATGGGATTTTCTAGATCTCATTCAACTGTTCCCTGAAAGAGGGAAAAATAATATTGCGAAGGGCGAGAAACTGGTAACATTTTGGCACCGTTTTTTTACTCATAAATTACCTCGGCGGTATAGATTTAGCAAGAAGTGACCAACCTTTTTGATTTAGTATTTTGTAATACGAACTGTGAGTAATTAATTGGATAAAATATATTATTTTCAGCTTATTGTTATGACTTTTGAAATGTGAATACTGACGAAAATAGAATTTCTAAGCTTTTCAAGCAATCTATGCAAGAACATTAAACAAGAGAAAAGATTAAGTAATTTTGAAAATTTCTTTGATTAAAATATACGCGTAATAATCATTATACTTGTATTTAGCGGACATTTTTATGGAAATGAGCAAACTTCAGTAGAAGTGTGATATCGTAAATGTTAATAACTTTTCGTCAGTTGTAATAACTGCTGGCAACTTCCTAGCTTTTTCAAATTTATTTTTCATCTTTTATCAAAAATGTATGCTAAATACTATTAGCAGTAAAACGGGTGGTAAATATTGTTAAACTAATACACTAATGATGCTCTTTTAACGCGAGGGAGGAAACAATGGATTTTCTTCCTTTGTTGTTGAAATCAAATATGACGTATTATAAGTTATTTGTTTATTTGTTGAAATAAAGTATGTCATATCTAGATACTGCATTCGTATTTAAAGATTTCCAAAGTAATTGTTTGTGGTCAGTATCTCTTTTTTTTACTTTAAACAAATAATATATTAATATTATTTGTTTAAAATAATAAAAAAGAGAGGATACGATTGATTTCAAAGTATTCTCTTAAAATTCTAATAATATCTATAATACAGTTCTCAAGATTTTGTGATTTAGAAGAAAAAAAATAAAAACTTTTGCCTGTAGGTCCGATTCAGTATGCTAGAGATATACAATGAAATTGTTCGAGATTTGCTAAATCCTGGCGGAGATCGGAAAAGAGGTCTAAAAGTTCGAGAGCATCCTAAAAAAGGATTCTACGGTGAGTACTAATAATTTACTCTTCTTCATGACATAAAATACAGAGCAAAGGCCTAGCGTAACATTACAGACCAACACAACATTTCCGTTGTACGAAAGAACAACTTTTTTTCGAAGAGCTGTTGAAAAACAAAAGCTCTCCTTATATACTCTTTGCGACATCTTTGTATCGAACTATTAGTATTATAACTTTGTTGTCGTTATCTTGTCTGAGGAGTCAGTGCAGAGGAGTCAAATAGGACCTAAAGTATCCAGATTAGCCGCAGCAACATCAATAATCTTCGAAGAATAGAGGAATTGGCGTGAGGGAGCTATATCTATACTGAAGAGCTTGGTCAAAATAGCAGGACAGTCGAAGAGATGGTCTGGAGAAAGTTGGATATCAGTAAGGACAGCTATTATAATTTTGATGGCCATCAGAGGATATCTTCATTCATTTGAAGTGTTTTGTCGTCAGTCTGGCTATGGTATTGGAAATGACACGTATACAATTTAGGGCAGGAATGGAATTCTTCTTGCTTGACTGGGAGGTAAATTTTCGCCTGGCTATCGCGTCAGCATCGGTAAGGGTTAAGCTATTGGGAAAGTTGAGAACTATTTCGGACGTCTTTGGCAAGGCCATCAGCCTGCTCATTTCCGTAAACATCAACATGCGTTGGTATCCACTGCAGTATGCAGGTCTTTGGGCTGCAGTAGTTTTGTTCATGAGCATGATAAATTCTTGGGTAAGTTGAGAGTTGCCCCTTAGGATGGCTTAAAGCGCAGATTTAGAAGAAGAGGCCATTGGCCATTGGAGGCCTGGATTGCCTTAAGGTAGATATCTAAAGCCTTTTTGATGGCCACGAGCTCTCAGGTATAATTTGAGACAATTTTGCCAACAGGTATTTTATGGGATTCTGATTCACCATTAGCAAGAATGAAATAGATGCCAACGCCACCCCTGTCGTGGTCTGAGTCGGAGAAACTATCTGTATATGGAATAGCTAGATTTTGGGCCGAATTTGAAAATTCATTGATGGTGTGGATGCCTTTTTCTCCTTGATTATTGCTGCTGGCTCTTTTTTGTTACAAGGCTGCAAGAGGTTTAAATTTACAATTGCTTACGGGAGGGACTGATAGAGAGAAGAGGTTCTTTGACAATATCAATATCTTCTTGCTGTAAGTTGATTTCTCTCCTGATTTCATTGTCGAATTGTAGGATGGAGGACCGTTTTAATCTATTTTTTCCTTTTCGCGCCTTGAAAGTTTTGCTGCAGATATGAAGATCTGTAAGGCTATAAGGTATTTCTCCCGCCTTTTTAGCATGCCTTCGTGGTATAGTGATCTGCAAACTCAGCGCGTAATTGAGAGATCCGCGGTTCGATTCCCGGCGAAGGCGTTGCATATTTTTTATCTTGCCTGCTTCCAAAAATACCTAATGTCTCTACAGTGGCGCCCGAACTAAAAGGGTGTTGGATGATGATTCTCCACACCCAGTATTTTGCGATTGGGTCCTCTAATAACCCCAGTCGCTCTTTAAAACGGGGAGTATATAAAGTATTTCTCCCGCCTTCTTAGCGAGCCTTCGTGGTGTAGTGGTCAGCACACTCAGCGCGTAATTGAGAGGTCCGTGGTTCGATTCCCGGCGAAGGCGGTTGCTAATTTTTCATCTTGCCTGCTTCCAAAATTACCTAATGTCTCTACAAGGCTTCTAATTTTGTTTGTGAACTTGGTGATGGCCAATTTTCTTTTTTCTACGAGGGTTAGGCCGCCTTCAGTTTCTGCTTTGTTGTTATTTGTAGATGAGACGGCAATAATGATCTTAGATGCTCTGTACTGGACAGTGTCGATCTTACCATTTGCAGAAGATGAGACTTGGGCCCAAATGGGGGCAGCATATTCTAGAATCGGCCTAACAAGCGAAATATAACTATTAAGAAGAGTTGTTGGTCGTGATCCCCAAGATGCACCACATAATCTCTTAAGAATATTTGTTAGAGATTTGTTCAAGGTGTGTAAATCTCAGCTCATCATTAAGAGTTACGCCAAGGTACTTGGTATGTGTGGTTCGTTTTATTACAGAACCACATAGATTTATAGTAGGTTGAAAGGGCTATCTGCTTTTCCTGCTGGTTGAGAAAATACAATAATTAGTTTTGTCAGGATTTAAAGTGAGCTTGATCTCTTTTGACTAATCTTCAATGCCTTGCATACAAGGATTGAGAATCCTTTGTGACTCATAAATGTCAGAGTGAGTATGCCATACTGCAATATCATCCGCATAACACGCAACTCTTGCCTCCTTGCTGATGTGAGAGTCGATGGTATTAAGGTAGAGGAGGAAGAGAAGAGGACTTAACACACAGTCCTGTGGGACTCCTGCCCAAGTGCGATGGGTTTTTGAAAACGTACCATAAACTTTGAAGTTTCTTCCTCTCAAAAAGTCATTTATTTAGATGAAAGAGTTACCCAGAAAACCTACTCTACTCTATCAATTAATCATAAAGTTAAACTGCATTATTGATATGTGAAAAGTACGTAGTATATGGGCTTTACCTGCTCCTACGCAAAAATCAGGCATGGCCAAACAGTGCTTTGCGAGATCTATGCGCCTCGTGATGTAACAATCACTAGTTTCTGTTTTGAAATATAATTTGAAATGGAAATATTACTTTTTAACTATCAGTAATTTAATGTTTTAATTACATTAAGTGCATAATAATTTTAAGAAATTTTAAACTGTGCATTAATCGTAATACATGTATACTGACTTTCATTGAAAAGATAAAACTTATGATACAGTTTTACTCTAACAAATGAGGTAATTAAATGATTCAAGACCATCCTATGCCATATTTCCTCGCGTTCCCCCTATTTTCCACTAATTTTATCGTCCAAAAATAGAGAGGGGAAAATTATGCGAATAACATGGGTTACGAAGGACGCGGTTACAGTAAGACCATAACAAATAAAAACTAGTCATAAGTAACCTAGAGGTAACTATCACAGTATTATTTCTTTAACCATTCCGCGACAGAAAGCGCAAACGCGTGCTTATAGCTGAGGCCGGCTGTCTATTTCACGAGTGTTTGCCCAGGGCCGGAGGTTTTTTTTGCTATTAAGACTAAATCCATGAAGAAGTAAGAAATGCACTCATTTCCCGCCCGGCACGCTGGCGTGCCATAGATTTTTCTCGTGATATAAACATTCACGTTTCTATATACCTTCGAATCCTTTTTTGTATTCTTTTTTTGCTACTATGTAGTCTTTTAGGGTTACTACGTGAGGTTCTGTTACGTTTTGCATTACTTTCATTTCGGAACGCCTTCAGTTTACTATGTACCCTAAATGACTTCAGTTTATTATGTCGAGCAAGCGTTTTTTTATCAGACGAATGATAAATGACCCAATTAGTGATATGAATGAGAGTCGTGATTAATTTCCCAAAGAGTTAGAAAGCGGTATTTCCAGTGATTCTCATATGGACATTTTGTCAGACTGAGCTCACTGAGTGTCCATCTTCCAGTTCACGTGAAAGATTTTAATTTTGGAAAGAGACTTTCTTGTATTTTTTTACTAATTTAAAAGTTTGTTAATTTATTTTATCAATTGAAACTTTGGAATAATTTGAATATCGCTTCCGAAAATTATTTCTCAAAGTGAGGAATTATTTTATATGTTTTCATGTAAAGTAAAGAATAAAGATATTACATATATGATAGCTTAAAGAGCCGTCATAAAGCATGACATTCTGTAACATTCCTTTCCCCTTTCGTTTATATAATCAAAAACCACGTGTATCTGAGTCATGCTATTCTCATTTTGAGTAGAAATCTACATGTATCTGAAACTATGCGGACGTACAATGCCATCTTGTGCCAAAAGTTATAGTTTTTGATACATTCCAGGACACTGGCACAAATGTATGATGGTCGGGGGTGAACGAGAAAACGCTCTGGTACGCCAGTGTGTCAGACGGGAAATGAGTGCGTTTCTTGCTGCCACGTATACGTGACAGTCACGCGAAAGGGTTAAAAGAAGCTTGCATTCCAATAAGAATACATGGTAATATTAACATTACAGTATCTAATGAGCTATTTGCATCTTTAATCCCCTGTAACACGTTTTTATATTTGTCTCAGCTACTCATTGGGCCTCAAATCATGCATAAATATTTAGAGAAGTTGAATGTATAGCTAAATCATCGAAATCGTAGACTGAATGTCAGTTCACATTTGTTTCGCTGTGATGGGCTGATTCTTACATTAGGCGAGCATAAAGTTCAACATTTAGAAGGGATAGGTTCGGCGTAATACTTTTTTTCATAAAACTGCGTTATTCTTCTCTCAAATGAAAAGCTTTTTACGATGATGTAAAAACCATAATAACTACTTTCGTTTTAACAGTTTAATCGTATTAAAATATGTCTAAAAGTTACAGTCAGAAAATAAAAATTAAATAAGTACATAAATGCAAATTTGAAAATGAGAAGACAATTCTTAATTTTCTATCCGAAAAAGAATACTCAATACGTCGCAAAAAATTTGAAACCTTTTATATAGCCTAGAACGTTTCTAAACGCAGAATTATTTTATACGTTAAGATATAAATGACAAACTATTACAAATGAATTAAATGAAACAAATCTTTGTGAATTTGCTTCAACTGTTTTTTAAATAATAATAATAATAATAATAATAATAATAATAATAATAATAAAACCTTTTTCTACTTTTAAAGTTACATAGAAATCTACGCGGCTTTTGGAAAATCTAATTGCGGCTTCCAAATACTCCTAAATTTTATTATATGGTTCCTATTGACGTGAAGTTTGGCCAAATCTGATACAAATATTCACTGTTATTGAAAGTAATTATTAATATATACTATACGGGTAAATAAATTTACAGAATGGAGACAACTACTGTTTAAAACAATATTTCAAATTTAAATGAGCTAAAATATTGAACAAAATCTTTATTCGCAGATTTCTCTAATTAATTTGCATTCTATCTTAGCTTATACTTATTTCCGAAAATGTTTGTATGTATTTTCAAACACTCTCAGATCTCTCTCGTTTTAGCGGAGGGTTTGAAACTTTCAATGGTGACAAGTTATAAAGAGATCGAGAGAAAATTAAACGAAGGTACTACCAACAGGAGTATCGCTTCTACAAACATGAATGCAACAAGCAGGTGAGAGCTTATTCAGTTTTCATATGAAATGCGTTAAATCTTAGTGTTTTTGATTCAAGTTTTGTAAACATTTTATTTTAAGAATATATGCATTCTGTTTAATAATTCATTTAAGTAAGTTTTTTGCATGGTAGTCTCAATAGAAACGATATTTTCTTTTTCTATCTTTCTCTCTCTCTCTCTTTCTCCCTCTCCTTTTTTTTTTTTTTTTGGTAATAGTTTTTATGAAACTTCTGGATATATTGCGATCTAATGTGGACACTACTAAATGAAGAGGGAAGCTTCATTTTATCATTCTTAGTGACAGCTTTGTTTTTTCCCTTACTTGGTATTTTCATTCAGTTGATAGCTAGTGGGACAGGTATTTTGTATTTTTGATAGCTTTTTTAGCTTTTTTACTAATGCCTTTTTAAACATAGTGACAGAAATAAATAAGGATTGGAAAAAATACCTTTTTAAGTATATATTGTTGCGTTTTTCTTTTCCTAACACCAGTTGTTACGTTATTTCACGTTCGTACGGGGCTCGTAGATTTGGAGTGAATAACAACGACACTTGATGAAGTATCGAAACATACTTTTACCAATATTAATCAGATAGCTCCAAAATCATTTTTACAGTCGAACTGTTATAAACACGCTGACAGGTTCAGCGACACAACCTTCACACTGTCAGGCAATAACGGTGGAAACAGCTTCACTGCAAAGCACCCGAAACAACTCCCAACTCTGCTTGGTCGTTCTCGGAACTCCACGTACTCTCGAGACTCTCCACTCGATGCACTCGTCGATACACAAGAATATAGCTCTCGACTCAGCACAGTCTAAGACAAAACTCGACAATGCACTAAAAGATTCTCTAAATGCACTCGACGACCAACTCGGCGCTAGACTTCGAGACACTCGCTCAATGACTATCAGCTCGCTAGACGAGACACACACACTACTGACTGCGGAACAGCAGGGTTTATATAGCTTTCGGCTTGTGTTCGAGAACATTCTGGGCTAAACGGTAAAAATTCGTTCCAGAAGGTTCTCCATCCGTCCATGGTATATCGCCAATTTTGTCGCCAAATGGGCGATTTCTAGCTAAATGTGGCAACACTGCATAACCTTGCCATTTTATGGCAACCCTAAAACTGCTTTGCGGGGAAGCCATCTTACCGCGCCTGTATATTTCGTAACAATACAGTTATATTATATTTTATTCTAAATGTTAGATTCTTAAATACTCCTCTTAACTATGCCACTTCTCATAAAAAATAATGCCACCATATGCATCGTTCTTAATAGGTAAAAGTAACGGAAACGCTTTAAATTGCTCTTTCACATACCGGACAATTTTGTTGTAGTATTGTATGAAGTGTAAATTTGAATCGTTTCAGGCAATATTTGAGGATAATAATTTATGTTTATTCTAGCATAAATTAGAGGATTATGTAATACACCTATTTTAAAGAACATTAAACATCTCGAAATATATGTTTTTATATTAATAATAAGCGGTAGTACTTAAAATAGGGCCACCCAGACGGTGTAGTGCTTAGGGGAGTCTGACTGCGATACCGAAGGGCCCGGGTTCGAGTCCTGGAGAAGGCATTGGATGTAAAACTTTCTGTCCCTTCACAGGAGGAGTGTCCAATGCCGTTGTAGGCAAGTGGCCGTCATTGGGAAGAAAAAAGGAACTTAAAATAGAACTTTCAGACATTAACTATAAAGAGTTTACATGAATCTTTAATAACTTGACGTTGAGTTTAATTCATTAGTATTTTTAAATTTTCAGATAATGATCATTGTAGGAGATAATGTTTTAACTTTGCACACTCGGTGCAAGTTAACAAAAATAATACGTAGTTAAAGCATTTTTCTGTTTTTGATTTAACCGTCCGAAAAGTTTTAACTTGTATTATTTTAGTATAATAGTACTGCTCTACAAATTAATAAAACATTTTTCTGTAGTCGTGCTCATACAATTGTTGGGATTCATCTTGTTCAGAAGGGTAAAAAGGGTAATGGACAGGAAACTGCAAAAAGCTCCATCGTTCATCTTGTGGATCTTGCTGGAAGGTAAGCTTTTAGAATAGTCTTTCTGTATATTGCCGTTATTAAAAGTACCTTAGTCATCAAAGGAAAAAAAAATCCTCTGCGTAAGATCGGTCATCTTAGTTCAACGGTGTAAGCTTGTGGGTCCTAGGAGCTACTAAGTAAATTGAAGGAGGTGTATGTACACTCTGTGAAGCCTTTTCTTAATTTTAAGCACTATAATTAATTAGGTTAAGAAGGATTAAGAAAATAATCTCAGTTAAATAAACAGAATTAATTCAATGTGAACCTACTTTGTGATCAAAGAGTAATAAATTAAGTTTACGTGTTTAATTTGTAATAGTAATTGATATTTAAAAACTTAAATAACGTCTGATTAGAAGGAATCCCAATCTTATTTTGCTTAAAATCATCATGTTATATAGTTCTCATGTGTCTAGAAGCTTGTGACAGTCCTGCAGATCTACTAGACTGATAAAGCATTATCGCTGAGTCTGAAGAAATCAGAATGTCGGAAGGCAGTTAAAATAACCTTTTTTTATTTAAGTCTTAAATGAAAAGAAAGACACAGCTTCTACTGAAAACGAACTCCTGCGACCTGCGGATTAACCGAAATTAACATAACAGACACTTAAATTTCAAATGTAAATAACGTAGTCGGAGACTACCCATAAAATAGGCTAATTAAGCTGTCTCAGATATTTACCGGCGGATATTTTAAAGCGTTAGCTAGCAAGACGCTACAGCCGGACAACTTAGGCAGAACTGGCGAGAGTAAGTGATAGTAAGACACGGCTGCTAGAAATTAATGTAAATATTCAAAAACCTCAGCTTAAATGCACAAAAACAACTAATTTTCATTCTGATTAAGACTGCGGAAAGGAGAAGATATCGTAAGTTAGTTATCGTTAGTCAGTAAATTAGAAGTTATCGTTAATTAACATAAAATACCTTACAAGGTTTTTAAACATTCAGCTGTCAATTGAGTTTAAATACTAATTTAAGTACTCAAACTATTTAGGAAATTATAAAAGATTTTCTGTGCTTGTTGAGTGTTGTAAATAATTTTTAAAAATTAGAAAAATTTCTATTAAATAGTTAAATAAATAAAATTGTTGGGATTACAGCTACAATCTTTTTTAAATTCATAGTCTTTTCCCTGAATTATTTTTGAGAAACCTGTAAATTTTTATCTTTTGAGTCAATAAAATTCAGGTAAAACTGAAGATAGCGTCTCTTCAGACTAAAACTGTATATCATTTTACGAAGGAACCCAATTCTTTTAAGATTTAGGAAAGATTTCTGGATATTTCCAGTTCATTTGAAGTACACCCGATTCACTGCATTTAGTTCTTTGATTGTAAATTGAATATTTAAATTCTGAATGTACTTTATAATTTTTTTCTTAGCGAGAGAGCAGCAAACACTGGAGCTACAGGTGATAGATTAAAAGAAGGAGCAGCTATTAATCAGTCTCTGTCCTGCCTTGGGAACTGTATACACGCTTTGGCGGAAAGAGCGATGGGAAAGAATACGAGAGGTATATTTTACGTTCTCTCTCTTTTTTTTTCTTTAAAGAAGAGGATTGACAAAAATTACAGTTTTAGAAATCTTAACAAGACTGTGGGAAATGCTTTTTTTAATGCGATTCATTGCATAGTGATTACATACATAATAGTGAGTGTACAGAATTTTAGATATAATTCACAAAAGTCGATGACGTATGAAAAAAACAGCTTAATTACGGTTTAAAATTCTACATACAATATTTTATGCCTATATTTTTTGTTCACAAAAGCTTCTGGATTGTTCCTAGAAGTCAGCTTTTCGAGCACTGTTTTGTCTTGTCATTATATAGCTCTGAATTTATGAAATGGTACCGTTTGAGGTGAGATTTCATTTCAGGAAACAGAAAGTGGTCTACAAATGCACAGCGAGAGAGAACCAGCGACTGAGCGCTAAAAGCCATTGAACACTGGTAGTTCTGTCCGGAGTTCGAGTACCGGCGAACGGGCTGGCTGCATGAGCGTTTTTGCGACTCTCCACATGTGTAACGTGGTCCCTTGAAGAGTCTTCTACGAGGCATCCCTCGCTCTCCCTGTAACGTCAAAGGGCAGAGCACGTAATAAATGAATATATAAATGCACAACTAGACACATTACACATTTGTGTTTACAATGCGTTGTTTGTTGGCAGACGCTATATATATATATATATTGTTTCTTTTGATTCAATCACTAAATCCGCAACGGCAGGTATCGGCTTCCTAAAAATAAAATAAATAATTCCATTCACATTTTTTTTTGTTAACTCATTATATTTTATTGGAAGTAAGTTTATAACAAGAAGGGGGTTTGACTACTTAATTACGGAAGAGTCTCACAAACTCGACTCCCGATCACTCAGCTTTCCGCATAATCCGATAATCACATTTTTAATCGCTAAATGATTTCTGCTGGTCAAGCAAATATTATCTTTAAAATAATGTTAAAGTTAATTAGTTTAGTAATCGTCTGTGATGAATCATGCATCATACTGTTTAATTCTATGATTTATTAATAACTACAGCAGTAGTTCTCAATCTTTTTTACCCTATACTTCCCTTTCACCGCTGCTAAACGATCATTTTTCCCGAAAAATACAAATAGACGTATTTAAATTTAGATTATTTTTAATGCGTTTTTAATGTGTAATTTCGTTCAATACCTATATCCATGACAATTTTATTAATTATTGTCTCTTTTTCCAGTCTCTTCAGGTATAAAATTTTATTTCAATTGTCATGTTAATTTGCTTTCGTCTCTTCTCGTTCGACATTCATATTTGCACAGGCAGGTACGAGTACAAGTGGGCGGGACACATGAATTTCATCTTCGGTTATACAGTATAACCTCATTGCACTAACTGTACAGCTCCGCACCAGTTTTGATGACGAACACCACAGAGGACACAAAACACTACGCAACACTTGTAAGCCTGAATATAACCTGAGAAACTCTGCCCAGAATTAATTAAAAGTTTGTGAGGTATTTTCTTCTTCCTTACCACATGCCTTCGTGGTATAATAGGGAAACACGTTCGGCTAGCATCGGAAGGCCAGAGTTCAAGTTCCGGCTAGGGCAGTACACATTTTTCACGTTTCCTGTTTCCAAAATATCTTAATGACTCTACAAGTGACGCCCGAACTAAAAGAATGATGGACGATAATTTGTCACCACCAATATCTGGCAACTGTGTCTGTCCCTCCCCAGTCACTATTTAAGAGTAGATTACTTTTTTCCTCCTTACATCGTGCCTTTGTGGTGTAATTGGGAAGTACGTCCAGCTAGCATCAGAAATACCGGAGTCTGAGACCCGGCGAGGGCACTGCACATTTTTAGTGTTTTCTATTCCAAAATATCTAATAACTCTGCAAATTTAGACTACAGTAAGGTACAGTCACAAACTTTCGCGCAAGGCTGTAAATGGCTAGCAGCAGAAAGAAATGTGAATGATAGTCGACAGCAGCTAACTGACTTTCTTCAATCCCTTTTTTGTTGAGAGGAAAAGAAAAACATATTTTTTTCTGGGGAATATGAATCATTAGCGAGGAATAGTAATCGTAAAATTTGGACATGAATTATTCTGAACACTGCTTCAGGGATTTAAAAATTGTGTGCCGACACTTTAATAGAATTTGGTACATAAAACTGCAATTGTAGTGAAGTAATCGAGGTGTCAGCAATACGTTTACTGATTTCAAAGCAAATGGAAGTTATAGACTATGTACATTAACAGATTACTTAACTTATAAGTTATACAAGGTACTTAGGAAAGATATCTACAGGTTTTAATTTCCCTAACCTTTTATACCAGGCACGCGCTTCCAGTTATAGAGTTTTCTAAGAAAAGTACGGAATATTATGAAATAGCTTCATCACTGGGAGTAGAACGGTTTAAAAAAATAATCTTTTTAATATGGTTCCGATGCAGTAAAAAATGTTCATTACTTCTTAATTTCATAATGAATATTTTTATAACTGGGCACTGGGCATTTTGTATAGGAACCGTAAGTTAAGTTTTATGTTTAAAAAACTGTTTTATACCCAGTGTTGAAACTCCCCATAAAATTCTCTATTTTAATTTGAGAAACTTCTTAATGGTAAGTATATTGCTAATATCAATAATTAAGAAAGTTATGCCTGTAACCCCTTTTCACGAATATTCTACATATACAACATTCTACGTATACAGTTTCTTAGCAAAAGGCTACTTAGGCTTTGTTGATTACCCGAAGTTAAGTATTAAAGTAGATTTCATAACCTGATACAGAATTTTCTATTCCTTACTTTATTTTATGAGACATTTTACAGTTGGAAATATCTCCTAATGCAAGCAAGTTGAAAAGGGAGATTTAATATCAAGTACGAACTGATGGATTTGATATTACATTAAGACACATTGTAGCTGAAAATAGTATTATATTACCATTTCCAGAATAAATAGATTTTACTTCAGGTAAAATCCAAGGAAGATTCTTCCTTTTAAAAAAATGATCTCCAAGTTTAATTGTTCATGTGAATGGTCTCAAACGAACGCAAATTGCGTGCGGCCGAATGCATGATCTGTAGACGGGCTTGAATTTGTTTTTAGTGAAATGAAAAATTTTTATCCACAAAATAAAAAATATTTTAGCCAAATTTTAATTTTCGCTTACTAAATATTTATCAAAACATACATACAAATAATGGTAGCGTGAAGGAAAAAAATTCAAATTTATATTTATTTTCCATCTGAAATCTAATGTTTGGTACCTGCAAGACAATTTTTGGTTACACTTTGTAATTTGAACATATTAACAGTTAAATATATTAATGTTTCAGATTTGTCTTTATTGCAAATAATTCTAATATGTTTAAATAATTATTAACTTACTTTAATATAAAAAATAAAAAAAATTTTGAAAGCTTTCTATTTTTTCAGAGAAGACTTAGCCCAAATTTAGTCTCTAGTATTTCCCATTATTAGCACACCTATTTGAGAGAGGATATGCATCCAACCAACACCTATGAAGAGGGGATAAAATCGTTTCTAGAATGCTAGAAAACAACGCGTTGAAGATTATTCGAATAATAATAAATACTTTGCAAATGTATAATTATTTAACATTTTCAGGCATTTCACTTGTCTTGGTCATATTTTAAATAGCCAATAGCCTTTTGTATTTAAGGTAATGTTCTTGCATAACTATTGTATAATACTTATTTATGTATTATAAATATTTCAGTTCCTTTCCGAGATTCTGTTCTCACTCGTCTTCTAATGAATGCTTTGGGTGGCAACAGTAGGACAATCATGGTGAGTTATACTGCCTTTCAATTTAAATAATTTTAAATAATTTTGCTGTAGTTCAAAACGTATGTACATTTCAAAATGTAGTCATTTGATATTTTTCGGAAAATAGAACTTACTTTTTCGGAAAATTTCAAGTAAGGTTTCATAATGATGTAATTTGTCGAATTCGCAGTTTTATGGGTATTCTAATGGAAAAATTACTGAAAAACGTAGAGTTTTTAGCAGTTTCTAAAGTTTTTCTCGAATTCATATGACATGAAATATGAACATTCGACGTTGGGTTTGTGACGCTAGAAATGAATGGAATGCATTTCTGCGTTTTTGTTTTGAAATAGGTGAAATATATTAAGTCTTTAGGCTTATTTCTCTTGATTGTTTAGCTTAAAAATTTATCTTTATAGCTTTTTTTATATGTTATCCTTAATTAATTAGAGCAATCGGAAAGTACGATGACTGGGAAGGTCGATCATTAAAAATAAGAAGGCGATTCCTTTGTATAATTCATCCCGCGAACGGGCTGGCTGCATGGGTGTTTTCGTGGTTTTCCCCATGTGTAACGTGTATACGAGCCAGTTTCCCTTAGAAAGTCCTCCACGAAGGCATCCCCCCTTAGGCAGATAGCCCTAGTGTGCTTTGCCATAATTAAATACACCACCACCTTTGTATAATTCTTTTTTTGTCATTATTTTACAATGCTATGAGGCATGTTTGTCATGAAGCAAACCAAAAGTTACATGAGAAAGAACCTCTGTAAAGGGAGGAGTAATTTTTGTACTGAAAGAAAAATATCCGAAAAAACTTTTCGATGAAGTCATGTTGATATAAATAAGTTTTTATTTGATTTAATTTTAGATTTGGTAAGAGCAGTTAAATTTCACTTCAGAGAAAGAAAAGGATCTAGTTAGTTGCAAATAGTAAATATGCGTTGATGGAAAAAAATCAATTAGTTAAGAAATTAAATAAAAAATATAAATATACCAGGCTGAACAGTATATCACATTACCTAGGGGTTAGAACATGTAAGTTAATTTTCTGCTGCAACAAAAGTTTTATCTGTTTGGCCCAAATGTTTGGATTTATTACTATTATGAGTTCCTCAAAAAAAAAAAGAAATACTCTCGAAAACGCAGTGTGGAAGGATATCTTTGATAGTGTGGAATGATGAAAGTTGTCGATAAAGGTTGAAGGCTGCTAAGTTTTATTGGAGAATTCCTCTGGAGAGATTATTCAGTTGTTTTTAGTTTTCCACAAGATAACTCTACAGTATCTTTAAATGTATATATTTGATTAGTTTTAAGAGGCCGGAATAACAGCGATGAACTGGTCGGCTATTTCACTTAATTACAGACTCAGAGATCTTCCTAATCGAGCCTATTTGTATAAAAATAAAGAATGTAATACTGAGAAATGTTATAACAATAAAAATGAGATAAGAAAAGATAACGTGGATGCTTATCAATACAGTAATATAGAATTGAACATTTATATTCCGAGCCAAATAACGTACTATCTTGCAATGAACACTTGTAATTTAAACTCGTAAGGATTGGCTACCAAATCATGATGATGACGAACTATCATCCACCACCTTTTAATTCGGGTGCCACTTTTTTTTTTTTTTTTTTTTTTTTTTTAAAGCAGGAGAGGTGAAAAATATGCAGTGCTTTCACCATCACTCGAACCCTGGACCTATCTAATACGTGTCGAGTATGCTGCCAATTACACCAGGAAGGCACGCGGAAAGGAGGAATAAAATACCTTATAGTCTGAATATATAAAAACAATTAGTTGACATATCTTTTAGGGTGAAAACGCTTTAAAATCACTGATTGATTTTCCAGTATCGGGTTCTTTATCCTCGGCGCACATTTCGCGTTACTTTAACAGTTTCTTTTTGTGTTTATTTGTTCATAGACTTCCAGATTTTAGTCTGTGGTATGTGTCAGATTACCACATGAAAATCTTTCACAGAATAGTGGTAATACGTTAACACTATTTCACCATGTGGTTCTGCTTTACGAATAGTGGTTACAGAATAGTGGTAACAGGTTAACGAGGTATTTCACTATGTTGTTTTGCTTTCCACATTTCCATTTAAAACATGTGCATCGAACTCAATCTGAACTGCAAACTGTGCAACCTTCACGAGGAAATGGATGCCTCATATCTGAGTCGTTGCCTTGCACTTAATGCTAGATCACTCTGGGAGAGATACTAGAAGGCTTAACCCATTGGCTTTACTTAAGGGGTGGTTTTAGATAGTAGATATGAATTGTCCAATTCGAATGTGACTTGGGGTCATGCAATACTCATAGAATTTTCCTACTTAGGTAGTAAAGTGTTTATTCAGTATTTAAACCAGCTGATGCAGATTTCATCAGTCATGCCTGAGTGTTTGATTCATATACAACAGGTGATGTTAATTTACGATGCGTTTAAAACATTGTGGATTCTACGCATTATCGATATTTACCAATTTAAGTTTTTCATTTCCAGCCATGTTGGCAGCTGCCGTTCCACTTATTTTTTCTTTGCTATCTTTATCGTTTTTACTTGTTTCACTTTTGAAACTCACAATCTTACTAGGGAGAAACTTGTAATACAAGCCTTTTCATATTGGTTAAACTCATCCTTTGATAATAGCTAGAAATTACAACCAGATAGTTTTTTTTAAATCAGTGCAAACATTGCGACATGCGCATTTTCTCTGCGTAGAGTTTCGTATATAATATTATATTGAGGCTTGAAACGTGTCAACCATCCTTCATACATTTGAAATTGGTATATATCCGTTTAACTGTGCAAGTTGTTTTGCTTTAGCCTCTAAAATATGTCCAGTTATCTTGGGCTTCTTGCTTAGGCATTTCTTCATTCATAGCTATAGGGCTAAATATAAGCTATTCATAGCTATATATAAAGCTATTCTAGCTATAAGGCTTATTCTAAATATTTATGCTCTGGCATTATCATCTTTTAGAAAATATCTTATGATTCAAGGATGTAGATTTAGTTTCCGAGATAAGTAGATGGATTTATTTATTGTTTCTTTTCTTTAATTTCATATACAGTTTCTATTTATGAGGAAGCTGCGTTACACGTTTTTTAATAATTTCTGTTTTCACTTCAAGGTTTAATACTTGCCACGTAGACTCATATTTTATTGTTTGTATAGAATACTTGGGATAATTTTCTTGAGAACAAATTAACTACTTAAAGAAGATCTAAAATCTCGTTTAGAGAACAGATAAATCCTAGAAACCAGTTGAGCTCATAACAGACTCAACAATACTTTTGGGCAAACTACGCCTCTGTTTGGGGCAATGTATTTATAGGAAAAGTTGACGGGGTCTCAGATTGAAGTGTTATAGAATGAGGATGTAGATAATGAGGCAGACAGCACAAAACAGCATCTTAACAAAGCACCTAGTATCTATCCAAGAGGGATGAGTGACGAAAATGAGGCTTAAGCGAACATGCTCGTGCTGTCAGGTACCTGAGCGAAAGTAACGGGATCCTGTATGTAGCAGAGTGAAATGAGCTATTAAATTTAACAACAGGTAAAAGTGAATGGGGTACTAGAGACTTCATTGCAGAATCGAGCAGCTAGCTTCATGAAATTGATGAAGTTAGGTGATATTGGATATTACTAGGCTGTTGCTGAACTAGACGAGACTAATCCGCGGTATCGGGTGACAAACTGTCTAGAAGACTGACAAAAATCCGTGGATAGGCTTTATAGACGGTGTTGTGGTTGGGGGCAAGAAAACACACAATATTCACATCGAGACTTAAATCTGCTAAATATAGCAGGATATGCGAAGGATAGCAGGTGCATTATCCAAGAATAATAAAATTTTGAAAGGAATTTTTTTTCGGGCGATATTCTCTTGTTTGCATAATAAAATAGTTTAAAAATTAATCTCCAAATAAACAATTGATAATTCACTTACACATACCAGGGAAGGAGGGAATGTAATTAAAATTATCCGTAGTTATAAGAAAAGCAGTTCGAATTAACGAATTATCTTATTTAATTATCCAGTTTGGAATTTACGTTAATTTACTGTGTTTACATTGTTACCTACGTATTTTAAATTTCTTAAAATGTTATTATTTTAATACAAAATGTTACAAGAAACGTTTCTTCTAGATCGCTTCAATAAGTCCTGCGGATATCAACTATGAAGAAACATTGTCTACGTTGCGTTACGGTAAGATCACTTTTTAATTTAAGAAAACAGTAATATTTTTATGAAAAGAAATTGTGATTCTTTGAACAGTTTTCTTCACTTATATGTTGTCATTCGTGCATATTCTTCCTAGAAATTGAACTAGTTCATTCACATCGTCGGTACTGTATATCGTTTTCTATTTACGTGTTATCTGAAATTTTTTATAATTGTATTCTGTGGAGAATAAAATGCTGTTTTGTTTGCAACAAGAGCTTTTGATTTTGTAAAGAAGGTTGCCTTTGATGCATTTTGATTTCGACTTCTTTAGCAAAATCTCAGTTGCCACTGATACACGATATTATAGCTAGAGACAAACTGTTATTAAAACATGATAGCGGTTTTCAAGCCGTTTGGTTACTGTGGGGTTGTTTAGAAATTATTTGTAATGTTAAAATTTATAAGTCTTGTGAAATTTATGCGTTCTGTTTTTTGAAGGAAAAAATTGTCTTGCATGTATCTTTACAATATTCTCAATGATTGATATTAAAGTATACATTTGAATGACTTTGTTACAACAACAATTGCATTCAGCCGTCGGTTATAATTTACTGCGTATGTTGCTCTTAAAATATTTAAAATGTTCATTCGCGTATAATGTTTGTTTTTCTTTTTCCCCTGAGTTCTCAAAGCAAGTAATTCGAAAGCTGGTGTTTTTATAAAAATCCTTAATACATATGTATTAAGGATGAAATATATACTACGTTTATCAGAACATACTAAATATATGTTTATTAGCGTCTAAAATGCGCTAATAGCATAATGAAACATAGTGAAATACATTGAAATACGGGAGATTGTCGACTTACGACCGCATTTAGTTCCGTCTGACTAGTTGTAAGTAGATTCGATCGTAAATAAAATCAGAGATAATTCTTTAAATGACAAGTTGCTGTGTAATTGTAAATGATGAAAGTGTCAGTCATTTGCTTCTTAATACAGAAGTTCGTTGGCTGCTAAAGGGAATCTGCTTCAGCTGTTTTTCCAAGCTTTTAAACTCAGCGCTAAAGTGCTTTTCAATTCATGCGTAAGAAGCTCAGAGCGAGGAGAATTTAACTCCTTTCCTACTTTTCAAATGCAGAAAAAAATAACGAAGATGTAACTTTAATACTGCTGACGTTTGAAAGCTCTGGAATTTGACTTCGATGGACAATATAGAGATATTTAAAAAGGATGTATCCGACTGACTGGCTTTTGGATTCGTTTTCCTGAGCTATTTCAGAAGCATATGCAAACTTAGAAGAAGAATTTATTAAGAGCAAACGAAGAACTGAAAATGCAGAAGCGCTTTATCCTAGTTTAAGGAATATTGTACAAAACGTTTTCTCATAGAATTCTTCTTGTCTTATTTAACGGAACGCGGCTTCTGTGCAGTAATAATTTAATAACTATAAAAAAAAAAAAAAAAAAAAAAAAAAAAAAAGAAAACGACTGAAAATAACTGAACGCGGAGACATGAGAAAAGTTAATAAAAATCGAGCAGAATAGAGAAAATGCTAGAAGTTCCTTCTCATTAAGCTTATTTTGCTACTGAATTAGTTGTAATTCGCGTTCTTCATAAAAATTAAATATGAATGTGCAATACTTTTTTAGATTTAGTTATTTCTATATTTATTAAATTAATTAAATATGAATACCATTAATTTAATAAATATAGAAATAACCAAACCTAATCATTACGGTTTTACTTCATTACATATTTTTGTACAAAATATAAATATGGACTGCCAGAAGGGAGTTGATTATTCAGTTTTTTTATACAAATGGGCGGTAAATCCAAAATGTTTCAGGAACGAAAAATGTCCCAAAGGAACTGGAAAGACCAGAGTACCTAGAAAACCGAAAACGAACAAAAACACCACGGGGGCATAAATCTTGGGATAGAAACAAGCGAAGTGATAGGAGGATGATAAGTTTAGAAGTGGCATTAGGATGGTTACTGTGCGTCTATTGTGTATGCATAGCTATGCCGCAATTAAATTATGACAAAATGGAAACTACATAAGGATTGCGTCGCACAGTCTTCATCAAAGAGTCGATGCAGCTTGAACAACAATGAAAGTAAAGAGGTGACATGCCTTATAGTTACGTAAAATAAGGCATGTCATCTCTTTGCTTCGCTTATGCTTTTTCCAATGACTAACTTGTAGCCATTGGAAATATTAAATTTTAATCAGTTAAAATTCTAAAATAAATTTTATATTAATATTTAATTAAAATTTAATTGAAATTTAGTTTTCTTTCATCATTAGCTTTTTAAAAGAAGAAATAAGTTTCTTTTTCTAATTAATTTATTAAAGAGTAATGATTGAGATTTCAAAAGAAATATCTTTGCAAATTTTAAAATCTTTTCCCTCAAACATTCCTTTTCATTTTTAAATGCTCAAATCATAAATACATAAAATACTTTTAAAATTTTACTGTACCTGTACTGACATAAAATTTTACAAAATGCTTTAGTTAATTCGTTTGTATTTCATAATTCGTTGAATATTCCGCTCTTTTTCTGATGTGCAAATAATTAATTTAGTATTGTTTGCCTCTCTCAGCTGATCGGGCAAAACAGATCAAGACAGTAGCCATAGTCAATGAAGATCCTACAGAAAAACTGATTAGGGAACTACGTCAAGAGAACGAGCGACTGAAAAGAATGCTCGAGAAGGGAGCTATGGATGTTCCCATCCAACCTGGCATGACTGAAGAAGGTATTATCGCCGTTTTCTTTTTTAACAAAATCGTATCGATATTAAATATCCATGAAGGTATATTTTTTGCCTTTCAAATTTAAATCCAAGCTATGCTTGTCCAAGAAGGTCACTATAATTTTTATACAGTTTTAGTTGTTCACATTAGCCCTTTATTCACTTTCATTCTCATTGTTCACTTTTTCAACCACCACTTTATGAATTTTTATTGATACATTAAAGTGGTGGATTTATCAACCATTTTTTTACTCCAAAGAGGCAATTTGCCCAGAAGGACTATTAATTTCAGTTTGGCATTTTGCGTTGATTCACTATAAATGTCGGTTCCCTTTTCAAGTTTTTACCGCCAAATATTAGAGCCCTGTATTTTCCACTCAAATATGGGCATCTGGAAGTCCATATTTTGAATTTGTTTCATTATGGATTTCATATTTTGTAAAATTTATCGAATTTTTGATTAACAAACTCAACGATTTAAAAGCGAGCAATGGCAACACTCTGCGGGTTGTTTTCTCTCCTATCAATAAAATTCCTAGTTCCATGCTTAAGGACTCCATTCCGGATATGAATTCCTGTGGTATTTACAGGATTCCTTGCCAATGTGGTTTAACTTACATTGGTAAAATAAAAAGAGCCTTAAAATTTCGCGTTAAAGAACATGAGACATATGTTAGGAAAAAGGAAACACAGAAATCCGCTGTTGCTCAGCATTGTTGGAATGAAAATCACACTTTCCACTTTTCTGCAGCCAAAATTATTCAAAAAAAAAAAAAAAAAAAAAAAAAAACATCCTCCATTGGTGAATTAGATTTTTTAGAAGGGTTTCATATCCAAAAACACATTTCTGTTCTAGTTAATGACCCCAATTGCAATCCACTCGGGCAATAAAAAATCATGGCAATAACAATTTTGTTTAATCGATATTAACCATTGTGTGATAAATTCTAATGAATTTTGATCACTATAGGGTTATAAAACGATAAAATGAAAAATATTATATGATAACATAAACAAACTGAAGTCGCGAAATCAAACCTGCTGGCTGTGATTCAATGTAGCCTACTGAAAACTATCCTTTATCTCGGCGACAGCAAAAAAAGGGGCATGCGCAAACCAAATAGATGATGCACGTTAACGGCTAATTTTCTTGTATAAAAGGAAATCGGCTCAGTCGAAAATATTCAACTCATGAGACACAAGACAGCAAATCAAGACTCCTCCAGAGCAATGAATTGAAACTTCAACACCCACGTGGCAATGGTCACACCCCTTACAGCATTCTCAGCGCTTCTTCAACCACGGCAGCAGTCAGTCAAGAAATGCTATAGCCAGGCGTCGAATGACACTACTTCAGAGAGCCGGATCACGTCATGCAAGTTCGCATGATAATTCCGGCATATCAGCGGAACTTGGACGAAAATATTCGGTTGTATTCATATTCGAGGGGATCGGGAATATATTATCTCGGATTCTCGGAAAACATTCATTTCGGTATATCTGAGTTGACTCGGCTGAATGCGTTAAGGGGATAAACTGGTGCTTGTATCTTGAATTAATACCCAAAAATCTTACTTCAGACGATTCGTTTTGCATGACATCAGTAAGCGCAAATGAGTCAAATGATACTGCTTTCCACTTTCCTTCAAGTATTAATCAATTAACTCGATTTTTTTATGCTACGAGAGACATTTTTTGTTCCCATTAGCAACTAAAAGATTTTTTAAATACTGAAAATTATTAATTATATTAAATAAATAATTTAATTAAATTATCAATCAAAATTGTCAAGACTTACTTTCTAAAATTAGAAGTGCTGAAGCCGTATGGAAGGCCGGCAGAAAAGGTGTACAAAAATACATAAATTGAAAATGAATGAAATGTAAAAAGAAAAACGAGGACTAAATTAATAAAATAAATTAATAACTAAATAGTTCAATAATAAAGTTAAAAGCAACGAAGCTCATTTTATTTTTGCGGCTGAATTTCAGCCCTGTTTCATACTCGTATAAAGCGTCGGTATTATCCTCTGTTTTACCTAACTGCGATTGGTCTTGGAACATATTTCCAGCAAATACATGAGTATTGCTGTATGAAAAATACTCATATACTCAACCAATATCTGCATCTTAATAATGCCTAGGCATACTTTTTTCTTTCATTTATTTACTTCGCAGATGTTACGCTGTTTTACTTTGAAGCACTGACTTAGTCGGATATTGCGTTTTCTCATTTTTTATTTGCGCGTCATATTTTGATTATTTTCACAGCATCTTTTAAATTAATTAAAATTTTTATTGAAATTAGACCAAATTATTGCCCCACAATGACTTTTTAAGGTTCTGTCATCAAGCAAATATTATTTAATTTTCTGTGTGATTCAAAATGTGTTTCACGTGAATTTCTTTCCTTTATTGTAAATTTTGTACATTTAAAGCATATGTTTTTAACTCTTACAATATTTCTAGTTTCTTTAGAAAATTATACTAATAATTAATTACTAATAATACATCGAAGTTATGGCAACTAATGTCTGTAAACGTTCAAGCGAAATAAAGAGTCACTCGTCTCTCATTTTATAGAAATCATGATCTAGAAATGTTTTATTTCATAGAGACAGATATGCCGAGCATCAAAAACGGAGCTTCAGCTAATTAGTAGAGTTATGAACTCAAAGAAAAAAATTCTCGAACGAAACTAAAAATGTTTCTTCTGCGAAAATTTTAAGCAACAATAAAACTAATGTGAAAGAATAGTCTAATGAAAGAATAAAAGAGTACTACGGCGTTTCGCGAAGCTGTTGTTGCTGATGGCTTGCTTACTGTTCAATGCTTTTGGTGTTTTAACTGAGGCTAGCTCTTGGCGATATTTATGGGTTTGAAATGGAAGATGTGAGAGTCTCGCATCTTTTAGAAAGTGTGTCGCGCAAGTTTCTGCCGCGACTAGAACCTATGTCATGGGTGTGAAATACTCTAACGCTAGCGCAAATGAACTCTTTTGCGTTAGTTTCAAATATTTCAACTCTTTCAAATCTGAGAGCTTTGAGTGGTTCTCGCAGATGCCGTTAGTACTCCATAGATTACAAATCTGTGGTGTAATCATAATTATTTATGATGAAATATTTCTTGCGATATTCACAGGCACCGAATCCGCAGTTTCGCTAAGAAAGTATTTGTGTCTTAAACCAGTGATCACGGATGTATAATAAGTACTTCCTACAGATTCTGTTATGGAATTTCAATGGCAGTTAGTTTTACTTTATATAGTGGCTGGTTAATGAAGTGGAGAGCTAATCTCACCTGAATGTTTGGAAGCCTTTCAATTTCAAGACACATTATTTAACTGAGTAAACATAAAATGTTCACTATCTTTTAAACATTAGTAAAGGATTTAGGGGTTCCCTTTGAATGTGGAGTTGCTCACGATTGAAACTTGCGCGACCCCATATAGATTCATTTCGACTTGCCTCAGGCTTCATTTCATCATCCAATTTACTTTTTATTTATAATTAAAATAGATATGGTGTGGAATATCATATTTAAGTTCTGTTATTTTCTTTTACAGAAATCGAAAGAATGAAGAAGAAATGGGAAGAGGAAATGCATGCTGCAATGGCTGAAAACGATAGAGATTTGCAGCAAATCAAACAGTCTTATGATGACAAACTGAAGCTTTCTAGGCAGCAAAAAGGATTCGTAAGTATTAAGCTTTTGCGTGAGAATACAGTTGAAGCTTTACTTTTGAAAGTCAAATGATGAGTAGTCTTATTTGTATGTAGTTACGGAACAGTTAACCTAGAATGCCACTTAATTTTGACAGTTTTCTTTGAAAAATGTAATATGAGTTTAAGGTTGTAACTAAGCTGATATTTGAGTCTAAGTCCTAAAACCTTACCACACAAATAGAGAGTTATTGCTATATCTGAAATAGTACGAGAAAGACTTCTGAAGGTTTAAACAACCCTTTTTTTTTAAATGAACTTTTAACAGAAAAGGTGTGACTTGTACCACAAATAAACCGCTGCTTGTGGCTATGTAATTTAAGCTGATAAAAGTAGTCTAATACTACAATAAACTAGGCTATAAGCTGGCTCAACTAACTTTAACGGCACGTAAGTTTAAAGCAATCGGCTGCAAGAGAATGCAAAAGCCAGAATAATATCTTTTAGATAGAGTTGGAAAAAGTCTAACAGAGATAAGCGAGTGCCGGAAAAAGTGTCTCTGTCTATAAAATTCAAAACCATCAGGTTAAATACACTAAAAGCTAATTTGCATTTAGGTGAGGAATACGGAAAGCAATTAAAATAATGATCAAAATCATAATGACTGGTTACTTGACATAAAAACCTTAGACGGAAGCGTGAAAACTCGAATTTTAAAACTTGTTGTCATTTACAGTTTCAACGTAGTTAAGTAGTTTAATGCATTCTTATTTAAAATGTGAAGATTTTCTTTGTTAATATTCTCAGTGATTCAACCTTGTTAAAATGTATCTCATGTATATTGTTTTTCATGAATTAGGAATGGGATATAGCGAAAATAGAGAAAGAAAAAAAAGTGCGTCCTCATTTCACGAATCTGAACTTTGATCCAATGCTGTCCGGAAAAATTGTTCATCTGTTGAAAATGGGCGAGAACATCGTTGGAAAAACTGATCAAGCTGATATTCAGCTTTTAGGTCCAAGGTAAAGTTTTGTCTTTTAATAAATGACAATAGCATAACCGAAATCAATAACATGCATTTAATTACATTAAAATTACTTCACCTTTTTAATGGAAGTTTTAATTTCATTAAAAGTACTTGAACGAATTTTATTAAATATATTTCGAGATGTTCATGATATTATAGGTAAAATACGATTTTATTTCAAGTTAACAATTGATTCAAGGAGTGGTCAACAATATATAAGGCGATCATTTTTCATAATTAATGTAAATGCAAATATAATGTACTAAATAATTGTTTAAACGCATGTATATTTAAAAAGTAAAAGTAAAATACGCATCAAAAGTTTATGATCGAATTACACAAAAATTGATAAAAATCTACTCGATAATTGGATGGACCATCATTGATGTATACTTTACCTCGAAGGAATTATCTGGGTATCCAATCCATGATAATGCTTTCTGTTGTTTGCTGCCATGTTTTTAGATTCATACATTCAAATCGAGTACAGTATTATATTTTTTGTCATTAGAGTATATTTTTTTCGAATTAAATGCGTATGAGGATTTTCTTTGTGGATTGCGAATAATGCTTCTTGATGCGGAATGCACTTCATTAGTCGTATGTTGAATGATAGTGGGGAACAGATGTATTGTCTTTTTCAAAAAACTAGTTTTTACCAACTGTAAACGATGAGATTCGAGTACATGCTCACTTACCATGTACTGATAAGCTTCAGAGCTCATGAGATTGTGGGAAAAAGCAAAGCCTTTTTACCATTAAACTTTGAAATAGTTTACATCATTACGAGGACTAACGCCCATGTGGTAATGTGGTGTATGACGTGTTTTAAATCACGCCAACGATAGCTAATACCATCAATCATAGACGTCCATACTAACGCCCCTTTTTTCAGAGAAAAACTTATATTCAATCCAAATGCACTAAACAAGCTTTTGGGAAATGCTTACTTTTTTTTTTTTTTTTTTTTTTTTTTTTTTTTTTTTTTTGGATGAAGGGTCGATTTTTGGCAATCTTACGCCAAGTAAACCTGTCATTGTTGAACGTTTCGAAAATAGCGATCTAGACGGGAAATCTCAAATGCAGTTTATAAATCGACGTGTATGTGAGCTTAATCATCGTAATGGCTAAAACAAGAAGTAATTATCGTAATGGTTGAAACAAGAATTTGTTTTGCAAAGAAAAAGGAATTTTTACAAAATCAGAAAGGATTCATTTTTAATTCTCTAGATTATGATGTAGAACAGGACTGGAAAACCTACGTCACAGGTACTTATTAAATTACTTTTATTGACTTACGTTCACTGAAAGCAACACTTCAAAAAAGTCTGAAAGATTTCAGATTTTATATTCCGCCCGAACGGGTGTTTTTTTCATTTACAGATACATACGCATTTCGAGAGCATTTGAGCTAATGCCATATTGTGCTAAAATATTTAAAAACAACATAGATTTAGAATTTTCGATAGACAGTCTCGCGCGCTGGAGATAAAAGTCTTTTATTCCCTACAGTGTTGCCATTGCTCGTTTTGAAATTGTTGAGTTTTTTTAATAAAAAATTCTTTGATTCAAGTTTCAATGATTATAAAAATAAAACGAATTCAGTAAAAAAGACAATAAAACAAATTCCAAATTCGAGCTTCCAGGTACCCATGTTCGGGTGGAGGACTATGTTTTTCAAAATTTGATGACTCTAGGTTACTTTGTTCTTTCACAGTGCGAGAAATAAGCATACAGTCATGCAGATCCTTTATTATTTAGTTTCTTTAAATATAATCCAGGGTGATAATATTTGGTGGCAACACTTTAAAAAGTGATTCGACGCAAAATGCTTTTCCGAACTAATAGCCAATAGCCCTTCTGGGCTAGCGCCCATTTGGGCTAAAAACCGTCACCAAGACTAGCGGTCATCAAAGCGGATTCAGAAACGAGGCGCCATAATAATATTGCAAATTATGACATAATTTTTGTTTTGGCTTCTTATATTTGAATATGAAGGTAGTATGCAACAAACATGATGTTTCGAGATATGGCCAAGTTATTATTTTTTTTTGAAAGAATGCTATCGTCTCCTTTATTGATTCAGAGAATTTGACCTTCTAAATATGGCAATAGATTCGATGTTCCGTGTCAGTGTGAGAAAGAGTTCGGGAGTTTGAAACTCCTGGTTCTTTAAAGAATTACTGAAATCAAATTATTATTGAAATCAAAGCAGGGGTTTAGAGATGATTTTTAAAAAGAAATATAACAAGTGGTACACTGGAGGCTTGAAAATAATAAACCGCAGTTTGACTGGTGCACTAATCGAAAAAAGTCGCCAGTCCTGATTTAGAGTGTTTATCCAGAAATACATACGTAATCATTGTATAACACATCTTTATGTAATAGCATATTGATGGAATGTAAAATGTTGTCTATTTTATTGTTGTGCTGTGGTTGTTTATACACATGAGGTGGGTGCAGTGTAAGAAAACGTTATTCTTTATTTTGTTATTAGAAACATTTTACGAACATTATAAGCTTATGTTCGTAAAATGTACTTTTGCGTGATGCTGGTTATTCGTGATAAAAATGAAAAACTAAGAAACTTTGCATATATTGTTCTTCTTTTCAATGATGAATTCACTATTTATATGTCAAAAATATATAATGAGTAACGCAAAGTTTTGATGCTTAAAGAATTTAACGAAGAAAAAAGCAAACAACATTAACTTGGAATTTTATATAGGTGTCTTTAATATTAAGTAACTTATCAATTATTGTTTTTTTAGCATTCAAGAAAGGCATGCTATTGTAAACTACTTAGAACATGGTGGTGTAACACTTGAAAAATGCCATAGTGAATGCCGTATTTTGTTGAACGGAGAGCCACTCACAGCAAGAGCTTTACTATCTCATTGTGACAGGTGAGTGAAAGGATTTTAAAGAAAGATTTTGACATGCACTTTTATGCCTGTTTTACCTGTATATCAAAAACTGTAAAAATATGAATATGTTATCTATTTCAACTTTCGATCATTGTCGAAAGGAATAAATATTTTCTTCAATATGTTTTCATATGAACATTTCAGTTGCGACATTTAAAAAAAAACTTCTTTCTGTTGTTAAGAAATGGCTCTAATTAATGATATACTGTGATTTCTATCTACTTAATTAGTACAGAATGTGCAGTATCAAATAAACACACCACATTGAAACAGTTATTTTACATCATATTAACTTATTTCATCATTTAACTTATTTCATCATTATTTACATCATATAACTTTATTTCAAAATAAAACATTCCAGGTTTCTGAGACCATGCATTGGCAAACTACTAAACCCTGAGATCATACATTGCTAAACCACTAAACTATGGTATTGTATTATTGCATTGCCAAACTACTAAACTCTGAGACCATACATTGCTAAACCACTAAACTATGGTATTGTATTATTGCATTGCCAAACTACTAAACTCTGAGACCATACATTGCTAAACTGTGGTATTGTATTATTTAAACAAAAAGCTATTAAAATTACATTTGACATGGTAATGAAGTTACATCACAAGTATTACTTTAATTTCATTACAAATAACTTATTCTGTTATTTGAGAAATCGCATATAAATATCAAGTGTTGTATTTTAGCCATAAATCTCATGTATGGCTAAAGTACAACATTTGATTTTACATCACACAGGTTCGATATCATGAATAAAATAATATAATTTATTTTTGGATACATCTCTTGTTAATGAACATGAAGTAACATAAAATATTTTAGGCTGATAGTTTTTATTTAGAAAATACATGTGCCTAATGATATTTAATTTATCGATTATTCAGATTTTAAAAGACATATAACGGATTGATTATCGGACAAAATACTGATTTCATAGCATTTATCAGTCATCTCTTCTATTAAGCACTACAGGAAACTCTCTTTTTAACAGCACGTAAGATTACATACCTCAGAATCATAAATTAATAAGCAAACATTGGAGTTTCTTATGATATGATGTGAGATTTATGCCAACTAGAAAAGTAACACCAACTGATGATTTTTATTCGTCTTTAACACATTTCCAAGATGCATCTGTATAGCACTTTAATTCTAATTTTTCTTTAGAAAATAGCAAACCTAATTGCTTAGTAAGTTTGATACATCTATGCGTTCTTTAGAAGCTCCTATGCAAGTTTTTTTGTGATTTTTTTTATTGCACGTATTTGACACTAGAACTGCATAAGACGTATCTGGTCGTTTTTTGTTGCCACTAGTTCCTGATACTTAAATTTATCAATTTCTTTTGAATTCTGAAAGTTTTCTAAGTTTGTACTAAAATTTAAAGGCGCATAAAAAGTTTTACAATCTTTCATGCCAAATAGTCTAACATTTGGTGAATATAAGTTTCTCTTTTAAGTACCATTCTCTTTATTTAACAATTTCTAACCGTTATGCATTAAAATATTGTCATTTTTCTTTTAACTTTATAATTGCATTATGTGAAATTTTACTGTTTGAATTAATGACAATCATATTGTCTGCATGCAATCCTGATAAATGATTAGCTTTTTATCCGTAATTTATCACATTATTAGAGACATTTGAAATCTATTTTTAGCAGCAGATTAAATCTTTATTATTATTTTCTGTCAGCCTATTTTTAATCCATTAAGATTTTGTTTTTAATTTTGATAACCATTAGGTTATTCTGTGTAAATGCTTTCACTTAATTTGCTGTACAAAAATGTAGTTTCTATATTGTATGATTTTTTTTCCAATTTTTCATTGCAGCTATTAGGCTTTACAGCAGAAAAAAATGCTTGATCATTACCAAATCATTGAGAACAGCAATATATAACCATTACGACACTTTAATTTTTTTGATTTATTTGTGGGTCAGATTTTATTGTACAAATCTAGTTTAATTCAACTGGTTTTACTTCTTCAGACAGCTGTACAATATTCCGTATTTTTGTGATTTTATAGAGAATTAATTTCATTGTCCATAGCTTCTTTACGTAAGCCTTCATCTTCATTCATAGCTTCTTCATAAGCACCTTGAATCTTTACCTGTTTTAGTACTAAAAGATGTTTCAGCTGGACAATAAGTTGGATACTTTAAGTTATCATTTTTGTACTTATCATAAGCTGAGATTCATAGAAGCATTTATTTTGCGCACTTGGCCCTTAAGTATGGAAATTTTTCTCTTACCACTTGTAAGTCTGAGTCTACTTATTCTCTGATCATCGTTGCTGAGATAAAATATATTTTTTTATTGAGCTTTAGTATCTAAACTGTAATTTAAAAAAAATTAAAGATATTTGTTAAGATAATGAGTTAATAGAGGCAAAGAACTAATATCGTTTTCATATAAATATTAATTTTTATGAGAGTTTAAGGAAAATTTACCTGTTATCAATGGATAAATAGTAATTTGGCTTGTTACTTTATTTGGTATTAATCAGTTATTCTATTAAGTGTTTCGTTATTATTTAGCTGAACAAAAGATTAACATATAATTAAAGGTATGTGAAGATTCTAATCGATCTATAATTAGTGAAACCTGTCAAGGTTCGCCACCTACGCTTCCAAATGATTTTGGCCTTCTAAACAAGTGAGTGTTTTAGTCCTTTTGTCTATTTATGTTCTTAGAAACACTGGTTACCAGTGGTGGTCATCTTAGGGATGTGGTCTCGATGAGATATTTCACTGCATTTGCCCATGTGCCAAAGATTAATAAATGAAGCAAGTAACAAACTTGTAAATTAACAAACTGTTTTTCAAATTCGAGGAATACGAGGAGGTGTTTTGGGATCTTTATTGGGACAATGTAACCCAAACAATTTTCAAGCGAAAGATATGTGCGTGATCGTTGTCTATTGGCTGTTGTTAAATTAAATGCGTTATTCTTGTCTTTTATAACGGTTTTCTTGTTTTCAAGGTAAGTATTGTGAATAAAAAAAATTAGAGTGCATCATTCTGTTTAGTTCTTTGTTTATTTACCATTGATAAAGTTCTAAGCGATATATTTTTTATATTTAGAAAATTTTTACCTCAGTCTAAACGGGGTATTGTCGAAAGTATATTTCCTCACTGGAAGCAACAAGTTGGCACATATATCTTTCTAGAGAGCATGATGTCTTATCGGCTTTTTTTACCCGAGGATATATTAATTTTGTGGGCTATGTATGAAAATTTCTGGTAAAATCGAACCAACTTATTAATAGAATATCAGATGTATGATAGTTTAAATTTTTTAAAATTACGATACATATTTCTTAAAAAGAAGGTTAGTCGATTTAAAGTAACATAGGTCGAAGTAAAACAAAATATAATTTCAGTGAATAAAACGTATTACAAAAAGTAGCGTTACTGGAAGATGGAAGCAGTCTTTTTTAACACTGCTGTAAAGTCTAATTGATTGTGTTTTTTATTCTTCAGATACTATTTTCGATTCTTTTTCAAGTATGTGTTTACATGAATTTCTTCTTGCTAAGATCTTTTTCCTGAATAGGATAATGTTTGGCACAACGCAGTTGTATGTCTTCATTCATCCGGATCAAATGAAGAAAACTGGCAAAAAGTACCCTGAAGTGACGTATGAAATGGCTCAGGAGGAAATTGCTGCAAAGGCTGGCATTTCAGTGGATGGAGATGATCAATCTTTAGGTAGCTATTTTTAACCTTTAAATTGATGACAGTAAAAAAATTTAAGCCTTTAATTGTTCCTTTAATTGTTAATTAAAAACATTGGCATTAATTCATTGGAATTTAATGCCAATGTTTTTAATTTTTCTTTGCGGAAACACGTTTATCTTCTAAAATGTGTACCTGCGAACAAAAATGAGAAAAGCTTTATAAATTGATTTTATTGCGATAATTTGAATAGCTAGGAGAATTTAAATGAAATCTCGAAATAAATAAAAGTTAAAACTAATAATATAATGTAATAAATAATAGCTTTTTCCTAAAAGTAATCTGTGTTAAAAATTTATTTCTTAAAAGTTAACTTTTAATCGCTAACTAACTTTAACACTCAATCTAACTCATTTGCTATCGAGTGCGTTTTAATAACTGCATTATCACACTAGCCGACTGACGAAATGGAGGTCAGCCAGAGTATTATGGAAAGATTTACGTATTTTTAATTACATTTTCAGCTTTTGATATAAAACTGGCGTCAAATATTTATTAATTGTATTTCGTTCTGCAATTAGAGTATATTTTCCTGCATGCTGGTCTTTTCTAATCTAGCTGTCATGTTTGGCATTATTACCCCACAGATATAAGTTGTACGTATCTTTAGTGAAATCATTTTATTATAAAATTCATCATTTTTAGGTCTACACAAATCACTCATTCGTGTTCTTGAGGTTTCACCACTTGGACAATTATATTAATTGTCTCCTATTGTTCTTTCATACTGCAGGAGCACCGGACTGATATTGAACTTAATTGTGTAAAAGAATATATTTAAATTTAATTTAGAGTTGTCTAAATTAAAAATGTATCCCAGATGTATAACTCCCTATGTATATCCCAGATGAATAACGAAAATTCGTTATTTATCTGGGATATACATAGGGAGGGTAAAAAGTTTTGAACCTCAAGGGAAAGAAATTGTGCAGGTAGTTAAAATTTTGTAGCATGTCAGGCAATATTTTAATAGACAGTGAGTCCAATCTTAAGATGGTACTGGGTAGTTCACGTGCTCCTTTGATACATCAAATTAAATCCCAATGCAAAAGTTTTCAGATTTTCAAGTTTGTACAAAAGTTTCCAGATTTTTAGATTTTGACTCAGTTAAATTTTACAGGTATCTCAGAAAATGAGACAGTAGGTTTTTTAGCAAAACTTCCGGCTTACACGTTCACTTTTTCGGATGCATACTAGCTTCTAAATCTAGTTTCCTTCTTTAAGAATACTATTGAAAATGCTTTTGAATAAACAGGAACAGTTTTGGATTCACGTAAAAACTAGCAGAAGAGCATTTTCAATTCTTTCAATTCGGCTTTCAAGGAATATGATTGGTCATTCACAATCAATAGCTCTTTTTTCCATTATGTAAAGCTATTGAAATTACATGACACTCTGGCGTAACGGATATGTACATTTTGATGCAGCTGTAGAATAAGTGTAATGCACAACGTCGGGTTCAGCTCAGAACTTAAGCGCACAGTTGTATTTAATAGACCATAATTTAGTAAGCAGTCAAATAGTACATAATATATTAGAAGTACATAATATATTTCTTTGCTTAAACAGTGAAATTGCTATGTAATTGTACGCAGTATATAGGTGTGGTATTAAAAAACGTTTAAATTATTATAACACGCTGGGAGAAACTTCATGAAATGTACATGCTTTTTTCTCTGTTTTTTTCTCAGATAGAAAATGAATGAAATATCAGAGAAGAGAATTGCTGACAGGGCAGTGTACTTCTGTTGGAACAGCCTCGCTGCAATAAAAATTCACTAAAATATGTTGCGAATGCTAAGAAATGAAGTTCTGTCATTCGCAACTGTTAAACAGTTGGTAGTCGACTTCTGATGTCGACGCGAAAACATTTTGGATAAACCATAAGTAGGGCGTTCTCTGACGGCAGTGACATAAGAAAATTTCAACGCTGTGCTGCATATGATCATAGACGATCGTCGAATTAAGTCTTAGATCACGACCAAATCTGTGCGACGTATCATTTATCAAGAGCTGTCTATGAATAAAATGTCGTCTCGACTATTCACTAAAACCGTTACCTCGGGACAAAAACGAAAGGGAATTTTGAGGACAATGGGGCAAAAGGAGGGTTGAGTTTGGTTGATTTTGTGACGAAAGGCGCTATTAGAGGAAAACATTATGTCCATCGGATACAGAAAATGAGAGATAGTATGCAGCAAAAGTCACTGAAAATTAAAAAAGAAGTCATCCTTCATTAAGACAATGTACTTCCTCACTGTGCCGCAACTGCACAAGCTGCTTTGATCACTTGTTACTTTACCTAGCTTCCTCATCCACCTTATTCCCCCCCTCCTAAATGATTGCGTGATGTTTTCATTTTTACTTGCTGTGAAGAATTCGAGGACGTCATTTGAAAACGCACGCTGATGTCATTGAGATGGTCATTTACTAGTGTGAGATTCAGGATAAATCATTTTATAAGGTGATATAAATAAATTGTAGCAGAGAATTCGTAAGTGCATTGATATAGGGGCGATTATGTATTTAAATATTGAGAAACTCTTACTCATTTTCATCAGACGACCATTGATGTTATAGCAGAACTTAGACTCTTTTCCTCAAAAAAGAAGAAAATCCTTTTTTCAGTTACGACGGTATGATATTTTTGTACCAAAGTGAACTAAATGGTTCTCATTCAGCTTTCGAGAAGAGCAAATCAGAATACTTCTTTGAAAGCTCAATTTTCTGATAAGATCATTTAACTCATTTAGCTTAAAACATTTAGTACTTGATGGTGTTGCTAAAAAAGCGACTGCCAGTGCCTCACTTTTGTTATCTTGTGTTATCAAGAATGCTTCGTCAGCTGGTCATCCTGCAGGTGTCTGAATGTTGGAACATGTACTTAATTTGAGTAATCGTTGAGATCATCTTGCTGAATTTAGGTTACAATATTTATCTTTTCCTTCAATAATTTAGACTGGTACAACTGATATCTACAGCACAAAAATAACAGTCTTTAAAGCGATTCTTCTGTTTCCTCGAGACTATTGAAACTGTGAATTTCGGACACTCACTCTTCTCATTTGTTCATTATTGCAAATCCTTTGTACAAGTGCCCACAGTGTATGGAGCCAACAATTTATTCTGGTGTTTAAATTGGGTATTAAGATAACTAAATATACTTCTTCAGAGACTTTGGAATAAATTTTTTATTTTCTTTCACGGTGCATTTTTCGCAAATAGGGGACAAAGCATCTGAAGGTTTCATGCATATTCTTTTAGCCTAAACTGTCGTTTTTACTGAAATCTAAATCTGTAAAATAAAAATTAGTTCTGGCCGAATTATGTAATAAAACTAACAAAAGAGATTTCTGGATTTATTAATTAATTGATTCATCATGTTAAATACATTTAATATACTAACAAAAGAGATTTATAGATTTATTAATTAATTGATTAATCATGTTAAATGCATTTAATAAAAACCTGTACATTTAACAGATGGTGACTATGATGCGTTCTAAATAAAAATGTTAAATACGAACTAAAAAGATGCTGTTTCATTGAGAGCACCATTTTGCACAGGAGACCTCTGTTTTTTGCAACGCACTTCTCAAATCAAGCTCGATTAAGACTAATATCGGTGGCTGACTAACTTTTACTATGGTGTTTTGCTCGACGACGTTTTAAAAACTGCGAAATTTTTGCGCCGCTTTATTTTCTACCTTGATAGTTTAGAACTCCGATGTTTTCTTTTCTTCCACGATGATCTGTACGACAATGTTCTCCCCTTGGGCGTTTCCTCTGCAACGTATTCGTCCGCGATGTTTTCGGTTGACACTGTTAACAAGAGCTTGAGTGATTTACCATTTCAGTCTGCATCCTTTTTTAACAAACCTCGGTGAGGAAACTTTTGTCTTTAAATAATTTTGTTCATTTCTTTCATTCTAAAATTATTTTTCAAGGCGATAACAATATTAATTCATATTTTTCTTGGCACAACTATTACTAAAGTTAATAAATCTTATACATATTAGCATCTCAGAAGGTTGCATAGTATTTCGAAAGCTTATGTTGGTGCGAATAAACAAATGCCATTTTTTAAACAAGCATTCAAAATATATCTAAGCATAGTTTTAATCATATAAATACCAATAAGTCTTTATTTGCTGCTGTTGGTTAATGTTATCTATCAGAATGTAAGCTTAGTAAGTGTGGACAACTGAAGCAATGGGAATAGATTAGATTTCCATTTAAATGGTTTAGCTCGCAAAGGCGAATTAATTGAATCAAATTTTTTAACATTTGTTTCTTTCATACTGCCCGCAGGTTTACTTTCTATTTGTGTATTATATATTTTATATTGGATAGAATATAAAAGCTCTACTTTAAGAAGATTTTTTTAATTTAGTTTAGTAATTTTATAAAGTTTATGCTGACAATGTTTTCCTCTTTACTAATTTATCAAAGAATTGTCGAACTTTGAATTTATGCGTTTTGTTTAAGGATACGGATGTACTAAGTAACATATATTTACTATTTATGTACAGATACAGCTTTATTGAACAAAGATTTGTTAGAAGTACTTCCTGGTGTTGAAGAGGCCAATGCAATTAGTGAGGAACTAGACAAGAAAGTTAAATTTGAAATAATGCTTTTGTCTCCACAATGGCTAGGAAAAACATCTGGGAGAACTGAGGTATCTTTTATAAATATGCTTAATATTTTTAAATTACCTCTTAGAAAGAGTACAGTAGGCTGCACTTCATGTGATCACGTTTGCCACGGCTATTTTGATAACACTAACTTGTACAGTCATTAGGTTTTTTATTTAAAAAAATTTTTTTTCTTAAGTAGGAGACATGAAAAATGTGCAATACTCTCGCCGAGATTCGAACCTTGGACCTCTCGAATACTCGTCGATTGTGCTTCCAATTACACCACGAAGGCATGCGGAAAGGAAGGAGAAAATACAGTAGAAACCAAATGTTAACGTTAAACGATGAGAAACAATGTCCTTCAAATCAGCAATGGAACTTAACTAATTTAATATAAAACATCAAGAAACATATAAATAGGTACATTTTCATAGCATTTTAATTTTAAAAAATGAAACTCTTTCTTTTATGAACTGTTCATAACATTTTCGGAAATTATTTGATCGATGTTGTACTGAGGTGTACTGAGAAATCGTAATACTCGAAGGGTACTCCTCCGACTCTAGGAGAACTCGCTAATGTAAAATTTAAAAGTATGCAACAATATTTTTAGGAAAAGAAAATTCTGCCGATTTCTATTAACTCTTGAAAATAAGGGGTCTGGTTCTGATCTCCTCAAAACCGACAGAGTTATTAAAAATCTGCTTCAAACTAAAGTTGGGCTTTTTTATGTCAAATCTTAAATGATTGACAAAAATCGAAACCAAGATGCTTGGTGACATAATCACTTACTTGGCCATATTTCTCTGCAGTTTGGCAATTTTTATAATGCATTTTGAACTTATTTGGTGATTTTTACAGTTTAAAAATTTTATTCTATAATATTTTGATCATATTAACCAAATTGTTGATTACAATAAGAGATTTATTTGCCTTTTTTTCGTTTATAAGCGGGCGGTACTTCGGCAATTTTATAACAGTATCCAAATGATAGCATTAAGAGCGATCACAAAAAGCGGCTTCTACTGTACTTAAACTCAGTTATAAATTAACAGAAATAATTCATATATTCAAAATCATTAAAATAATTTTCATTTACGACATCCACATTTGCATATAACAATTTATATTTCAGATTTGAGAATTTAACTAACTTTTCTTTTATAGGTGTATGTCAAGATGCGAAATCTAGAAACTGGAGTCGAATTTGAGTGGCCAAAGGATAAATTTCTAAACCGAATGTATGTTATGAAAGAAATGTATCAGAATTACGAATCTGGAGAGGAATGGGATGTAGAGGAGGTAATTCTAATTTCATAGCTTTTGTTTCTGATCGAGTCCATTCGGTGTTTCTCCCTTTTTACTGGAAATGAATGTTTATAAATTTGAATTTTAGAATACTTAATTATTGACAGTTTGAGTTGAAGAATTATTACAAAATGTACTTCCTTGAAGAACTGTACGAAACCCGTAATGAAACTTGTAAAATAAAATATCTTGCGTATTGTGAAAATATCATACTAATTATTTGACATTCATTCACGTAAACTTTATTCAACTTTTAGAGAGTGCGCCGCTGAGATAACTTCCGACTAAGGATGTAAACCGAAAGGAATCGTATACCATCCTAGGGAGGAAATTTTTCAGAGAACTTTCAGAGAAATTGACGATACACAGAAAATATAGTCTTTTGACGCGTAGGTTTAATGGAAACTAAAGCACGTGTGACTTAAGAACTTCATTGTTTCTGCAACTATGAAGATAGCCTTGCATTAAGAAAATTCTCAAAGCCTTTAAAGCGATTGAGACTGATAAGTTGGGGAAAAGAATAATGTTTTAGCGAAGAACTGAATTATGCTTATCGTACTATTTGGCTGTCAGAACAATTTTAACAATTTTGAATACGATATTAGATAAGGAAAACAGGCATGATTGATTATGAGATAGGGTTTAATTAAAAGCAATTAAAATAATCTAATTTACGTAGGATGAGAAGCCGGTTTAAGTTTTTTGAAAATTATTTTATCATGAGAAAAGCTGTGAGAGCTGAAATTACGTATTTAAAAGAACTGAAAGTTTAGTCGACATGGTACAAAACAGGGAATATAAACTGACGAGCCAAAACATTATGACCATCCCCACATTTTTCATCTGGATGACGTGGAGGGCACGTGTTTAAGTGGGAATGGTATTTTACTGCTGCTTGGCAGCATGTCTCATATATCTCATTAGAGCGAGGAAGTTCAAAGGGAAAAGACGTCGTGTGGGTCTTCTGCCTGTCATCGATCCGATAGATAACGATCTCGCTCCCTGTCCGATTTTTTCTGACTACGATCTTCGGACGATGCGTGCTCAGTAGACACCGCCACCTGCCATATAATTGCAATGATGCTTATCTGCCATATTTGCCACTGCTTCTCATTTGATTTCGTGTTTTGCAACGCGATTTTATACTAATTCGGATTTGGTCGATTTGTCTATCTAGTTACTCCCAAGCTCAATTTGTCAGGAGTGAGTCAGGTAAAGGTAAAGGTAAAAGTAGGGGGGACACCAGCGATGTACCATAGGTCAACTGGTAATGCCTTCCCATACTAATTCTTTTAAAAAAAAGGGGGAATTGCAAGTTTTATAGGAATTTACACAGACTGAAGCTTTCAAAAAGGTCTAGAGTTTACCTATTATGGTACTTCGTGCAATCCCACAGCACGCCCCGCATCCAGTATTTATTAAAAATAATGATGTAGGACATAAGTAGATTACAAAATAGTCGGAATACAATTTGAGATTCACAAGATAAATTGAACATTTGATTTGGTGCAACAAAAATAGGAGATAAAGATAATTAATAAACAGATAAACATAATGAGATAATTATAATTAGCACTGGCAACACAATGTTAAAATGAATTGTAATAATAATGCTGAAGAGGTGAGTGCCCATGGGTTATTTCAGATATATTGGTTTATTGCAGTTTATAAGTTCACGAGCGGAGCCATTTTGTCCATAATCACAGCATGTAAAAGTTCACTAAGTTTAAGCAGTATGAGGACTTACACTTGACAGAGATCTAAGCCGTAAGAAGAGAGTAGTTGCATAATTTTCTGAAACTTTGGATACTGATGTTTATCTTTAATTAAAAACCTTTGGAATGCCAGGAGATCAGTACTTGGGGATTTTATGTGAATATCCTCAGTTAAGGGGCATGAGAAAGTGTAATGATCAGGAGTTCCCTGTTCCCCACTATACAGGTATCAGAATTTGCCAAATTTCTTGCGTAGAAATATGTGGGGAAGTGTCCATGTCCTGTTATAAAGTAATTTAGTGAAGGATTCGAGTACAGAGATGCGAAGCTTACAGTGAGTCAGGGGCCTGATAGACTTCCACGGCCTGATAGACTTCCACCTGTTCATCTGTTTGCTGGAACGCCGTCGAGCGGGTCCGGTTCCAGGGCGCAGGTCTTCCACACTAATCTGGGCGCAGGATCTTATGGCCTCTGTGCATTGCTATGGATACCAGTACGATCTTATAAAGGCTTACTGAATATTACTTTATTCAAATCAGAGAATTACAATTGATCCAAGAGCGTAATGGCCCATTCACGGAAATGGAAGAGAAGTTTTATACATTTCTTTCAATGCTCGCTAGAAATGATTAGAATTTTGCACACGCAAAATCTCAAAGTATGTCAGGATACTATTAACAAAAATCATGATTTTAATGATGATTGTTCTAATAAAACTTCTTTTTCAGATAATTCTAGGGGCCGTAGACCTATAAATATTTCTAATGATTCTTCTACTAGTTTTGATAAAGAGCTTACATTGGATAAAGCCGTTAGCTCAGATGAGATAACTAACATTCGCCGTGATGATCAAACAATTAGGAAGAGAAACCCACAAATGGTTGCCAAGAAGATTAAGCACGATAGTTTCACAACAATTATCTCTCCTTTACTTTTACAGCCTTCTGAAGGAATAAAGAAAAATTCCCCCACCAGCTCTGCTGATTATGGGAGCAAAAACAAACAATCGACTAAAAATAATACGCAAGAAATCAGGAAAAACAAACCTACTGAGGAAATTATCAAAGATGCACAAATAAATCAGGAAACTACCAGTGAACAGGCGGACAATCCGTCCATGGATACAACTAGCCAGGAAGAAACTCCAGAATTTACTCCTAATATTAACTCATCTTTTAATACTACTCAGAAAAACTCACCTGTTAAACTCCCACCTATAATATTTAAGGAAAATAAATTTACTTACAGTAAAATTAAAAAGATGCTCGAACAACAAAAATTTGTTTTCACAAGAAACAGTATCCCAGATGGTGTTAAAGTTTCTACCAACGACCCTAACACGTATAGAGCTATGATCAAGATGCTGAAAGAACTGGAGGTGGAGCACCACTCTTACATTCTCCCCCAAGACAGAAAAATCAAAGAAGTCATCAAAGGGCTTCTCCGAAGCACAGAAATTGAAGAAATCCAGAAAGATCTTATTTCTCTGAACTACTATAAACCCGATGAAATCAAACAAATGTCAAGAAAGAGAAATGGTGAGGTTACTAAACTTCCATTATTTCTCATTACCCTGCCAAAATTTGAAGCTTCAAAAACTATCTATCAGGTCAAATACCTATGCGGATTGAAAGTTAACATCGAAGAGTACAAAGGGAGGCAAGGCCCCTTTCAATGCTATAAATGCCAGGGTTTTAATCACACTCAGGTAGGATGCAACTACCAGCCACGCTGTGTAAGATGCGCTGGAAATCATGAATCTACAGACTGTCCAGACAAGAATAATCCAGTAAAATCACTCGTCTGTGTAAATTGCAATCAGAATCATACATCCAGTTTCAAAGGGTGCAGTAAGTTCCCTAAATCTAAGGACGAAAAGCCAAAGACTTATCCTAGTCGTATAATTGAAGCTAAATCATATGCCCAGTCTTTTTCTACTGGCACTTTCAGTGAGACAATTAATGAGGCCAAGAAAATATTTGCTGATCTTGCAGAGCTCGTCTCTGTCATCAAAAGCGCTGGCTTTGTACAAATTATTCAGCATATTAAGGAAATTAAAAGCGATAATCAAGAAAAACACTCTGATTAAATTTTCCTAGTATTCACTTACATGAAGTATGTATTCATTTGATATTATTTCTCTATATATTGTATCATAATTCTCATTTTATTTTTTTTATATTATATTTTATTTCTTGCATTTTTTAACCCAGATACTTTTTATTCCAGATACTTTTATTTTATTTTACTCATGCATTCAGCTATTTTATCTCTATTTTGCATATTTTTGTACTTCTAATTATCATGATGCTATGTCATTACCACCTTACTCATTAGGATTTATTCATTGTCTTCGTATTTACCCGCACTTAGTCTCGCTAAAGTTTGATTGTCTGGTATCCACACAGTGACTCATGGTCGCCCCTCTTCTCTTCAACCTCAGTTCCTCCTATTTTACTCCCGACCGCCTACTGTCAGGTACCTTCACGGCAAAGTTATTCAGGAGCCAGTAAAGTTTCATATACTCGAGACACACCGGCTATACCGACATGGATTGGATTGGATTGGAAACTAAGGAATCATTCTTGCACTTAACTTTTGCGAGTGATAAGAAAGGCTGCTGATCTAACCGAGTTTGGTAGAGGGAAGGTAATGGCCCAAAGACTCGGAACGAGTATCTCCTAGACTTCACGACTGGTAGGTTGTTTACGATCTGCCGTTGTAAGTATTTATGAAAATTGGGTAAATGACGATGAAAACAGCAGGAGACTCCAAAATGTTGGACGTCCAAGCGTCATCAAAGAAAAAGGACGTTGGAGATTGCTTTATACAGCAAAATCGATGCCATTCAAAGACTCAACTGACAGCCCAATACAATGCAGGTCCAAGTGCAAGTGTTTCGGAACACACAGTTCAGCGTACACTGTTGGATATGGAACTGCGCAGCAGACGTCCCACTTGTGTGCCTCTATTAACTAAGGGTCATTGTCAACTACGCCTACAGTGAGTCCGGGAACATCAAGACTGGACCATGGTCTGATCGGATAAATCACGATTTGTCAATCATGACGTTGATGCTCGTGTCAGGGTACGCCGCCTTCCAGGCGAAAAGTTGCTCACCCCTTATACACAGGCTAGTGGTGGTGGTATTATGCTTTGGGGGACGATCTCACGAGTGTTTCTGGGACCATTAATTGTGGTAGAACAGACCATGAAAGCTGCGGCTTATCTGAACATAACTGCGGATCAGTTGCACCCTTACATGGTATCTATCTTGCCAACTGGAAATGGAATCTACCAGCGGGACAGCACCCCATGTCACGAAGCTCGAATTGTGTTAGAGTGGTTCTAGGAGCATAAGGAGGAATTCCATTTAATGTCCTGGCCACCTAACTCGCCGGATTTTAACCTGATAGAGCACATTTGGGATGTCATGGAGTGGCAGCTCACAGCTCAAACACCACCATGTCGAAATATCTCGACTTTGCGTGACCGTAGCTTAGACATTTGGTGCAATCTGTCTCCAGTCATCTACTAAGAACTTGTGGCATGCGTGCTAAGGTCGTTTGCAGCTGTTTTGCAGGTCAAAATTTGCGCAATACGTTATTGAGCAGGTGGTCATAATGTTTTGTCTCTTCAGTGTATTTCTGAAGAATAAGGTCTTGCCAAAAGTAGGAAGTACGTTTTCCAGTTCAACAGAAAGAAATTCACCTTTAGTTTGGATGAAATGAAGCTGTTTCTTGTTCGAATTAAATTATCTTTATCTCCATCTCGGTAAATAAAAGTAAATAAAAATAACCCTCAGTGTAATGCAGCAACTAAATTAACTGAATGGTTATAAAAGTCATATATCAGTGTATATTTAAGTTAACGCAATTTCTTAGAAATGCATTAAGTTATAGCTTTTTTAGGAAATACTTATATCTTTAATGCACAAATAAAAGTTCAGAAAGTAGTCTTTTTCTTTGGAATTTCAATGAGAACAAAAGCTACTATAATTATCGATATTCTATGACCACCTCGTAAAACACTCTTGGTTACCTTAATATAGAAATTGCGGCTGCAACGTTGTGATTCTTCCATAATTTTAAAGATTTAAGCCATCGTAAAAAAGCATGCTGAATATGCTGTTTTGGGACTGTAGAGGATGATTAAGAGAATTGAGACAACTGGTTCTTTGAGAAATCTTCCACAAATGGGAAAATCGTTGTATTGCAATGCAGAACAACTGGAGATTACTGATGTTATCGGCATATGAAGAAGCAAGCTATGAAGATCACATCAAACTGTTATTTTATACTGGAATACGCGGGAAACGCTAAGACTAATGCTTCGCAAATATTCTTAAAAGATTCAACATCTTCATGAATATAATGTTATGTTGCAAATTAAACGTTGTCTGGTGGACGTAATTGAAACTAAAATATTTGCTGGTGAATATTCTTAAAAATACTCCTAAAATTTCTGAATATTACCCAAATTACGTTGAGGTAAAAAGGTAAAAGGAAAGTTCTCTGAGATTTGAACTTTTTAAATAATTAACTTCCTTTTAAAGTTCAACGCTCTTGCAGTGAAGGAATCCTTTACTTACTGCGATAGAGTCAAAAGTGATCCAATTCGAGCAGTTAGCAGATTCGTTCCCGTTCTTATTTCTTTTCGTCAACACAGTATTCAATAAAGTTGTGGGGAAATTATTTACAGTTAATGAATTTAGTAAGTATTAAGATCTACATATTGGCCTACTATATGCACGTATATATTTTTAAGGTTGAAATATAAATGCTTCACTACATTACCTTTGAAGAATTTTTATATTTTATTTTTCCAGCAACTTACCATCGTCATGCAAAATTATGCAACTGATGAAAATTTCTAAATATTACACTAATTTAGAAATTTTTATAAAAACGTTTATGAAAATATTATTATTTTGTAAATACAAGCTTCTATTAAATATTTAAACAGATTTTTATCATTTAAAATTTAATAATAATTTTAATTTATTTATATTATTTGAATGTATTAACCCCGTTAGAAAAGGGAATTAGAAATTCTACCATTGTCGTATATTTTACGGTTTTACGAGCCTTATAATTTTTCAGCTTTTCTTTTAAGAAAGTACATAAGGAGTGAGGGAGTGGAAATACCAAAGTTATCTACTTGATACATGTCTTACAATATGTTATAATTAACTTATGAAATTTTATAAAGTTGATATTTTTAATTATAGGACAGAGATCCGTTTATAGAGGATCTAGACGCTGAAGTAAGAATTGGAAGCGTACAAGTGTTTCTTCAACCTCTTGCTTACATGGTATAAATATTATTTGCTTAAAATTAATCTTACTTTTGTGTTAAAATATCTTTCATATCTCATTTAATAACACTTTTAAAGCTGTTAACGTCTTTTACACAGGTGGAGCTGAAAGAACAACTAGAAATTGTTGATTATAAAGGAGCTGAAGTTGGCATCATGAATGTATGTTTGTATTGTATTAAAAAAGTTTACATCTGCTTTAATTAATTTCATTTATTAGATCAATCTGCAAGTGAAATTCCAGTTGCTGTAAGTTTTAGTTCTAAATAAGCGCTTAATATATTCGTTCAGAAAGCATGCTTCCAAGGAACCAGTAAATATTTTCTAATAGCCGCTAGTTTTTTAGTATAGAAAATACAGTATATGTTATTTTATTTTTCTACTTGTTTCTGATTGTTGTTTTGTTGTTGTAAAGCGGCTTGCATATGGCAGGAATGCATCAAGATTTGCTGGTGTAAGGAATTGTTTGATTCATAATTATGCTGATACAATTAAAAATCGTAGAATTGCAGAAGAATCATTTTTTAAATTTTATTTTGCACTTAATCTACTTAGTTTTCACAACGTACACTGCGGAAAAAAAATGGGACAGTTCTATATATCCCGTTCTACTGAGCCGATTGACAAAATTCAAATTGCATTTTTCATGTCTCGAAAGCGCGATTTAGGATATATATTAGATTTATATATAGCATTGTTCTAACATAGATATTTTGACACAAAAATCGAACTTTTTCAGAAATAACATACCAATTTTTTCCATATTTCGATTCTACGACTCAAATTACGCCTAGATATTAAATTTTGTAAAATTTGGTGCGAAATTTACGGTGAAATTCAAAAATTTATCTTGGCAAAATTTTTTCAGTTTGAGCCAAGTATAATTCACTTGGCGAACTTCTTAATATATGGCCACCAATTTTCCTTTCCCTTCCATTATGCCGGAGCGGAAACAAAGGCACCTCGTTACTATCTTTTTACATTGTGCATAAGCGGAAAAAAGTCACATCGTTCTAACTTTCAAATAATTTTAGCAAAGTGTCTAAACCACATTTGATGTTTTATCGCTTTCAACAAATAAGCCAAATTTCAAAACACGCCAATATATAAATTCACGTATATCTTCGGAAATTTTGAATAAAAAAACTGTAATTTTTTGCAGGTATGCTTAGAAATACGTCTACTTTAAGATGATGGCAAAATGTTTATAGATTATAATTCAATTTTTTTTAAAAATTTATAAAAATTATTTAAAAATACAAATTTAAAACATAAATCATAAAAAATGGGTGAATTTCATTTGGAATGAACCTGAATTTCGGAATGTGAAAGGAAGAATCAAATAAGTTTAATAAAAAAAAGAGCGTTTTGTATAAATATATACCAAACTCAATTAACATTGAGGAGCTAAAATTTTGAGAACTAATTTTTTAAAAAGTACTCGTGCGATTTTTACAAAACTTGGTAGTTTGGCGTAATTTGAGTCGTAGAATCGAAATATTGAAAACAATTGGTATGTTTTTTCAGAAAAAGTCCGATTTTGTGTCAAAATACGTATATTAGAACAATGGTATATATAAATCTAATACGTAGCTTAAGTCGCCCTTTCGAAACATGAAAAACGCAAGTTGAATTTCGTCAATCGGCCCGGTAGAACGGGAGATATCGAACTGCCCCCCCCCTTTTTTTTTTTTTTTTTTTTTTTTGCGCAGTGTACTTTTTGAAGCTATTAAATCTGTTACTCGAAACTTGCTATGATGTGAAGTCATCAATACAAAAATAACGATTATAATTACTACCAACTGAAACCCTTTAATTGGTTTTCTTGTATTACAGATAGAAGTAGTACCTTGCACTGCTCAAGGCAAAGAGTATACAGAGCACGATGACATGTTTGTCGACAACCCAAATGAGTTGATTGGAAAGGACCTTCATTTTATGGTAAAACTTTTAGGTTGCAGAGGATTACCTTCGAGATTTAATGTAAGTGATCGTGCGAATTTTCTGCTTTTCTTTAATCTGCTTTTTTAACTGCACAAATAAATTAAAGTGTGTTTCTTTATCACGTGATGACATCTAAAAAATACAAAGCTTTGCTTTATGTCCTTTAAAATAAAACCATTTTAGATTCCTTTTTGAACCTAAAATGTGACTGAAAAATGGCTTTCTAGGTAATAAAGACACGTTATTATTGATTTTATTACAGCTGTGTGTATTTGAAAAAGTTTCTTTTAATTGCTTTACGTGTGAGGCCATTCAATTTTTTTATAGAATTCTAGAAGCAACGTTTGCTGATAACAAAATAGAAATCAGTTTATAAGTCCTGAACTTCGTATTATGTATAAAATGAAATTTTTATGTCAGATGTATAGATTTTATTTTTTCAAATTACAGAGATATTTTATTACAGGATATAAGATGCAAGTACAAGGTCTATTTAGATACCGAAGACAATACAACAGAAGTTATATCGGATACATCAAATCCAGATTTTAATCACAAAAGATTGTTTTCATTTAAACGAGTCACTCAGTCGGTATATAACATTCAAATTCTTTTTTATGTCTGAGTTCATTTATTTTAAATTTGTTGCTTTGTTGTAAAAATCTATATCTAGTCTAATAAATATGTTTTGAAAAATTAATTTGAGTTAAATAAATTCATTTGAAAGGAAACGAACGCGAAACGTGAAAATTATTTTTTTACTTCTTCTATCTCGAAGATACCAGGTCGAAAACGAGTATGCTTTCGAAATAGCTTTATTTTCATTTAGTGAACTGAAAATAATCTTTAGAGTCAAATTTAGACTAATTAAATCATTGCCAAAGTACTGAAATGAAAAATGCATAGTTAACATGAATGTGCACAATTCTGGAACAAGAATTGATTATTATTGTTAATATTTAAGCGCACTATTTTGAATCTTAATTTTCTTAAAATAGTAAATTTTTCATTTTGGGTACTCTAATTTTTAACATTTTGTTCTTTTGGGTGGAAATAAAGAAGAATCTATTACTAAATTAAATTAAAATGAGAGGGCAGCCAGTTAAGAATTATATCAATATTTCCTGGCATTCAATTCATTTTTGAACGAATTCTTTTTCTTTGTTCGTTATTTGAATCACATGCAATAGATCTGGCTTTAATATAACAGTGCTTTTGAAAATTTCTTCGGTTTATCATCGTCCTGGTTCAAAATCCTATTACTGTCATTCTACTAAAGAAACAAAGAAAAAAAGGGCATTTATTCGGAAAAGAGTACCTGCCTGTTTCAAAATGTATGAAGCCTTCCTTTAACTCTTTGACCACGGGTACAAAATTCATAAAAGCGTTAAAAATAATCCATACATTTTCTTCCTGGGAAACTGATCGCATTCGCAGTCCCAGTTTCTGCCGACGCGATAAGAACGTTCCCCGCCTATATTCAGGATAAAATGAACACGTTATTCACGGATCCCGCACTCGGAGGATTAAAATCAGCGTCAGTCTTAATTTTGCTTTTGATTTGGAATTAAGACTGATGTGCTTCTCAATTCTATAATTCTATACCTAAATAATACATCTTTTTACTGTTTCGTTTTCATGCATTCAGGGTTTGTTTCGTGTCCGCTGTCTGTTACAAACTCTAATACTTAACAATAGTTAGGAAGATTTAACCTCTTGTATCTTAGGAAGATCTCTCCACCGGGCTGTTAAAAAATTTCTAATTTGTCATCCCTAGCCTCCTTAAAATATTTTCGTACGCTAGTTGATTTAAAAAATTTGGTGATTACTCTATTCCCCCTAAATTGCGTATATTCCATTTAAATTTAAGTTTCGAATCATTTTTTTTCTCTAGTAAAAAATTCCCATACAGGGAATTTGGTTTATTATTTTAAAATGCATTGCTTAATCCAACCAAAGTTTGCATCAGAAGAATGTAAAATTAAAATAAATAAATAAATAAAAAGCCAAATGAAATTAAGAAAAGCGTCAAACCCGTGTCTATCGTGTATAAATATTTCCTTTTTCCCAAATCGTCCCTTAAAGCTATAAGGTATTTTTCCCGCCTTCCTAGCGTGCCTTCGTGGTGTAGTGGTTCTGCACGCTAGGCCGGTATTCCAGAGGTCCGTGGTTCGATTCCCGGCGAAGGCGATAGCTCATTTTTCATCTTCTAAAAAGTACCTAATGTCTATACAGTGGCGCCCGAACTAAAAGGGTGTTGGATGATGATTCTCCTCATCCATGATTTGGCGATTGGGTCCCCTAAAAATCCCCAGTCGCCTTTTAAAAGAGGGGTATATAAGGTATTTCTCCCGCCTTCCTAGCGTGCCCTCGTGGTATAGTGGTCAGCACACTGAAGCGGTATTCCAGAGGTCCGTGGTTCGATTCCCGGCGAAGGCGTTGCATATTTTTCATCTCTCCGGCTTTTCCAATTAACCTAATGTCTCTACAAAACTTATTCATTTTCATTCATAAATTTTTCTGTTTGGTTGAAATTTAAATCTTACTGCTACATTTGCTTTCTCTTAAAACAATTTAATCCTTGAATTTCTTTTATTTATCTCATTTCTGTCAGCAGTTAGTGATACGTGTTTCGTTTCCTTTCATTATATATGGTGATAGTGCTTGCGTGTTATTTTATCTTAATGAATGAATTAATGAACCATTAGAGAGAACTTTTCTGTAGAAATTTCTCGAATGCTTTCGTTTCTTGAATTATTTTCTTGCTTTGCGGCAGTGAAACTTTTATCTCCTCGTGAATACTTCTTTTCTAGTTTATAAATTACATTATGTCTCTAACAGCTTGCTATTTGAATTTCAGCTGGTAGAATACTTAAAAGAAGGCTACATAATGGTCCAAGTATGGGGCAAACAGACGGCTCGAAAGTCCGCAGTCACGAGAGCTCAAGGAAAAAATACCAAAGAAATGTTTCAAGCAGATTTACTCAATAATGCTAACACACTTATGAAAGGTTTCCGGATGAACGGAAGGGTAATAAATACTTCTGTTTTCTTCTCATGCAGAAATGTTCATTTATATAGACGTAATGTGCTAATTTTAGTCTTACGTGAATCGTAAGCATTTATTACTGTAAAAATCCCATGCGTATCTCAGTCTGAAATGCTTCGAATTACTACACAGAAAATTATGTTACATGTAGAAGCAATAAAACCAAAAAATTAACCGATTTCAGTAAGACTATTTTAAAACGCGTGTGGCTGATAATTAAAAAATATTTTAATTTTGGATGATATAAACGCTTAATATTTGGAAAAACAATTTTTTAAACGATTTTAACGATTTTATATGTTTGAAATATTTTGCAGGTGGTAGATCCTAATAAGCAAAGCATAATTGTAGAGCTTCTTTTGATGAAGAAACAACAACACCGGCAGCAGCAAAGATTGGTAATACGTTTTATTAATAATACCATACTTACGAGATTTCAACTGTTAAATGTATTTCTTTACTAATTTCTCCCGAAATTTTCAAAGATCTAAATTATTATTTTATCGATTGCTTATTTATCATAAATGAAGCACCCGTACTTATTGATAGTGATGTCTCAGAGTCTTGTGAACGAATAGAAAATTTCTTATAAACTGACTATAGGAAAATGGAAAAAAAAAGGACATTTGGAAATATACCTTCATTTCTGGTACCGTACGTACGTGTATTTCGGTACAAAATATTTAAACATTTCTTTTATTTTATCTGAAACTGAACTGAATTAATGTAAATGGAACTTAACAAAAATGCAAATGCGAAAGCGTGAAACAAAACCACTTTCTTCCAAATGGTCATGTAAACTAGAGGCGAAGGAGAATATGTGCTTCCGTGAAACGCAAGACATTTTCTTAGAAATGTCTGCCTAAATGACAGGAAACTGTGCACATATCGCCTCGCCATCTGTTATTAAAAAAATGAAAGAGAAACAAATAAAAATAAAGTTCTTTAAAAAACTTAGAATATAGCTAAAAATAAAGATTTGTATGGATACTTTTCGCATCTGTAAAAACATTTCTATTTCAATTATTGCACATTTTACTTACTTAAGCCAATCTATTTCTGCTAATTTTCATTTTTTTTAACGTTTAGTATATTTAGCGTGTCCTTTTTTGGCAAATTTGTCTGTTATGTTTTAGTTATTTCACATTTTACTTACTTAGCCCCCAGTCGCTATTACTAATTTTTATTTTCAGAAGTATTTAGTCTATTTGGCGTATGCTACAAAATGACACCCCATTGACGTTATCAGATATCTTATAGTATTATAAATATGGTTTCCGAGATAAAGCAGGACATGGGCTTGCCATTTGATCATACTTTGCATCTTGTGCAACTTTTGCATCTAAGAATTACTCTCAACGAATAGCTGTTATTCCATTTTAATATTCTATGCATCATTTTAATACATTAATTACATTTTTCAAATCTTTGTTTTAGGAAAATATTCGACGTATGATTGATATTGCTGAAACACATAAGAAAAAAAAGCTTCCCGTGAGCTTAGTGAAAGATCTGTATTCAACAACATCAGCAGAAGTGGCCGAAGAGTTGCTTCAAAAAGTGCCTTCAGGTAATTAAAAGGGTAGGTATAAGTGGACATAGGGGGAAGTTGAAGCACTGAGTAGCACAAGTAATGTTTACTTTAATTTACTCTCAGTAAAACTTGTTAACTCTACCTATACGGTTATTAAAAGCTTGAACAGGGCTTAGCAAAACATATCTAAATTAAATTGAGGTGCCATTTTCGATCACGCCGCGTGGCACGTGAAGACCTGCTTTGTTGTTTAAATTAGATACAGAATTTAAGGCTGATTATTTCATTAATGACTGAATGAATGATCCGTTGATCTGGTACCAGATCACTTTTTAATACAACTCTTTTGTACAAACTGATAAGAAAAAATAAACATGCTAAATTAAAAAATAATAAATGAGCAACACAAAGCAACATTAACATATTTCACAAATATCTTTTGACGGGTGGAATCAATCTCCTTTGTATAAACACAACTTATTAGGTATTAAAACTAACTCGTTATAACGTTCATAAATTTTTTAAGTCCTTGGCTAGAACTTTTGATTTTTAACAGATCTCTAATCTCTTAATGCACTCGGGTACACCGAACTAAAAAGACTACTTCCTGAATTTTTTGTCCATTAAGGGGTTGAAGTAGGTTGGTGGTCCCTATCACAGAAATAATGTTTTGAGCCACCCATCTTAATAGGCAGTGTGCGAATATAAGATACTTTGAGTCTGCCTCTATGTGTCCACAGTCTAGAACAACTTTTAATATGGAAACGGTTATAATATGTTGGGAAGTGTTTGTAATCTGTAATATTTTTATAGGTATATTTATATAATTTATCTACAGAGTACCGCTTTTCATTCACTTTAAGAAATAATACGAAATTTGGGTTGTCCCAGAGATTCTGTATTACTGCACCTTGACTGTTATTTTTCCAGACGTTTATTCTTTAGGATACTTTTCGTTGATGTCGCCCGGCCCACCAGCGGCCGAGCGGTAAAGTCGCTGAGCCCTGGTAATTCAGTCCGAGGTTCGAATCCCGCAAACGGGCTTGCTGCATGGGCGTTTTCGTGGTTTCCCCATGTGTAACGTGTATACGTTCCAGTTTCCCTTAGAAAGTCCTCCACAAAGGCATCCCTTCCCTTATGCACATAGCCCTTGAGGCTTTGCCATAATCACACACACACATTGATGTCGCCCAGGCGGTATAGTGGTTAGGAGAGCTTTCTACATCGAATCATCCCGGATCCCGGAGAAGACATGGATGTTTGTAAATGTATAGTGTCGGTGCGGCATAGCGGCGCTTTAAATATGCGGCGAGACGAAAGTGATCTCGTGTGGGCTGGTGGAAGGGTGAAAGACCCCCGGATCCCCTTCCGGGGTGCTCTTCCTCAAAATTGCGGTGAAAAATAGAGTCCAAGCTGTCTTTGGTATGTATATTTCCTTATTTGTCTCTGGTAACCATATTTCCATGTAATATGTAGAAGACACAAAAAAGCAAATTTTCGTTGACCGTAGTGAAGTCTTCAGCTGATGTCAATGACAGGGTGTCAGCCGAGGCTTGTTCTTGTTCATTGCCAGTGAACAAAATATCTCTACTTGAAATTCTGTCCATTGAAGATGGAAATGAAAATATTCCTGTAATAATGACACTGATAACTTTTGGAATAGCTTAGTTACCAGAAAAAAATTTGAAATGTCTATTAAAAGCCCCCGAAAGTTACTACATATCGACGTAGTAATGACAATGATTAGATGAAAGTTAAGACTGAAATTCCGTATGTGAAATATGTTTTACGGATTTACAGGATTTAATAGTTTAAATCATAGGAAATGCATAGTATATGCAACAGCAATATAGATTTCTGTGACTAATGAATAACCTCCGAATGAAACTTTTTTTAAAAAAATTATACATCTATGATAAACGAATGCTAATATTTTGTATAAACGAATGCTATATTTGTTAAATCTATATAATAGTAGATCAAGTATCCTTGTGTAAAAATACACTTATTCAGAAGCAATGATGTTGATATTTGAAAATATATGATTATACTTGCATAAACCAATATTCACTTGATTTTGTACCTCTTGGTATAGTTTGCTTGACAAATCTAACTCTACAAAGGAAGAATCAGAAAAAATGACAGATTGTCAGATTGTACAAAGTTAATATAAATCAGTATCCAAAAATTCATTAACGCGCAATAATTATGAATTATATGGTATCAAATATAACCGGTATAGTGGTTAGCGTCGTTGACTGTTGAGCTGAAGGGCCCGGGTTCGAATCCCGGAGAAGACATGAATGTTTGTAAATGTATAGTGTCGCTGCGGCTTTGCGTCACTCTAAATATGCGGCGAGCTGAAAGTCCTCTCTTGTGGTTTGGTGAAAGGGGAGAGGGTTGGTAGACCATAGGACTCGTCCCCCAGGTGTGCTGTCCATCAAAATTGGGGGCGGAACTGAGCCAAATCGCACTGTCAGCTGTTAGGAAATCAAGGCTGTTGCCAACGACAGGCGTAATCTTGCGCTCCTTGCCACGGGGAATTTCGGGGGCTTGGCTGACTACGTCAGACAAGTGAGCATAAGCAACAACACCAACAAGATGAGAAATGACATTTAGTTACTATAAACTACCCTAAGATGAAGAGGTTCTGGGCAACTGCAGAATACATCATCAGGTACTGGAAATTCAACCATGTTGAACGGTAGGACTCATAAATTAACCACTAAGAAGTTAGACGCGAAACCTGTAATAGGATTTGTGAAAAGCATGTTCAACCTTGTTAACAATATTAAGAAACTTTGAAAAAGCTGTTTGTAGGACTGAAAGCAGTAGAGATCCTATAAAGATTCTCAGACCTCGAATAATGTTCGCTGCTCTAGAGAAATAGCAAAACTTCAGATGCCTACTAATTGCACGGTGGAAAACTCACAGTAAATGTACAGGATCAAAGATCAGGATAATTTTGCTCGTGAGGTGATTTGATTTGTTACTTCAAAATGTGCAACTATCTGGAATTTTTGCAAACTTTGCATTTTTTTGCCTTAGTAGAGATGAAAACAAATTGTGTGATTTTTTTTTCTAAATTTAATGCTGACATCTTAGAGCAATATTCTTCACAGTTTCAGTAAAAACTGTAAATCGTTAAAAGCCCGCTGAACCACAGGATCCACGGTCAACAACAGCGGGCTTCTGTGCATGTCACGAAGTGTATTGCTTGGATTTCGGTAAGCTTGTTTATCTTTTTCTCCTAAGCTGTCATTATGCGTAATTAGTTTGGAAATCTGATTTTTAGAAGTGGGAAATATATTGCAATAACTATATATACAAATTATTGGAAAATAGACAATGAATTTTTGATTAACTAAATTATTTTCTACACAGTACCTGTTAAGCCTAACGAGGCCATTGAAACTGATCCTAAATTGGTAATTATGCATGCTTAGGTTTTGAATTTAATTATCGTGTGCGTGAAATATGTTGTACTTACCTTGATAATTGTTTATTTGAAGTTTAATAGTGTATTTTTGATAAAATAAGTGTTTTTCTTATGGTAACTACTAACCTTAATGAGGCTGCGAAGTCTGTGCACCGGAGACTTGCGTTTTTGAGCTCTAAACGTTTGGGTGCACCATCCTGATTAGACATTTCTCCCAGGGAAAAGGAAGCTCTATCCCCTTCTCCGACGCACCGCAGCTACAAGTTCTGCCAGTGAGAAATTTTTAATTAGTTTCGCAGATTTTTTATTTTCTTTTTTCGCATTGGATCTTAGAAGGTTGCAATTTATTATTTAATTATTTTAATACTATTCTAAATGTTTTAACTTCATTTTAGGGCTTTAAAGTAAGTACACTATTTAACATTTCAATGCTTATTGTATTTTAAAGCGTCCAAAACATTTTGTATTAGCTTACTTTATTTCTAAAAAATTGTATATTAATTGCTATCTTATTTTCTTGACCTTTAAGCTGCTGTTATTGATGATGAAATGACTCCCTGCAAAGGTATTGAATGCTTGCCTGTACTACAACTCTTCGAATAGTCTCGATGGCGGTTATTTATGTTTCGGCTAATGTGATACCTCTCTCATTAAAATAATGTCTTCTATTACAAATTTTACTTAGCATTAGTTTTCAGGATATACATTTGGGCAACTACACTATTTAGAATAACAGCTTTGAATATATGAATGAAGATTTTTCTCACCCGCAAAGTGACCTGTTATTTATTTCGACAAAAAATACTTGGGTATGTGTGAAAGTGATATTAAATACGGTTGCTTTTGGGCATGTGGGGATGGCGTGTTAAATAGGCTTTTGCTGTTTAATTTAATGCCATGGAATTCAACAACGGGAGCTATTTTGTAAAGAAAACATATTCTATACATCAGGGCGAATTGACAGCAATAGACTATGTATCAGACTGGATCCGAAGTAATTTTACATCAGGAATATTAAGTTAACATTTGTTCTGATGCTTTGTGTGCATTTTCCCACCTAAAACTTTGCAATAAATTAATTTATAAGCACAATATTTTAACGCTGAGTTACAGAAATACATAATTTAAGGTCGCATTGAACAAATACACATGTTGGTCATTATTGCAACGAGAGGACTGATGCATTAGCCGAAGAAGCTGCTGTCGGTAAGGGATATATGGTATAAATAATATACAGGGTTCCAGAAGAGGCGCAATTTTCGGAGTGAGAAACCATGTAATTAAGAAATGGACGCTGGGAGTGCCCTTGAAAAATTTTAAAAATATTAAAAAATGTATTCAAATTAGTCAAAAAGTGAAACTTATTAACGGTATCGATTTAAACCAGATTATTACTAATCATGGGCAGTTCCCGGTTTATTTGAATAGATTTTGTCTTAAGAGCTGTGACATACGCAAATTATGCAATATATCTGGTTATGTTATTCACTTCGTCGCATCATGTCTCTCAGCACAGAACAGGGATTTATTTTCAATTTGCAAATGGGAAAAGGTTTTAAAAATATATAAAAAGCAACAGTGTTTGAACATAAACTAATAAATATAATTAATAATGGTAAAAGTATAATCGATATAGAAGTTTGAATGGAAAATTTTTATTATCTATTTCCTTAAAATTACATAAGTTATTTTTATTTTGAAGTAGTTTTAAGTGTATGTTTGTGTTTTAGATTTGGAGAGTACAGCGGTTACTCACTAGTCGTATTTTTATATTCTTTAGTTTGTTTATTTTAAGCTTCTTAGTTTAAAGCTTTATCTGTTAATAATTGGAATTCATTTTATTTTTGATAGCATATACTTAAAGCAATTTGGGTTTGTTTTTGGACGGGATATCCTTGTTAGTCCTAATCTTATAGTTAAACACTGTTTTGGAAAGGGGAACGGTGTTGCGCCCATTGATATACCATGAGATGCAGATTCCAAAATAATTTGAGTGCCCGAATATCTAGTTTGACAAACTGAGGACGTGGTGCTAAGATACTCATCTCTTTAAGGTATAGAATTGCACAAAAGCAATTTTGTCATTTGATATTGGAAACACTAGACATCCTAACCTATCAACATCTCTGGTATTACCGTAATTGATATCACCGTTATTGTCAGGTCATTGTCATCATTGTAAATTATTGCCATTCCTATCACAGTAAATTATTATCGTCTAATAGGAAAGGTAGCATATTGCTAAAAGCTTTGAGATGATTTGTGTATGCCATATTTCAAATGCCCATAGTATTTAGTTTACGGTGTTTTTGCAGTTCTTCCTGGTAACATTATTACAAACCATTATCCCTCTACAAATTCTACACCAAAGTATTCCTTCTTTAGGCATGTAGTCTTCTTGTGCTTTGTTGTAATGCATTAACACGTTAAGCACCATATCAGTCACCGATGATTGACAGTGTACTTTGCCCTTGGACCGCGTCAGTCATCAATATACTTTGAAAGTATACTTCTCGTTCAGGCCGCATCAACCGCTGCTGACTGACAGTATACAATTTAAAAAATGCTACTCTTTTATCAAATCTGTCTTACTCAGATCGTTGAAGTCGGATGTCGGGGGCTTAATGTTACTAATCAACTAAAAGTACTTTAGCTGCTATGCCTTATCTTACAGGAGAGGCATTTTACACCATTGTTTCAATTTGTATATATAAAGTGGTACACTGTACAAATTCTTATGCACTTTTATCTCATAGATAGGTGAATTGATAGCTATAGATAGCTGTTCAATTGTGTTATACCGCGGTAGCACGTGTAATCTTTTGTACTGTGCAACTGGTAATTACTGAAGTGTAAGTTTACGATAGAAGTTACATGCTGCTTTCAGCTTTGTAATGAACCATTTCTTCGTTTTCTTACCATTTCTTCATTACGGATTCGAGACCTGATTGCCACCTAGGACCATAAGGTTTGGACATAGAGCGTCCGGTTTCAGAAAGCCGCAAAATCATTCCATATGTTAAACATAATCCTGTTTCCGCCTCCTAATATGGAAAATGGACACTGGAGATTTTTCACTGTGGATTAGGTCCTAGAAATTTTAACTGCGCCCTGTGCTGAGTTAGGTTTAATAATTTCCACAATTTTCCACTGAGGGCGCTTCAATCGCTTTTTTTAAATCTGGCGCTCCAGGTTTGCTAGAGATAGAACGAACAGTCTCAGGGTACTGGGGCCATCCCTTCTAGAGTAAAAAAGAATGAGTAAAGACTTTACTTTGAATCCAGGATATTACTTCTCTCCACATGGAAATATTTATGGTATGCTCTATTGTGTTATGCGTATTAGTATTTAAAGCTTATTTGATAGAAGATTAGTTATATCACATACGAGCTAAATAGTTTACTGTATTTTTTATCTTAACATTTAAAATTTATTTAATAAACGAGTTATTTTTAAAAATGTACTTGCAAGGTTATACAGAAGAAACCGTGACGAAGAAATGTCATACATCTATTTAAATATATCACGAAATATACACAGAATACGCAAAGTTACTTGGATTTATTAAACATATAAATTAGTTAATAAATTATTAAGTAAAAGGTGGTGTTTAAGTTATGGGAAATTGTGAATTAAATTATTTATTTACGTAATCAGTAAATTTTGTGAGAGAAAATAATTAATGAATACTTTTCTTTGCAATTTTGCTTTTAAAACATTTAAGTGTTATGCATAAAAATACGTCTAAAATAAAGTGCATAACTTGCATAAGTATATGGAGCAATTTGTCAAGCATGAACTTATTTTTTAAATTATTTCTCTTGAAAAACATTAATTTTGATGTACATTTAATATGTTAAAGAAAGAATCAAGTGACAAACCAACTGTTTTTTTTTCCAGCAGTTGATGACGCAGATGCTGAATCATCTATATGTTCCCTTCTATAACGTTTACATTTCCTAGGAGAAGTATATATAGTCAGAGAGAATTATAGTCTTGTAAAAAATAAATGAACTAACTATTCACAAGAACAGAAAGACTTGTGACAGTTTTTAATTAGTATTTTTCAATTGAAAAATTTACCGTTTGAGTTTTGTATGGCTTCCAAGATGAAGAAATTAAGATATTGCTTGCGACTGTAAGAAAGATTTTGTATTGAAACAAAGCTATTTTATATTAGAATTGATGATTTGAAATATGATACAGAATGCAGGTATCCTGCATGTCAACTGAAATTTTTTTCATGGGAATTTCTTGCTGTGAATGAAACTTTTGATTTAGACATTTCAATGTAAACTGAATTTGAAATGTAAAAATTCATGTTTAAGTGAAAACGAATTATTTATTTATGTAATATATTTGTGTTAATTTTTTTATCATAAAAGCATCTTATAAAATCTGAACTAACTTTTTCTTACATCACGTTAAAATGTTATCTATCGTTTAGTAAGGAATCTTTATACTATTATGTATATATAAAATGTATGTATAAAAGCAATATTCCTTCCATTTATTCCTTTCAAGTTTCATGCAACGTCTAATTATATAGTGAATTTTACTATATTATTATATCATGAATTTTTTATCTCTCGAATTTAATTTGAAAAAGTTTAGCATTATACATAGAGTTTAAGAATATATATTATTTTTTACGCAGTGCTTTTATGACTTGATGGTAAGTCGTATGTCTTCCATAACGGAACGATTTTATTTTAACAAATTCTCGAAAGTCGATACCATCACTCCCTTTTATTTCACAGTTAATATTATTTCACATAATTAGCCTTTTAATGCACTTGACTGAGTGACCTGAACGGTAAAGTGAACTAAATTATTTACGCGCATCCGAATAAATGCGTTCAAGAAATTGTTTTAAGATATGAATACAACAGAATATATCGCTACAGTTTTGAGTTGAAATAAAGAAAGAAGTTAAAAGTGAGTGATTTAAAATAAAGAATGAAACACAAATTGGAAAAAAAAAAGACCACTATCTGAATTTTTATTGATGCGTTAAGGAGTTCACTTCCGTTTTCTATTTATGCATTCTTATTTTGCTATTCAGTAAATTTTCACAAAAGCTTGTTATTAAATATGCTGAAAAGTTATAGCTTAATAAAACACATCATCCTTTGAAACATGTTAGTGTGGTAAAGCAGCTAAGTAACTGCAAATAGGAGAACTATTAGAAATAAAAGCTATGTAACATGTATAAATATTAAATATCATTTTTTTCATGGTTAATAATTATTGTCAGATATTTTATTATAGGAAACAAAAAAAAGTTTGAAAGAGCAACATGTTATAATTTATTGAAAATAGTGGCAAGTATACAACAGAATTGGTCCAGAAATTTACAAAAATCAGTTTAAATGTAACATGAGTCTTTGAAAACACTAAATTGAACAACATACGTAAAACACAATATTCTTAGTTTTCAAATTTGGAGCTGGGATGCACAATCACTGAGAAATGAATATAAGCTTGAGAATGATATTACACAAAATGTACGTGATAAATATTGGCAGTGCTTCAGGTTATAGGATACTGTGATCCCCCGAATAATATTAATAATCATTCTCTCTTTGTTGTAGGCATTTTATCACAAATGAATACTTCACCAGTATTAAGAATAACATACTGGTCCCAAGTCTATTCCAAACTCTTGGTTTCTTGAACCGATATCTTTAAACGCAATGTCTACAATTGGTAATCGCTGTGGTTTATCTGTTTCATACTTCAAAACAGTTTGAGCCCACTTGCTATCTCGATACTGGAAAAGAAAATAAGTTACTTTAATTCAGTGACAAATTATTTTGATAATAATAAGAAAACATTATATGGTGTGTTTTATAACTCGCGTATGTAATTAAAGCAAGATTTCTGCATTTAATATTAAAAAAGACAAAATGGTCTTTAAGATACATGATAATACATTTTTGCCTTTTCTTTTCTATTTATTTTTAATAACACAAATATACAAAGACCAATAATTATGCATATACTGAGACAGGTTTTGTACTGTGCACAAACGCCATGTAGTGAGAGTCTTGTGCAAGCCGTAAGCATATCTTAATCCTTTGACTGCTGCAAGTAGAAGCGCTTCGCGTGAGTGGCGTGCGGCCGCAGAATGACTGCCCAAATAAGCGAGATTTCTTTTTTTTTTTTTTTTTTTTTTTTTTTGGTTAAGCAACAAACGAGGTATGAGGTTTCTGCGAGTGTTGGACATGCACAATAAAAATGATTTCCGAACATACACATGAGGCAGCAGTAAACAGACAAAGCCGTCGCCGCATTTGCGTCCATAGCAGTCTGAGTCTGTAGTCTGGCAACACCAGATGATCCTATGCTATGCATGCTGGAAGAAAAAACGACGTGCTGTGCAAATATTAAAGCTGTTCCAATAGCAACATAAAGTACAACGAATATTAAATTATGATTCAAACTCAATAAAAGTACATCTGAGACGACTGTGCAATTAACAAAGAACGTGTATGGGACGCATGCTTATCTCGTGGAGAGATATTTATGTGGTTTGCTCAAGAAAGCATTAAAAGATGAAGACAAGCTTGGAAATGCGATTCTATTCGCAAGGAGAAACACATTGCTGAAGTAAGAGAGCGGATCACAAAAGACGCTTCTGAGAATTATTACGCGCTCGTGTTAATAGAAACATATATACGAGACTTATTATGATATATGTATATATATAAGAATATTTGGACAAATCTTTTCCAAATTTGTGTCGCATGTCAAATAATATGAACATATGAGACTGTTCAGTATGCGAAAACCATCGTTAAAACTGCATATGGAAACAGACTCGTACTGAAAATGTTTATTACAAAGGATAGAATTTGCTGATTTGGTTACTATCTTACAGTGAAATGCCGACGTGTTTAATAAATGTCACAGAATCACGGAGAAGCAAACATATTTTTATTCAGAAGTCAAAGAAGAGAGTTTCATCACAAAATTTTTCTTGAAAGGTACATTGCCCCTAACAATGTTTTATTTGAGTATTCTGTAATGCGTATTGAATTCAGCAGAGTATTCTGTAATGCGTATTGAAGAAGCTTCGTCTTGTCTGATTTAATTATTTGACAGCAGAGTTAGTTCCTTATACTCGAAGTGCACCTGCTCATCAGGTTGTAAAATGTTCGAAAACATTTAGCCGGGAAATAAATGTGTGCGCTCAGTTACTGATCTTAGGCTCTTTTCCCTACTTTTATTTTTAACAATTTTCTCTAAGTATTTCAGTAAGTATCTTTACTCATATACCAGTTATTTTTCATTTGTAAAAGTGATAGATGTTTAACACAGATATTGGCCCCTAAAAATGCGAAGCATAACTTCGCTTCAGTTTTTAGCTTTTGAGGGAGTAAGAAAATGTTTTAAGCCTCTTCGAGATTGCATAAATTAAATATTTGGATTTTTGGTAATAGTCAGAAGTTTGAGTTTTGTGTTCAGGTAATTTTGATTTCCTTATTTATCGTGAATTTAATGGAAATTTATTCGAAGAATATACTACACATAACAAAATGCAGTACGAAAACTGCATGGGGTTTTTTTCGTAGTTTTCCCCATGTGTAACGTGCATACGAGCCAGTTTCCCTTAGAAAGTCCTCCACGAAGGCATCCCTTCCCTTAGGCAGGTAGCCCTTGAGTGCTCTGCCATAATCAAATACACACACAGTACGAAACTAAGGATTATTTCATTTCCTGTTTCTTGGTTTAGTGTACTTACAACCGGGTAGTTATTTGCGTACACGTTTTGCTACTAAATTCTATATTTTATATTGGAAAATTATTTAACTTTTTAAAAATTTCTTATCTTGTTCTGTGACCTACTGGCTTATGCGGTTTTCTTTTCTGAGCTATGAAAATAGCATTTTTTAAGGAAATATTTCATAGCTAAATAAATACATATATAAATTATTTGAAAGTATAATATAATGCAGCTACCAAAAATGTATAGGATTATTAACTGTACGTATAATTCTATACATATACAAGAAAGTTTTCTCTCTCTTAGTTTTTCTGAAATTCAAAAAGTCTTAATTCGATACGAAGGCAAAAATTTATGAAGAAAGTACATACTTTGCAATTATCTTGAATTGCGGAATATGTAAACATCGGATTTCCATCGGCAGTTAACTCTAGATCATTGTAGGCCATTAACTTAACAGCCTTTTTAAGAACATTTCGTTTACTGTCTTTATAAACCAGTGCATTCCTGCAATGTACTGTTACATTCTGTTCGGCAACCTTACTCAGAAGCTGGAGGAAACTCATCTGGATGCGATCCGCTGTGTAGCTAAACTGTAAAACAAAGAATTTGATGTAAAGATGTGCGCAAATAAAGTATTCTTTCCTGCAGACTATCAATAGACTATCTATAAGACTTACTGTGAATCCACCATCCATTGAACTAAACCACATTTCTTGAGTTCTCCCGTTAAAGTGATTTTTCTTTTGAACCTAAATGATATGAAAAAGGGGAAGATTGTTTTGGAAACATTAGCTTATATTTTTGAAGATACTAAAACACAGAAATTAAGTATTAGGGTAAATAGGAAGATATATATACATATAATTCTAAAAGCCTAGAATGATAACTTGAATCAGTTTTTGTCTTTCACACATTTGTCAAAATAAAGCTTTAAATTTTTGCATTATAGAGCACAATTTTTACATCAGAAGGAATTAATAAATTTTTGATTGCTTATCAGTTTTGACCCCTTTACTATTTTTAATAATTTTGTAATTGAAATTACAGTTTGAATTAAACACTCTGAAAATTATGAACATGAATACACAGGCTTATTGTACCTGTTCGGGCTTAGCAGATACGCAGGTAGCTCTCTTTTCCATATCACAGAATACTTGAATTGCATCTTTAGGATCCCCCTGGTTTGGATCAACCCAGTACATGCCTGAAATTAAAAGACGTAACAATTACGGCAATGATTGAGATAGCTGAGAACCTGTTAAACTTTTCTGACATTCCAAAGCGAATATGAGGGAAAACATTTCAAAGGGATGTTTTCGTTGCCTTCTTTTGTTGTGTCCAACATGCTTCTAGAAAGCATTTTAAGTTTTAGAATTTCGAATAATCCAAAGATATATTAAAATATAAAGAATGTGATTGATGAAAGTATAGAATATCTTATGTTAATTAACCAGTTATTATGATTTTGGTCTTTATTATATCTTCTGCTTTCAGTATTCCTTACCAGATTACAAATAAGCTTTGAGTGTATTTAAGCTGAAGGTTTTAAATCTTGTTGAGAGAGCTTCTGGCAGTCGTGTCTCGCTGTTAGTAATCCTAACCAGCTCTACTTAATATTCAGGCTTTAGCATTCTCGCTAGCCGATGTGATAAATTTCTGCTCAGCAGAATATTATCCGAGACAGCTCATTTAATGTATAGTTTTAGAGTACGCTATCAACGTTTGAATTTAATTCTCTGTTATTGTTAAGTTAAAAAGTCCGTAAGTTGTGGTTTTGTCTGTAGAAAAAAGGCGTATTTTTATGTTCAGTTTACGACGAAAACATAAAGGTTATTTTAAACCTTCTCCTGTATTTGTGAGTTGTTAAGAGGTAGCGTTAGCTCGCTATCTATGTAGTACGGTTGGCAAGACTTTAACTATAGCTGCAGTTACGATAGCAACCCTAAAAATGTTAAGATGATATATTTGCTGAATACATTCCGCTTCATTTAAGCAATGTAATCGAGGATAGCATTTAATTCATTTTTAGTCAGTTTCACGAAAAAGGAATTGTCAAACATATAGCCGAATTCAAAATGTTACAGTTTTTTCTGCTTACTAAAATAAAAAAAATAGTAACTATCAAAAGAGAAGGCATGTTTAAAATACATCTGATATATTTGACCAGAATGCACAACTTATATGTCGCTCATTTTAAATTAAGAGAAGAGCTAGAAAAACTTAATTATCAATGATAAAATTTATCCATACCACTCTCTAATTCAGGATGAGCAACAGCAAGGTCACGGCAAGTTGTAGCTGGAGTTTGCTTTTCTCCTGTTGGTTTTCGGAACTCTTCATATTCTTGGATAAGTTTATCGTAAAATTCAAAGACAAGTCGTTTTTTCTCTTCAATAGGTGTATCAGGAGAGAACAGTTTATCGGGCTCATCTCCAAGTAGTGGATCTGGTCCCTGATGTAAAAATAATTATCCGCAATGTTATTTTGTGTCTCAAGAAAATTTTATAACATGCAAGCTAATTTAATTTATAAGACTATACTATGCAAATAAATTTATATAGAAACTGGAATCATGTGGTTATTGATAAACTGTATATAAATATACCTTCTATTATATTCTGCATAAGAATCAATAATTTTTCTACCAAAATAGAAAATTGTTTTAAATATTAATAGATGAAATATTAGCTGAGATATTATTTTTAGATGAATAAGAAAGCTAACAGAAATAACTTCATAGTACTTGTATTTCGTTGAAACAAAGTATTCCATGATTTTTAATATTAATCAAACTTTTCAGCGGGTTCTTGCAAGTATTTCCCAGGGATCGGCAGTTGGTCGTCAGCTCACCACAAATTTGCCTTAAGCCAAAATCGCTTCCTTAGATCTCAACAATGCCACCGGTGGATGGTACCAACCCCGTTGGAAACCACTGCTTTAGAACTAAAAAGCACTTTTAGATACCTTTTAATAAGACTAAAAATATATTCCTGCTGCATATGGTTTGCAAAATTAGTACAAATGTTTAAGACTGAAAAGTGCAAAATTTATATAAATATTTAGGAACCATCTCTTCACTTGCTGTAGTACTGCCTAAAAGGCAAAAATTTTGTTAACTTGTGGTACGCATGAACTTAAGGCCTCACTTACTAGGTCAGAATGAATTTTTGATATTGTCAACATAGCTAATAATTTCTACTATGAAGTCTTGTGTGTTTTCATTGAACATAACAATACGTAAGAAATAAGCTATAAAATATTTTAAAACGTGTTCATTTAGAAAAAATGTTTCATGTTAGATGTTTTTCTTCCTTTTATAAACTATTCTGAATAAATTATAATTTTAATATTTAATCCCACATTTATCTATGAGTTGAGAAAGAAGGTGGAAAATAAGATGCAGATGAAAGCAGGAATACCTTAATACTAAAGTTAATATTAACTTAAATTTGCAATGCCTCACAACTGATTGAGAATAATTATCGCTTATTTAATCAATTTGTCTTTTAAAACAATTGTTTACCTTCACTTGACCTTGACTAAACAGAGCTGCTAGAGTGTTGGCATCATATCCAAATGGTTCCCCAGGTGGGCCAGGCTGTCCAGGTGGGCCAGGAGGTCCCACAGGACCAGCTTTTCCCGCATCGCCCGAATGTCCTCTAGGCCCTGGTGGTCCGCTCAAACCTGGATTTCCAGGACTTCCATCTCTGCCTGGTGGACCTTTAGGACCTGGTGGTCCCTAAATGTATAAGTATACAATTACAATCAATCTTTAAAATGGAACTACCAAACTGTGCCTATTTTTTTAATTAACACATCTTATAATAGTTTTTATTCTGAATTCTTGGTCTTCGTGGCTTGAAGATAATATGATATCATTTAATTTTGATACACAAACATATACATAAATTTCAAGATGTAAAATATTTACTACAAGGGAAAAAAGTTTACTTTAAATTCTTCAGTCTTGTCTAAAAGTCAAGGAACAACTAGGCTTTAGGTTTCAACTGTTAGTTACGAAATTTAGCATGACTACGTATTGAACCTTGAAAAAATTATATAGCTTCGCACAAGTTACGTAAGTGATATAAAGATAACAAAAGCTTTTTGAGAAAAATAATTGAATAAAATAAAATTTAATGTATAGTATGCCCACTTCTGACGTGAATACAATCATCCTCTGTTTATATTGTCGTCTAGTTACTACACCCGTAAGTTAGGAGCAAACCAAGTGTTGCCTTAATTTCCATTGCAGTTCATTCAGTGATCTTGGATGAGGGATAGGCCAACTGCTTGCATTTCGAGGTGGCGTCATAAATTTTCAAGCGGACTGAGGTCAAGTCTATTCGCTGAGTTCTGTGATCGCTAATGTACGATTTATTACAGCTACTCTACGCGGCTGAGCATTAACACAATAAATCATGTAGAAAAGCAGCTAATGGTTCTACATTCTGCTTAAGCACTTCCGGTAATATATAAGGAACTAGAAGCATTCCTGACATGTGTTATTGGGATGTAGTCGTCAGCATATTCAGCTAGCAACTAGAAGATTCAGATTCAATTCCAAGTGAAAGCACAATTGATTTTTCTAGAATTTCTGCTAAAGCAAAGTTCGTATTATTCTACATAGTGGGTCAAAGCATTCAGAAATCCATTAGCAAATACAAGGAGGTCTGCGTGGGCGTCTAAAGAGACCTGTGTTGAAAGCAGGATACTGCTCGAATATGTGCCTTTTTGGAGGATGTTTTGCATTGACTGTTATTCTTGAATGTTACTGAAATCAACTATTTCATTCACTTAACTATCTTTGATATTAAAAGTTCTGTAAATTAAAATTTTTTTACCATAAGATTTCATGTAGAATTTCAGTACCCCAAAAAGTAATTCTGATGATTCTTTTTCTAATTTATTTATTAACATTTAGATTTATTTAAAATTTCAGACATAGGAAATTGGCTGAAATTTAAGAAATAAATAAAACTTTTAGTTTTTGATTTTGCTAATGGTTTTTATGACTTTAATAAGTCTTAAAATATACGGAGAAATAAATAAATGCTTGCTAAGTTAAGAAAAATGCTTGAGTATGAGAAATAACAATCCAGAAACTTAATTTTCTTTATATGAAGATAATTATTTCAAATTTAAGCAATAAAAATTTGTATCTCATTATTCGATTAGAAGGAAGTTAATATCAACACTTCATTAGCTTTTACAACAAGTTCAGTTATCCAAAGAAGTCCTTACCTCCATTCCTGGAGGGCCAGGAGGTCCAGTCATTCCTTTATCTCCAGGTACACCCTAAAGATAAATTAAATTTTTGTCATGAAGGGGAAAGTCAACTAAGGAGAAATTACTTAAAGTACAAGGAAAATAATAACATTTGTTATGGTATTTGAATTAAATGTGCTTATTTGAAGTAGATGAATAGGAATTATGATGCGAAAAAAAATTTAAAAAGTTATGATGTACGCTATTTTGATGAAAAAATTGAAATACAGAATACATATAAATCTCAAAATCATCTGATTTGAGATTCAGAATCAGAGGCTATTGGGAAAGGACGAAATCAATTAAAACTGCTAATATCACAACTGATTCTTATTGTTGATTTTCAAATTTCCAGAATCCACATAAACTGCTTTAACATAGGAATTCAAATAAAGTCGCAAATATAGTAAGTATTTCTTTATCAACTACATTAAGATCCTAAATTATGGATTTTAAATCCTAATGCAAATAAATAATGCGCTTATTGAGCCTGTGTGAAGGATATGAATAACTGAGAAAGAAACAATGAAATGACTTTTGACTTACCGGGGACCCTGGTATTCCTTGTAAGCCAATCAAACCTCGGTGTCCTTTCATTCCTTTCTCTCCAACGTCACCGCGTTCCCCTTTCATGCCAGTGAGACCTGTGGGTCCTGGTGGACCTCTTGGACCTTGAGGTCCTGGAACACCTCGGGGACCCGTTTCTCCTCGTTCACCTCGTTCGCCAGTAGGTCCAGCAGATCCCAATGGTCCAGGAGGGCCCTTTAAATCGTATTAAAATATATAAAGGGAATCAAAACACTGAAGCTCTTGCTTTTCTTACAATATGAATCCGCAAAAACATGCATGTTTAATATACATGAAAGAATATAAACACAAAAATAACTTTTTAAAATATTATTTTACTTGTATTCCTTGAACTCCTGGTGGACCTGGAGGTCCAGGAGGCCCAGGTGGTCCTTTGTCTCCTATGCGACCTGCGATTCCTGGTTGTCCTTCTTTTCCTTGATGACCCTACAAATGAAGTGACACATCTGTTAAGTATGTTAACCAAAGAAGTAAGATTCAGCTTCATTAAACGAAGTATCAAAGAAAGCAAGTTCCATTACAGCAAATCATTTTAGTACATATGCCTAGTACTATGAGAAAAGTTTCATGCCTTTTTTTTTACCTGTGAAATTAGATACTGGCTTTTAGAAACATTTCTGTTATTACAGGTAATATTTCACTTTTCTGGGAATATTTTGATTACATGATAATTTTCATAGAATATTTAATAATATAAAGCATTCTATTAAAGAGAAGTACATTTTAGTTTTTCTTTTGAAATATTAATAGAATTTGTAATAGATAATTGAAATTTAGTTTTAAACATGCATTCATAACAGTAAAATTCCTTTATGAAAATAATGTACTAAAAATCTTCTAATATAATTGCATAATGAACCTATCATAATACAATTTTAATTCCTGAAAGTCAAGACAGAAAGTGCTTTCTTAAAATTTAACGGTTTTGTTGACAACATTTATACAAAAATATTTTTTAAATGTATATCCTTAGAATAAGATACACTTCATGATCTGCGCAAACAGTTATAGCGTCCACTTAAAAAAATAGGTTGCACTGTTGAAAACGGTGCAAATTATTTGCTGTATGTCAGTGCTAGCAACAAAAAATAAGTCTGTTTTTCTATCCGTGCAAAATTTCATAAAGTTGATAAATTAATTTTAAAAAATATGAAAGGGCTCAGATTTTAACTTCGCACCAGAGGATTTGTAAAGGATTTTTATGCTGTCTCTGAGCTCGCAGTTTGCCAGTCTGCTCCAGAACTTACGCCAATTAACTGTTTTTGACTTTTTAGTATTCAATTAACCTGAGGCACTCGGTGTTGCCCGTCATTTTACACAGACCGAAGAGGTTTCATTTAGGAGATGAGAGTAGGTTTTTCGAAATCTTAGGTAGACAATGATTCGCCTCATTTTTTGGCTGAAGGAGAATTGTGAAAAATTTTATTAAGTTCGAATAAAATTGTAGGACAGTGTAAAACTAACATGGTGCTATTTAACGTTTTCAGTAAGTAACAGATATTTTGTTATCGGCTATATGTTTTTTCTTTGGGGGGGGGAGAAGCATTTGGAAAATCACCAAGCATTCTGGCCGATTTCTTCACCGTTTCCTAAATACTCATGGAAAACTGACAGAGAATAAACTTAAATGCTGCTGTAAATATTCTGCACAGTTCTGGAAAGTTCTTCACTGTTCTAAAGACTGAAAAAAGACAGCCATGCGCAGGCGCATTTTCGTGTGCCCCAAATCTCTAACTATGCTTATAAATAAGAATTGAATTGAATGAATATAATTGAAATATAAGCGAAATTTGCGAACATTTTGTGAAACTTTTCACCTCCATTTCTGGTTTTCTTTAGTTCTCAGCATGTGACTACAAGAAATTTGTAAAGTCTGAACTTCAGGCGTTTGTGTATTGTGTGCCATACTGCTGCTGTTATGCATTAAATTGTTTGTACGATAAGCTGATTTGCTTGGGATTCGTTGATAAGCTGCTTAGATGTTTTCCACTTGTTTGTTGACGGATTGGTGTTCTCTACTTTTCCCTTACACAAACAGCCCCTCTCCTGAAACTGTTTCACACACCTTACCTTGTGATGAGACGGGGAGGGTTGATTTGATACAATGTGACGGGGTGGTGCTTATTTAGCAAATCTGGTCCGGATATGACTCTAAACAACGGTTAGCGATGAAGATAAATGAAGACTTGCCTAGTCCTAGTTATTAATAATACAAACCTAATATAAAAGGAAAGTATTACTTAAGTATACAATCAAATACTCAAAATTACTTCAGTTGATATGGTCAGTAATTTATATTTATTTTTATGCCATCGAATAAATAAACCAGTATTTCACTCAGAAAGAAGAAGAAAGAAATTAAGTTATCCTTTCATAACATATCTTAAACAACGAAAGAAACCTGAGAACATAAGCTACACATCTGGAATCTTAGGAAAATTTGTTAAACGTTAGATTTTAAAATATATCGTTCATGGGTTGCAACACTGGCCAACTAAAAGAATGAAAATTTTGAGTTATTATTGTTTACAACATTGTATAGTCGTCTTCTTTATGGGGCAGTACTAACAAATAGCGGTAGTATCTCGGGTGCATTCTTTGATGTCTTGTGCACAATGGCTGCAATACTGACACTTCGCAGTTTGCTCCAGGTGCTCAGCGGGAGCATTACGTGTTCTGTTCATCAACAGTGACCTTCAGTTGTGCCGGTGTCGTTCAGTGATTTAACTCTTTTGTTGTGATCCATCTCAAACTGTGCCGTTGCTGTAGAGTTTTTTAAAGAATAAATATCTATTTCTAATGTCTATTATGTGAATCGAGAAGATGTATAATTAACATGAGTAAAGAAAATATCCGTGGAGAAATGATAAATCTGTATAAATATCTCAATTAATGTATCATTCTTTAATCTGCAAGCAGCTCTGGCCGCAAAGCATAGAGAAATTTTATCATTTTATTGTAAGTCAAAATTGTCCACCTGTGACTTCATAAAATAAGAGAGGAAAAATGGTCTTGCTACCGTCTACTTCTATCTGAAGCATGAAGACGGTGGAAAGAAAGGCGCAACTGAAATTGGGACATGCTTTCAAAAGATTTTGGGAGAAAAACGTGGCTACATGCAAAACTTGTACGCTGTGGGACATTAAAAGCATAACATATAAATATTTTGTTGCCGGCTACAAACAAAATGAAGGAGATTGTGCTCCCTTTTTAATCGGAAAAAATGTGACATGATCCTTGAAATCAGGCATGTTCTATCGCAATGTGCGTTTTTTAACAGATAAGAAAGGAGGAAAGGCTTTCAAAAGATTGGAAATGGAATATGAAGTCTTTACTGGTGTAAAGGATCTCACAGGTCAGATATGTCAAAATTTTACTGTAAATCTAACAATGATGCTGCATACTTCAACAGCATTTCCGTACTGAAAGTGGAAAAACATCATTAGACTATTACTTCTCTTTTAACCCTCTGACTGCGTACTTTTTTTTTTTTTTTATCAAAATAGGTTCAAAAATTGCGTATGTTTTTATTACATATTTCAAATCTACATACATTTTAGAGTTAAAATATACAAAAATGTTTGTAAAAGGGTTTTTTTCAATATAGAATTAGATCATAGAAAAAAGGTTATCGGAATACTGAAATTGAAGAATAATGATATAAAAGGAAAATTTTGAAAATTAATATTGGTTAAATTATGATTTATTATATAAAAACAAAGATAAAACATTATACTATATATTCTATATATATCAATTTTTTTTCAATCAATCAAAACATATATATCAATTTTGCACCACTGTCGAACGTTTTTAATATAAACTGAATTTTCAGATTCATCACTGTCTGCTAAGGAATCCGAGAAATTCTCATCAGTTTCGCTATAACTATCTTCAAATATAGTTGAAATCAGAGTCAGAACTACTCTCAGTGTCGGAAATATCGTCAGGAATATAGGTTATATCACTAGCGAAACGTTTCCTGCCAGACATCTTTGAGCTCTGAAAAGAGCGCGCAAAATGCTACATTACGTATTCTTGTATATTTGGCAGAAATGTGGACAATTAACGCCATCTATTAACCCACATTTAAATAAACAATTAAACACCATAGAAAAGCCAAAAGGAAACCTTGAACGGGGAAAGAGCGAGTTGCATAGTTAAATAGACAGGAAAAATTCATCTCCGCGGAAATCGCGGGTTGCGCAAATTTTGCTGTTTCTACGTTGCCCGTTGAAATCGCGGGACGCGCAGCGATTGGGTTAAAGAAGCCAATTTTACAGCTGTCAATAAGAAAGCCACCAGATGCAGGAAAAAATTGCTGTCCATTCAAGAGGCAACATTGGAAAAAGCTTACAATAAATGTCTAGTAATATCTCAGAAAAACTTTAACGTTTAATCAACAACAACGCAATATTAAGCTGCTATTCAGTATTTTACTGCAAAAATTTGAATCGTAAAAATAGGTTCTATTTGAAACTAATATAAACATATTCTTTTGTTGGGAAGTCTTCCTTTGTATTCTGATTAATGATATAGCATTGAAACATTAAGAATGCCATCTTGTAATGCATGTCACAATGTGGTAACATAACTATTAATGAAATTTAATTCCTTGTCGTTAAATTGTGTTCATTATTAGGAGCCGTGAATTTCCAATGCAGTTCAACATAATGTAAAAAATGACTATAATAATACAATCTGTTAAAATTTATTATCAAATAATTTTAATTTTGTAATATTTAGTTATTACTAAGAAAACACCTAAGGACCACCAGCGGCCGAACGGTAAAGTCCTGGACGCTGGTAGTTCGATCCGGGGCAGCCTCTGCGACCTAGCTGACTGCATGGTCGTTTGCACAGTTTCCCCCATGTGAAACATATATACAAACCAATTTTCTCTAGATAGTTTTTCACGAAGGCATCCCTTCCCTTAGGTAGATAGCCATAGTGTGCTTTGCCATAATCAACTAAACCAAAGAGAACACCTATGAAATCTAAATACTGTTCACCCTTTAATCCACCAATTAAGCATGTGATTCTCGTATCTCAAAACTAAGAGAAACTTTAAACACCTTTATTTCAAAGGCTTCATTTTTCGATTTGTGACAGTACTGAAGCCCATGAGCGATATAAGTAATAAATTTAAGATAAAAGTCGAAATGTAGTTCCAGCTCAATGCTCTGGAATTTTGGTCTTCTATGAGGTAATATTCCTATGAGACTGCATTGTGGGTTTATGATGCAATAACAATACCACAGTGCTAGTAATGTGTATACGTTTCTCTGCATTTTGTTAGGTAAAGGTATATTTGATATAATTGTACATACACACAATTTATATATATATAAGCTTAAATTCAAAAAGGAATTATTTTTAATAGATTATCCTATTCGAGGAAAAATTTTTAGGGTCAATAAGTTCTGTAAACTGGAGGTGGATATATACACATATATATGTTTATATGTGTTTATATGTATATAGGTATGTTTATAACTGTATTTTCTGTTAGAATATTACCTCCTTTCATGATCTAATTCAGATTTAATTACTCTCGCTTAATTATATATGTATGTATATATACTTTTTTGAACCATTTAAATTTTATGGATATCAGGCATTTGAGTATTTTCTCTCTAAAATGTACTTACTGGTGGTCCAGCTTCTCCGGGTGGTCCAGGTGGTCCAGTTGGTCCTTGTAAACCTTGAGGTCCTGGCGGGCCATCTGCTCCACTTTTGCCTTCCATGCCGCGCTCTCCCTGAAAAAAAATTAGTTATTATGTATAAGTTAAAAATCTGTACTTGTTATTGAAAAATCATTGAACATTTTCCTGAATTAAAGTAAAAATTGGGCTTTTACTATCAAATATTTCGATTTAAAATATTTCAAATCTCACTACATATTCTTACGAGGCAGATAGCCGTCGTGTGTACTGCCATATTTAAATAACCTAATCTAACCTAAACACATTCTTTCGTAAGTTTTCATGAAGTACTTGGTAACCTTTCATTAATAATAATAATATTAATAGGTAATAAGGTATTTAAGTCAGACTTTGTAATGAAATTGCTGATCTCTCCAAATGTTATGGACATTATAAATTATGCAACACTATAGGAGGTGAACTGCATCATCAGAAAGTTAAGCTCCGGAACGTGATGATATAGATAACCACATTTGCCATTCAAAACCAATTGTAAGCTTACTAGCATTCTTAACGTTTCTCTTCAAAATCATTATTTTCCTCAAGCTTGGAAACAGGCGAATATCTTCCTGATTCCCAAGCCTGGGAAATCACAAGACAAACCTGCTGACTATAGGCCAATTAGCTTGTTATCCACTCTTAATAAACTTCTGGCGTGACTCATCTACAGTCGGATGCTTGACGATTGCTTGCCTAGCAGACGATCAACATGGATTCCGTAATGGTCTTTTCACCTCATCCCAACTTGTCAGACTGACAGAATCTATCGGCTCAGCACTTCAGAATAACATGAGCATCGCAATCCTAATGCTAGACATGGCCAAAGGCGTTTGACCGCGTCTGGCACCCATGACTCCTGTACAAGCTCATAAAACTGGATCTCCCCAGGCAACTGATTCTGCTGATCAATTCATTGTTTGACAAACGCACTTTTATTGTGAAGCACGGCAATTCTATATCCAGTACAAGAAGCATCCTGGCAGGTATTCCCCAAGGACCTATTTTAGGACCAATATTTTACATACTCTGTGTCAACGACTTTCCAATCTTTACCGATTACTCCTCTCCAGCTACGCTGATGGCACAGCAATAATCTCCCAACCTTGGCGACCTGATAGCCAAGCTCCAGGATAAGATCCCTGGCACTGAACGTTGGTGAAGTCAATGGAAGATTTGTATCTGGCCCGAAAAATCCCGAAACTATCAGGAGACACCGCAAGAAAGATGAAATTAAAAGCACTGTTAAACTTTTCGGCGCCCCGGTTCCCAGAGTAAATAACGTGCAATATCTCGGAGTCAAGCTCAACAAGAATTTTGCCTGGGCAGATCAAATGACCAAGGTGTGCGGTAAAGTGTTCGGTATAATTATGAGACTTTTCCGCTCTTAAAAAGTGAACAACTTGCTCTGAACTTGAAGATGAGACTTTATGTATCGGTCATCGGACCGATTATGATGTACTCCTAATCTGCCTGAGCTAATGCCACTGATAAAGAGCTAAAAAACTCCAAGTTTTGCAAAATAAGGTTTTGTGGATTATAATGGGAGCCCCTTGCTTTATACTTAATAGAAGCCTCCCCGCGGACTTAAAGTCGATTAAAGACTGTATTACCCGCCTCAACGAAAAATTCTTTAACAGAGCACTTCAATGCAACCCAGCCAACTTTGCGAACATCCTAAGATACGAAATACTTGAAGAAGATAAGAGTTTGCGCCCATCTTCTGTCAACTTCCTTTACTCTACCGGCATAACCTAGCCAGTCAATCCGAGCGCCGGACACCAAATGCGAACGCTGAATTTGGAGGAACTTTTCATCACCGTTTTATTCATTTGGAGGGACTTCTTCAAAGTTCCTACACATGGACCTAAATTTTTGTGAAAACCCAGATGCAAAACGCATCTGTATTTTTCTCCCCTGATATTTGTCTCATCTGGAGAATTCTATGCGCAGATTTCAACACGTCAGGCCAAATTCGGGACTCAATTAAGAATTGCAAAAGAGCAGGACCTTTTTCTCTGCTGAGTGCCAGTATACCCACCGAAGTTTCGAAATTGGGGATGAATGAAATAAATAAATTTTAAAGCCCAATTTCTTCTATTAAGATACGCAGATTAGGATCAGAAAGAGGAGTCTGTTTGCCTAGAGAAGGAGCACTATAAAGAGAGAAAAGTACAGTTTAAAATAATTACATAACATCGAAGTCTTTAAATCATCTTGTTTCGGTCTGTGAATCCGGCAAAATTAACATTGTCTCTACATTTTATTCTCTAATATTCACTGCAACTTTTGATATATTTCACAATAATAGAAGAACTATCTTATTTTCCGTCTGGGAAGGTACCATTCTACTATAATAAAGGAAAAAAATTAAGGATTCCAGTTGCCAAGATTAAATAAAAAGAGAAAGAATAGTAATGCAACTATCATAATTTCGTTATTTAAAAAGAAACAAGTTAGTTTTCTTAAAAAAAACTTCGCTCGCCAGTGGCAGCGATAGATCTGGTGAATTTTGGTAGTTTAACACAAGCCCGACGAGCGACCTGACTGTAAAGTCGCTGAACACTGGCAGTTTAACATGAGTTCGATTCCAGGTGAATAGGCTGGCAGTATGGGCGTTTTCATGGTTTTTCCCATGAGTAATGTACATACTAATTAGTTTCCTTTCGAAAGTGCTCCACGAAGACATCTGTTCTCTTAGACATATAGCCCTCGCGCGGTTTACATTAATTAAATAAAACATAACAAGTCAAGTTTTGGTAGTTCGAGCCGTGTTCGAATTCCGGTGAACGGGCCGCCTGCATAGGAGTTTTCTTAATCTTCCCCATGCTTAACGAAAATGCGAAACAGTTTCCCTTAGAAAATTCTCCAGGAGGCCTCCCTTTATTTAAGCAAATGACCCTGCCATAATTAAAAACAAACTTTTCAATTTCCGATGAATGGGGACAGTAAGATACACAGTTGCATATTAGCTAACTGATTTAATTAGTTGGTTTAACCTTGCCTAGTATACATAAATCTTTTTTGTATTTGCTGCCTGCTTAAATTAGCAGCAAGAAATTCCTTGCTGAATAAAGTTTAAAATCAGAGACTAGCTTGCTGATAAATGAGATTCAAAATCTCGTTGCTTTATTTAAACGCGACGAGGCCTAGTAGCGCTTTATTCAGATCTATAAGGAACAACCCTGCAAACTTCGTTGACATCCAGGCCTATGAGATTCTGGAAGAGGACATACTTATTAGACCTTATGCTGCTCATTTGCTTCACCCAAACCCGCGTGACCAAAATAACCAATTACAGCACAATACTTCTATGTGCTGACAATTTTCTGTTGCAAATTGTGTTTCTGCAAATTTACTACTATAAAAGACTCTCTCTCGTCTCCATCCTATGGGACATAATTTTCTGCGCATTTCGAATGGTCTTTGTGTATAGTTTGCAAATAATCCCCGTATCTCAGGATTTTAGTCGAAGGAACCCACCTGATCAACTCCCAAGCCTCCGACCTGCTTTCAAAACACAAAGGGCTTCAAACTTCTTCGCCGACAAATTCACCTTATCTAGAGGATATATTTAACTACGGATTTAACAAAGGTCAGGCCCTAAACGGGAATCTCTAAGGTACTGGTAAGAGCAGGTAAAAATATCTCCTGCTGTAAGCCAGCATACTGACGAAAGTATTAACAATATCAAAGCGCTTTATTCTATCGTGTTGTACTGAAAATAATGCAGGTTGTTTATCTTTCCTGTACATTTTTAGCAGCAAAAATATTTTGAATTACATTGTGTATATATCATGTTGAAGCTCTATTTGTGCTCTATTTCTATAATAAATCATTTTGTTCCAAAATTATTTTAAAAAATATTTACTAGGTGTTTTTGCATAGATGTCAAAACGGGATTTTCTGGAAATTTACTTTTATGAGTACAAGCTAGGCTACAGCGCAGCACAAACTGTTCGAAATATCAACGAAGTATGGGGCGAGAAAAGTGTTAATGAATCTACAGTTGAACGGTATCAAAAGGTTAGCCGTGAAGAATTTGCCCTGGAAGATCAAGAGCGTCGTGGACGCTCTTTAGCTGTTGATGTCGAAGATTTGAAGACTTTAGTTGAAACAAACCCATGCAGAACTGTTCGTGAGCTTGAGGAGGAGCTTGGTGTCAGCAAAATAACGATTTCTGATCTCTTGAATCGTATAGGAAAGTTAACGAAGCTCGATAAGTGGGTGCCTCACAAATTGAGCGAAAATAAAAAAAAACCGCCGTTTTGAAGTTTTGTCTGCTCTTCTTCTCCGCAACAAAATCGACCCTTTTCTTGATCGAATTGTTACGTGCGATGAAAAGTGGATTCTCTCTAACAACTTTCGACATTCGGCTCAGTGGCTGGACCTCGGTCAGACACCATAAGACTTTGCAAAGCCAAATTTGCACCAAAAAGAAAATTATGGTGACTGTTTAGTGGTCTCATCCACCACAGCTTCCTAAATCCGGGCGAAACGATTACGGCAGATAAGTGCTGTCAGCAGATCAACGAAATGCTCCAAAAATTGCAACGCATGTGCTCGGCATTGTTCAACAGAAAGCGGCCAGTTCTCCATGAAGATGCTCGTCCGCACGTCATGCAACTGACCCTACAGAAAAATTGAACGAATTGGGATCTTGCTGACAGATTACCACTTTTTCAAACATCTGGATAACATTCTGTAGAAGAAATGCTTCAGAAACCAAGACGAGGTCAAAAACGCCTTTGACAACTTTATCGCGTTCAGAACTACAGAATTTTATTCTACCAGCATAAATAAACTTATAGCTTGTTGGCAAAAATACATTGATTCGGCTGGTGCTTATTTTGATTAATAAGATTGTTTTTGAGTTGAGTTGAGTTATGATAATTTTAAGATATAGGTTAAAAACCTGCATTATTTACCGGACAGCCTAATAGTTAGGTGACCGTGAGATCCATGTTAGGCGTTAGTCTGTTTGTGTACTGCGAATATTTATAAATAGTTTCTGGGAGCTGACATAAAAAAGCTTGATCGTGAAAGAATCATCTATAACCCTGAAATGCTACTCACGTGTCAAAGTTAACATTTCGATGATTTTACTAGAAGTTTATTGTAAGAAAGCAGAAAGCCTCATAATAACCAAAGTTGAATTTGGAATCACGCCAAGTGTTAGCTTCATGGCGTTACTCTCTGTGGCTTTGCAAGAAGTAGGTTGCCCCTTTTTCGGATGACAGAGACTGTCCTTTCACCGTCAATGGGAAATAGCTATCAGCTATACTTTGCACTTTGCAAGTGATTACGAAGTCTCTATGCTTCGTTTACATATTATGCGGATTGTATATAGAAAATCTTGCAGAAAGGGAAAGGCCTAAATTCGTATTTAATTTTTTTCTTTTTATATAAGAAACTGGACACAATGCGAATAAATCTCTATGATACAGTCAGTCGTTTCCATTATTCGAAGTAATTTATCGTAAGACCTTCATAAAATCTCGTAATAAAAAGAAACTGGCTCATATTGCTTATAAAATGATCAAATGTATTGATATGCTTAGTTTAGTTCTCTTGTTAATAAAAAACAGGATGCATGTAATGAGTCTAAAAAATAATGAAATTTATGTAATGTTTGTATTGCTGTCTAAGCAAAAACAATGCATGAGTGTAAAATAGATATTAGAATCTAGTGATTGTACATGTGTGATTTAAAATATTAATTACGTAAGATACAGCACATCAGGAAAATAATCATTGAATTTCATTTAGTTGAAAACTTCGTAATCTATTAACAACGCCCACTTGCTTATCGATGATACAAGTCTGTCTGTCGATGGTGAAGGACAGTCTGTACCATCCGAAAAAGCGGCGAACCAAGAAGAATGATATTTACCGCTAAAACATAATCGACGTTACGCAGCTCACCAACTTGCAAGTCGTCTTTAGTGTAGTACAGCAGCAAAGATATCCCACCAAATTACAGTTAGATGATTTAATTACGAAAGGCTATATAGTTTTATGACTGATCGTCTGCGTGGCAGTATACAAGGCGTTTTTAACGGTGTCAGATCCGCTGGAATTGTACGATACTGAGAAGTCAAATTCCTTGAATGTCATAAGTACTTTCACCAATTTGTCACCTATGCCTGGTTATTATATGTAACTTCCTTGTAAAACACTTAACATAATTGCTTTGATTTGTTACTTCCAACGTTATTATATTATATCGGTATATTAGTTTCTTTCAGTATTTGCCAACATTCAAGTGTACATTGTCTTCTATGCACAGAAACGTTGTTTTCTGTAACATGCATAACATTTCTATAACATATATAAATGGATAATTAGATTAATCAGAACGAGGGCAAAAATTAACAATAGGAAACAAGTTACAAAAGTTTTCTTCTGTTTCTGACCAAGTTGAATATGTTAAAATTTAAGTTTCAGAGATTTTTAAAATGTGGACCTATTTAGACTTCCTCACTCCATTGGCAGGCACTTAGCCGATTTAGGCTTGGCCACTACTAAGGCCGGAAGTGGTGGCCACTTTACTGGGCCACCGCTGCTTCCTATGAATAGAAGAACAGTTATAGCCATGCCCTCTCTGGGATTCGAGCCCGGGCCTTCGGTATTGCAGTAGACTCAGCTAACCACTATACAGTCTGGGCGGCATATTTTAGACTTATCTGATTGATTATTGTTTCACTGTATATAACAATTCTTAAAATGTCATAAATAAAAAGCAAACATGGCTTTAGAAAAACTTACGGGTGATCCGCGAGGTCCGGGGGGACCTGGTCTTCCTTGCACACCAGGTATACCAGGAAGCCCGCGATCTCCAGCTGGCCCTGAAGGGCCAGGTGGACCAGTCAGTCCCTAAAGAAAAAAAAAAGAAGTAAACTGAAGTGTACACTAAAAATTTCCTTTTCAGAATTTTATTGAACAAAAGTTTACTTACTGGAGCTCCTTCAGATCCAGCTTCACCTTTCGGTCCTGGAAAACCTGGTTGCCCTGGATTACCAGACGGTCCAGGTGCACCTGGTTTACCACTGTCTCCTGGCGCTCCCTAAGAAATTAACAGAAATTAGAAAATAAAGCAAAGGGGAAGACTTTTAAAAAATGGTTATTATAGCGATATGTGTTCTTTAAACATAGTTTTTGTTATTTAAATAAAATTGACTACGCAATAAAAAGACGAACATTTATTTTAAATGTATAGCAAAATTATTTTCATTTGCATTCTAAATATTTTGAATTGGTAAGAATCTGTATATTGATTTTAGATGAAAATTAGAAGAGAAAAACTTAATGTGATGTTAATAGTAATCTACACGCCGAGTTGAAATTTAAATTTGGAAAGGAATTTCGAACCGCAACTTAATCAATTTTGTTTCAAAAGCGAATAAATTTATTATGCAATAATGAGCACTATATATAATCCATACTTATAATTTACATTTCCAATCTGTAATGTATTCTAGGTACTTGGTTCTGGAGGTCATGTTGAACAATTGTTATTGAAAGAATAATGAATACAGCATATTGTTATCCTGTTCATTGTGTTTCGGGCCGTCATCGCCTTCTATGGGTGACATTTGAAATTAAAAATGTTTTTTCTGCTGCTAATAAAAATACGACTTTCGTGTGAGCTTTTTCTTGCAAACCGCACTTCTTTATCGTAATGTCTTCATTTTCTATGAATTTTTAAAGTTTTAACTCACCCGGGATATCGAAAATCGCAAATATCAGAAAACATTATCTGCATTTTTTTTCCATTTACATGTGTAAAGTCCAACTTTATAGTCCTATCGTGAACTGACGAAACAATTTGGATAAAAGGAAATATTAATGGTACATTTCTGTTATGTTTGGCGCCACTTAGCGCCAAACATCATGTTAGCAAGAAATCGAACTAGGTGACAGCAACTCTAGATACATAAAGCTTGCTGAAAAGCATAACTGTTTTACATATAATGAATATTGTATGTGTGTAATGTTAAATATGTACAAATCTATTATTTTGTTAAGAAAACGCAGATAGCAGCGTACATGGGGTGAATGAAACTGTTTTCCTCTGTATGTACATGATGATCTGTTTCCGCTTAAAAGCTCACCAGCGGCTGGTGGTCAAGTCACTAAACATTGTTTCATCGACCGAAGTTCCAATCCTACAAACAGACTAGTTGCTCAGGAGTTTTGGTGTTTTTCCACTTGTATAATATGGATACCAGTTATTTTCTCTTAAAATTCCTCATTAAGTCATTCCTCCCCATAGGCAGGTAGCCCTAGAGTTCATTGGCTTAATAAATTAACTTAAATGTTATCGCTTAAAAACATCAGTGAATTGTATAAATTTAGCATTAGCATAGCCTTGGCATCTCGCACACTTAACATCATAAATATATTATATTTATTATGAATAAAATAGTTATTCATTTCATGAAACGTTATGTATCTATAGGGCTGTCATCATCTAGTTCGATTTTATACGCCAACGTTTATGTTTGACCCTAAATGGAGCCCCGCTAAGAGAAAAGCACCGAATTCTTTTACTTCTTTGTAATATTTCTATTATTTGAACGATTAAATGTCCACAGACTAAGAAAACCTTGATAAATGAATTGCAGAGTGCAATCAAAAGTGATTTTTAGATTTTAATTTTGGACAGCAGTAATAATAAACATAAACATTATTAATTATAAAATTAATTAAATCTATGCGTAGTAGACTTTTGTCAATATTTCATTGTTTTAAGATTGCTTTTTGATAGTTAAAGACAAATTCTCTGCCGAGACTAAAGACATCACTTAATACTTATTTCACGCCAGATATTGCGGGTTGGATTTATAAGAAATTCTCTAAGAAAAATGCCCTTTTCAAGCAAACATAAAACATTTTGCATATGATATTGTTTCGAGAAATGTGTTCCCTAGTTTTCTATATGCAAGCTATATATTTCTTTTTGATTCTTTTATCTGCACTTCGAGGATGTGAAGGCCGGTGGTGGAATAGTCTGACACTAAAATAATAAGTCAGTGCGAGTGCTTATTGGCCTCTTTCCTCGGTAATAAAAGGAATGGGAAATATAAAACATTACATGATGCATTAAATTTGGAACACTGTGTCGTTAATGTTAATCAGAGGTTGATGTAGCAAATCGAACTTTTAAATGCACTCTTTTGCAAAAAAATCGAGGAACCAAGAAGGACTTTTGCGATCGTGAGGAAATTTGGAATGCAAAAACATCTTGATCGAGCATGCAAATAATCAAAGTTTCAAGGCAAATGAACAGGAATTGCGATCATATCACTCATTTCTAATGCATAATTCGCAAAGTATAAAACCAGTAACAGAGGCGGAAAATTTAGCAACTAAAGATGCCTTTACGACAATATAGAAAACCTTACAGACAACTAAACGACTTCGAACGAGGTCGCATTGTAGGGTTGCGTGAAGCTGGGTAGTCATACCGAGCAACAGGCCGCCACCTGCAGCGTACAGACACTGCTGTGCAAAGATGTTGGCAGCAATGGATGCTACAAGGAAATTGCCGACGAAATGAAGGCTCTGGAAGGCCAAGGAGCACAAATGCGAGGCAAGATAGGATGATTGTTCGCCAGGCCCGAACCGTCCCAACGGTATCATTATCGACTATTCAACGCAGTAAAGCCACGTCTATACCTCCGATGGTACCGTGCACCATCTCACGGCGTTTGTCTGAGGCGGTGTTTCGCTCACAGAGACCTTTAAGACGTTTGCCTTTGACCCCACAACATCAGCGGAGTCGTCTGGAGTGGTGTCGCAACCGATCATCATAGCTGCCATCAGATTGGTATCGTATAGTGTTCAGCGATAAATCTCGTTTCACTCTTGAAGCAGATGACCACCGTGTTCGTGTCTGGAGAGGATGAGGCCAGCGGTCCCCATCAGCCTTTGTTTTACAATGGCATACAGCCATAACCCCTGGTGTGATGGTGTGGGGTACTATTTTTATGACAGTAGGTAATCTTTAGTCATCTTCCGTACATATTTAACAGCTCAACGATATGTTGGTACCATCCTGCGGCCGGTTGCATTACCCTTCATGGCACTTCATCCTGGGTCCGTTTTTCAACAAGATAATGCCAGGCCACATACTGCTCGCATATCTCTGGACCGTCTCTGTGCGGTTGATACTCTTCTTTGGCCAGCATTGTCACCAGACCTTTCACCAATCAAGAATGTCTGGGACATGGTAGGCCACCAGATTCGGACAGCACAAAATATCGCAGATCTGGAGCGACAACTGATGAATTCCTGGCAGAATGTGTCGCAGGATGACATTAGGAACCTCTACCACTCCTTGCCTCGACGAATTCAAGCATACGTTGGCGCCAGGGGCGGTTCGACCAGCTACTAATTTAAACACCCAATGGGTGATTTTGTTTATTATCTGTGTATGAGCTATACACATATTCAATTTCATCAAAAACAACCACTTCCTTCATGGTGCTTTTGCAAGAGAGTGTATCTTGCAAAGCTGGAGAAGAGGGACGAGGAAAGCAAACTTTTGCAAAAAAAGATGATAGTTAATAGTTGTCAAGAATTATCAGTATGAAAAGGGAAGAAACTCTTTATTCTTTACATGACATTAAGTAACTAATTTCCTGAATATACGATGTACATCTTTGCAAATTGCTTCTGAAATGTTCTTTCATAGTGTTTTATTTTACTATTTTGTTGTACGTGCATGTTGTAGAATTCATTGTTCTTTAATCTGAAATTTTAGCAAGTAAAATATGTTCCTTTCTCAATGGAAACAAGAACTGGGGATCTGAGAGTGCCTACATTAATAACAGACCTCTTCAGTTCGAGAATTTCTAGAAAAAGTGTCCTATTTTCTTTCAATTTCCTTATATTTTGTCATTGTTTTAAAATAACAGCAAATATGACAACTATGAAAATTCAATTTTCAGGCTTCAAAATAACAATGTTGCTCTATTTAGTTAAGTTTTAAGTACATGATACATGATATTTAACATTTCGTAAAATTATAAAATGCATGCAATAAAATGAATTCACTTCCGATGAATTTTTTACCTTGATTCCAGGAATTCCAGGCGGTCCAGAGGGTCCTGGATTACCGGGCGAACCCTGAAAATTAGTTAAAATTGTTAACACTCTTAATTTTATAAAACAAATTTAAAAAAGACTGGTTGTAAAATTTATGTTGAATGGAAAATAGGAAAGCTACGAACTTGCATGTTTTGCATTGAACATATGAATAACAAAGTTTTCTTTATCACGTCTTTTAGAAAGTATGAAATCACAATTTCTCAGCACAAAAGTAACTAAATAACTCTTCTACAGTCAATCTTTCAAGTGAGATTCTTCCAACCTTGAGCTCTTAATTTTTGCAGAAAAAATACAGATTTAGAAATATATAGCAGTGAGGGGATGACGATACGCTCCACTGATGGACGCGACTCCATGTGGTAACTGTTGTTGATTGCATTGTTAAGACTGCGTATGAACTTGCTGCATATGGAACTAAAATACATTTAATATAAATTTATGAGAAATTCCATTAACAATACATAGCCTAGAAACAATTATTACAGGTTATTGTCCACGTAATGTGAGGGTTTTGCTAGCTGCAAAAGATACCCTAGTCGAGAATTAAGAAACATTCTGAGTTCTTGTCTTGTCTAAAACAGTTTGAGGACTGAATCAGTCACACTTTCTTAGATTTCGGTTGTATTTTACGTATCCTCTGATTCGTTATAACTGAAACGATATCAGAGGAGCAACAGCATCATTGGTACTTCTGAGCCTCCCTGAAATCGAGGGGTTTCTGACAAACACAGAGCAAAACGCTAAAATCCCTTTACAATGGCCGTGAAGTGTGAAGCTATGATTCTTGTAATATGAAATGAAGCCATTTAACTGAATGATTTATTGCTTTTTCAATGTCAGAGCCTGTCGTCTCATATCTCGAACACTGCTACCTGTGAGGCGCCGCAAACATGCATTTCTTATCTTTGTGTTGTCCGCCGCAACATTAAAAATGAATTAAAAATTAACGGGATTTGGCGATACACGCTGTTTTGCAACTTTAAAATTTTGCAAAAATGCAGCTTTGAAAATTTGGTAACTCGCCAAGATGATCAATGTAAAATAATGAATAACGAAAAATATGAAGTAATGAATGAAGAGGTAATAAAGAAAAGAAATATATTTTGGCTGTCAATACATAATAACTTAAAAAGAAAGGTTAAGCTACAGAACTGATGGAAATTCAATCCTTGAAACGAATAGAACTGATAGAAATTTAATTCTTAAAATTAGGTGAGAATTCAAGAAACTCTGGAAATCATTTTTAGTGAAGAAAGAAATCTCATGTACGATACAAAGATTATTCAATTTAGATAAAAAATACGCTGTTTCCGGATTAAATGTATATCGCAGTAAAAGCATTTAGTAGCAGTCATGTGTTATACCAGATTCAATTGGAGAACTGAGTCAGATTCCAAAAGACCAGTGATAGCTGAGCGATAAAACTGCTGAACGCAGCTATTTCGATGGGGGATCAAATCATGGTGAACGGACGGGCTTGGTGGTTTTTCTCATATGTAATATGTATGAATACGAGCCAGTTTTCCTTAGAAAGATGGAAGGGCATCCTACTCTTAAGCCGGTAGCCCTCATGGGCTTTTACATATTCAAAGTATCTATATCTTGACCTAATACCTTTATAGAAAGAAAAGGATTCTTAACTCTCTGTCGAGCATAATGCATATACTAGATATGTATGTGACATTTATTTATTTAAATTGAAAATAAAGCTAGCATTTTATTTATTCAGAATGAAATTTTACTTGTAACACGATGCATATATTTTGGAAATTAAACATAAATATCAATAAATCATAACATTACGAAAAAAAATAAATTTAAACAAAACTAAAACAAAATTTTCCTCTAGATAAGCGCAATGAATCTGTCAGGTTAAATATAAAATAAAATACTAATTAATAAGTTTTCAAAAATAAAATTATATTAAAATTAAGTTTTGTAATGTTTGATCAGGTAGCATTATGCAAAATCATTAAAAAAATATATTTTATATATTTTTATTTTTTCGCAGCGAATCCTAAGAGAAACTTTTCCTGCGGTAACTGGCGATTTTTGTTACATCTATTAGAATGAATTTGTTAATTTTATAATTTTTTTGACTGAGGAGGATCAACTATATTCTCCGCCCCCAAACCCAGTTAAAATAAGTGCAGATTGTAATTTTATTAGAAAACTGACTAAGCGTTTATAATGAAACATTAAAATTATTGCAAATGTAGCCATACGAAAAAAAATTTTTTTGTTCATTTAAAAGTACATAATATTATACAAAATGAATTGCGGAAGCAAAATTTAAGTACACAAATCTACTACATTTGGCAAATTTTTCTAATTTTAGTATTTCTTCAAATACGGATTTTAATGCTCTGCTAGTATATTGACATTTTCCCGACGAAAAAAGTATTTTTTAGAAATTTGCACTTAAAAGTTTAAAAGCATAGTTAAGTCTACCTGTAGGAATATTTGTACACGCTTTCCCGAAATCATGGGATAAGAATATCTCGAGTAGTTTTGATCATATCGGGATTTTTTTTTTGATTGATTTTCGACTGGTTGCTTCGGATTCTTCCCTGGGATCAGCCTTTAGTAGTCACAACAGGGATGGGCATAATGGGTAAGCGGAGGCTGGTTGATTGCTACGCTAGTCAATTTAGTTAAATCCTGTTCAGAGGATTCAGATTCTTCTCGCACGTTTGCAATTGCTTTGAGGAACGGGTTGACTTACTGACTTAACTGAGCAGACTTAAATTTTGCCGATTCGAAAAATCTCTTGGGAGGCTGATTGTAAAGGAGCTTAGTGTATTTAACTCTTTCTTTAGTTATTCATAACAGTCGAGAGAGGTAATTGTATTAGCTGTTTAGAAGTACTTTTACTAACTTAAAATACTGCTTGTAAGGATTCATTACAATACTCAGTATAATATTTAGTAAAGGATGGATAATAGTTCTGCAACTTGCAGTTTATTATTTACTGTAGTCTTTTCCGGCATTTTTTAAACCAAGATTTCCTATATGTGAAAAGATTTCCCAGAGGTGAAATCCGAAGGTCTTGGATTCCATACCCGGATATTTTTTCAACAAATGTGAGCTTTCGTTTATTATCGTCTGATGTATTCTTGCTCAAAATCGGAATGGAATCAGCTAGCCCTCATGTGCTTTGACTAAGTTAAATAACCCATTTTCAGTTCAACCCAAATCAATTCGCTTAGCTTACGTATTAGAAAAAAATGGAGTATAAATTGAAGAAAATTTATATTGGAATAGTAATAGAACTTTTTAGATAATAAAATGGCCTACATACTATCATATATAGCAAATGCGTGATAGCATACTTTATAAAAATGACGGGAAAATTGCATCAAATAATAAACACTTCTATGAATTTTAACTCTCTTTAATGAATTTTATATTCATTATTAAAATAAATATTTTACCAAAAGTAATTAAATTAATATAAATGTATTGCAAGACAAATGGAAAGAATTCAATTTCGTGCATTTCAGAAATATTATAAGAAATAATATATGCACACATATGTATCCTTAATTCAAGCTTCTCAATGCTTAATATATTTGCCAAAGTACTAAAGTTTTAATTTTCTCATAGTGGTCTTAGGAATTTTTTTTACGTAAGTAATATAAATCGGACACACTTTCACAAATAAAACTTTGAATTTACACATTTCTCATACTTTATATCAGATTTATATCACATTTCTCATACGAGTGGCAAAATTTCATATAAGTAAGGGTCTCAAGTTGGAATTCAGAAAAGTTCGCTAGCCGCAGCTAGATTTTCCAAAAGCCACAATTCCATATTTACATCATTTTAAAACTAGTGAAAGAGGTTTCAAATGGAAAGAAATGTCTGATAATTTTGTAAAAAGAAATGAAATAAATAAATAATTTTTTGGGGTGGCATCGAGTATTTTTAGTTTACTATATTTCATACATATATTTTATTTGCATAAAAGCCGCACCATTCGCCTGGGAGAGCCTCGTGAGTCTCGCTGGCCACTCCTGCTTTATATCATCAATTATAAATAAATTACTGATTTAAATTTCGTCAGTTACAATAAAAAGAACAGGATCTGAATATTCTTACACATAATAGAAGAGCGAATAAGAAAGGCAGTTTGACTGCCCAGTTTTTGTTTAAATTAAGATAATTATACACAATTTAAAACTCTTAATTAATAAACCCAGGGTAATTGTTTTCCTAAGAACTGAACATTTCAAAACTTAAACCACTGACCGCAAGTACAAAATTAAAAAAAAAATCATAAAAATAAAATAAAACAAACATTAACATATTGTCTTCCTGCGCAACTGATCGCGGTTGAAATCACAGTTTCTGCTAAGAACGTTCCCTACGCATGTTTAGGATTAAATGGTGAAAGTGTTATTGCTCGAATCCTGCGGCTGAAAAGTTAAGGGCTTATTTCCTCCTTGTATTTACTATTTATTGTTTGCTTATAGGTTTATTTACTGTGTGTATTAACTATGATTCGAACTGCATTAATAAAAATATAGCAAAACTCAATTTCTTTCTGTATTATACACAATGAGAATCTGATTTTGCCGAATAGAAAAGGGTGTTTTGAAAAGCACTGCATTATTAAAAATATAGCAAAACTCAATTTCTTGCTGTATTATACAAAATCAGAATCTGATTTTTCCGAACTAACTGGAAGGGAGCATTTCGGATAACTTTTGTTTTGAATAACCCGTGGTTAAGCACGTTTTAATTTGAAAAAAAAGGTGAGGTGAATGGCTCACCTTACTTCTGATCATTGGATATTAACATTCTTTTTTAATACATTTTGCATAAAGTAAAACTGAATATTTCCATGTCAAAACTGTATTTTTATTTAAATCGAAAAATCATTGTAAAACAATTAATGCAGCTGAAATTGGTCGAATTGTTATGTTTACAATTATAAAGTTATCGAAAAATTATTCATAGAGGAAAAAAAATGCATGACTGAAATCACTAATGATAAAATTTAAAAGCTCGTTAACGCTCAATAAATTAAGTTAACTGTCTCGGAAATATTTTACTGGAACATTTTTATCATCAATGACAAGGCACCGATAAATTCTTCATAAAATAGCACAATTTTACATGTGATATGCTGCAAAATATATAATTTTAAAAATTTATTTAAGTTTTTGATGCATTCAACTTTGATAGCATGTTCATTCTTAGGGAACAATTTTAGTGAAAAGGGAACAATTTTAGTGAAAAGCGAATGTTATGGAATAATCCGCCAGTAGACTTAAAAATTATCATGTGGACAAAAGTCCACAGTCCACTGTAATTGCATACATTACACTTACATCTCACGCTTACGTTATGAAGTATGCATTTACTACTGAATAATGACATAAAACGTTCGTTTAAACAGCAGCGGAGATGAACGATTTCGGAATTATTTCAGTGTTATTTCTTTCAATCGCTTCGTAAAGCTGGTATTTAATTGTATTAAATACCTGTAGCACGTATATAAATAAAATTAAAAAACAAGAATTACATACTGGATGTCCAGGTTCTCCTGGTCTTCCTGGAGGCCCGGGAAAGCCAGCATCACCCTAAAAGAAAGATAAATTTCATCACCGTAATCTCATTAATAAACAAAGGGAACATTAATTATAATCACATTAATGAACTTTATTATGTTACAGCAGAAAAAAAAAGCAAGCAACTTATTTTATGAGCTGAAAGTGCAACTGATCTTCTTTTAAACCAAGAACGTGCTTTTTTTATTAAAAGCAGATGAAAAACGTTTTTTACTGTTAATAATTAAATATGCATGTATTACATCATATCATGGACTATATTTCTTGGTGTAGCTCTCTGTTAATTTGAAATATACTTTTCCCCAGAGAAAATGCAATATCATGAAAGGAAGCTTTAAATGAAACAAAGCTTGGCATATGAATAAATAAATGCAATCCATAAAAAGGATTTTAATTTAAAACAATTGCATGTGCCCAGCGACCGAATTTGTAATAGTCAATGAGATGGATAGCCACATAGTAGATGGACTATGCGGTCTTTAACTAGACATAGTCTTTGGGCTAGAGAGAGTCATAGTAGACTATGTGGGGGGGGGTGGGAGAGAATATTGACCAAAGTCAGTAGACCAACAAGGTTAGGTTCTTTCCAACGCTCGAGTTCAATGACATCATTAACTTGAGGAAAAGCGAAGACATTAAAGAGTATGGGATAATTGCTTTTGAGAAAATTATAGCCCAAGTGACGTGGTCATTGATGTCACGAAAGAGTAAACCTTGCAGTCTAGCAATATTGGTATTGATCAAAGTATCAATTTCAACGTTACCGCGAGAGCATATACGTGACTACAAACCATTTTCCTCGCGAAAATATGGTAATCTTTGATACTGACCAAGGAATCATCCCAAAGCCTTGCAAAGGATCTCTGCTGATGTCAGCTGTGAGACGCATTGAGATATCCCATTGGAAACGCCAATTGACGTGAGCGAAACATAGAGTCTATCAGTGTATTCATTGTGTATTGTCATTGTATCCCTGGTGAAAACTAGATGTGATCTGTTGCTGAAGCTGGTGGTACTTGAAACAAGGATTCGCTGACGAAATATGTGACGTTACAGAATTTCAAAAGGTGATCACCGTTGATAAGCCTGAATGCAGGGATGTATTATTCGTCCTTTCAAGTAGCACTAGTATGACGTCATTGCAAACATTATGACGGTGGTTTTGGTGTTAACGGTAATCTTCACAAAGGATGGCTTGACTTCAAGGCTGTCTTAGTCGGAACCACCCATTATACGCCGCAGAATGTTGCCCGTTATGGAGTGTAGGGCCACTACTGGATGACTTCGGATGCTTTGATCCAAGTACTGGTGCTCTTGTTCTAATTAAGACGAAACGCTTTTTCTTATAACTGTTGCCTTCAGTTCCAACCTACATTTATTCAGTCACAATTCAAAGCTGGCTGCACGTACAGACTTAAGCTTAAACCTCAAAACTCAGTTAATCATATCTGTTTATTAAAAGTGTCTTTAAATTGTGCCCCAGAATCATTCGTAATTTGAAGCAGAAAATGAAAAAAGAATTCCGTAACCTTAAGGAAATCTGAAAATTAGCATAACTTATTGATTTTAATCAACTGGCTCAGCTTGTTGGACTCAATAAGCTCTGAAATTTACTTAGTGCTCAGAAAAAATTTCATGGTGTTGCATTTTCTACATGGAGTATTTTACATTGCATTTCTCGCGTTTTAAAAGTGTTAATTTATATATTATAAAGTTCTACTGAGTAAATAAGGTACAAGTACTATCTCTCAGTAAAGTATTGTTTGGTAAGGTTATCTGAATTTAAATAATAATTACTGGGTTGAACAGGAAATTGAGTATTTTATTATTGTTATTATCTACAATGAAATATTACGAAACGTTTAAGGGAAGTATTGAAGCCAAAAGGAAAAAAGAAAAAAAATATGCACACTAAAGAATCCCACTAAATAATTAGACATTAATGTGTGCTATTATAATTAGACTCATTTAGTAAGATAAAGCCTTTTCTAGCTCAACAATGCCTTATACAAAAGAAAATGACATATAAAATTCAATAAGGATTTTAGCAAGCATAACTTGAAATAAAATCTTTTAGCTATAGCTCTAGAGATTAGTGTAAGTATATCCACCAGTTTCATTTGTCCAATATTTATGGTTTGTTCGAAGCAATGTAATTGCACGACTTATCTCTTTTTTAACAATGAATACCTATATAAATTAAACTTATGCATATTTACAGACGCTTCAAATACCTGAAATATTTGCACTGACTACTGTTGTACGCTTCCCAAAATAAATAAATAAAACGAGCAAGTAAATAAATGAAAATAATATAAAATAGAAATAACTAAGAATGAATTTCTGCTCGAAGATGAAGTTTGAACAATTACTCCAAAATAAAATTTGTTTACTAAACTTATCACGCTTGTTAAGTGACGTAATATTACTTGCGTACGCTTTCATATAATTAAAGTAATTTACTTTAAATAATATATTATTGGACGCTTTAACAAAGGATACCTTTATGAAATCTTCAATCAGCTATCAATAATAAAGTGCCACAGGAAAATTGGAATATCGAGAAAATTTACCTTTTTGCCTTCTTCTCCTCTAGGACCTTTGGGTCCACGAAGACCAGCTTGTCCCTTAAAATAGAAAGAAAATATGTTTTATTCTAGAAGATATTTTGCAAATAAGAAGGTTTTCTGAAATATAAAAATATATATCTTGATCTCTCAAGGTATGGAAAAATAAACAAAGGAAGTGGTCACTTCTTGACTATTTTCTTTAAAAAACATATGCTTACTTGAGGTCCTGATTCTCCAGGCGCTCCTGGGGAACCAACATTTCCTTGATCACCCTAGAAATAAACATAAATGGAAATAAATTTAATAGAAAATTTTATGGCGGTAAAATATTGAAAATATTTCAAAATTTGGGCTTTCATTATTAACAAGAAAAAAATTCTAAACATTGCAAGGCAAAGAAATAATGTATTTCAAATCATAAATTTCTGCAACCACTGATGCATTATGAGGTACCTTTGGTCCTGGAAGTCCTCTTCCACCTTTCGGTCCTGGTGCACCTGGAAGACCCTAAGAAAGGAATATTATGCCTATTAGAAATTTGTGTGAAAATAAGCTAGTGATTTTGCAATCATAAATTTGTTGGTTACTTTAATGAAGAACTTTTCATTTCATGCTAAAATTATTAAATTCCTTAAAATATTCTATTCTTAAAATATATTAGAATGTAAAATGTTATATAATTCTTATCTGCAAATTTTCGTCAGTACTTACAACTGGGCCAGGAAAACCTTGTTGACCTGGTGGACCCGGAGCACCTCTATCTCCTTGAACTCCTGGAGCGCCGGGTTGACCGTCCGGTCCTGGAGCACCCGTTTCTCCCTTTGAAATTTAAGGAATCATTGAAATACAAGCAAAAGAAAAATAATATAAGGCAAAATATAATGCTTAAAATGTTGTTTCATTCAAATCTTTCCACATCCTATAATTTCAAAATTCTCAAGACAACTCCTTTACGAATTCGGGATGGAATTAGCAAGGTAACTAACTTCTAGTTTTAATTTTTTAGCTTAAATTTCAGAAAAAATCTTTTAATTATTTTACCCTCACGAGATACTGAAAAGGAGTTTGACTTGGAAAGGTAATTTATTCTTAAGAAAATATGTTACTAGATTATGATAAAATAAAAGAATATTAAGATTTCGATCAAACACGAAAATAAGGTACCTTTTAGAAAGGTATTACTTTCAGAGTCATTTAACATAATTTATTTGACAAAAGATACCAGGTCTCTAATCAAATAATCAGCTGTGTTAAGAAATTTGTAACACTGCATAGTTTTTCTTGAAAAAAATAACTTAATGAGCTTAACTTTTGAGCAAAAACGAATGAAGAGGTTCTTTGTTTCCTATTAAGTTGCGCAAAATTATTGCTCTTACATTGCTTTGATAAACTCAGCTGGGTTGGATATATACAACTATCAACTCACATCTTCCGGTAGATTACCGATTTTCCCATTTTTAATTTTTAGTCTCAGTAATTACGTATTATCCCATCGACCGTGAAACTGGCACCAAGCAGGGCAGTTTAGCGCCAGTTATGAATAAGTCTGAGGAAATAACACGTTCATAACATCTGCGCTTTTGTTCGATGCAATCCCGATTGATTCTCTAAAGCTCTTGTTTTTATGAAATTAAACTTATTACTGTAATTTTTTCTTGCATTTTTGGAGGAAAAACTGATTAACATGTGGGACCTGCCTTCTACAGGACAGCAGACAGTGGATTATTTTCAAATTTATGGATCCTTCCATTAAAAAAAGTATGTATTATTGGATGACAGGCAAAATGGTAATAGATTGGAGTATACTATTCTAAATAGCGTTTCTCTTAAAATAAGAGGATCTAACAAAATAGTAGAAATTTACGAAGGCCTTTTTACGAAGTGCTTAAAAGAAGTGGGCCGAATACTGATTATTAATATTAAATAAAGAGGCGTCAGTATCTACATAATTTCACAGGAACGATTGACGCAACTTTGGCTGGATCTCTGTCAGCTATCTCGGTCAACAGGATAATACATAAGTACCTTAGCCTTTACTAAGGAAATATTTCCTAGCAATAAATGGAATTTAGAGAATTAATGAAACTTAAACTGTACAAACTCTATTCCGTATCCCTTGCGATTTCCGCATAATTTTTCTTATTAAACTTTATTTTATCTGAATTATCTTAATCTACCATAGACATTCGTAGAACTTTCCATGAAGGACTCAAGCATATTTTATCAGTTAATATTTGAATTCAGTTTTGTTTTACATCAGTATATGGTATATTACTAAGTTTATCCACATAATAGTTTGTACATTAATTATTAATTTTATTTTCATCGTATTTAAAAATACTTTGATAAATGAAAGCTTTCCTTTCCTACTCAGCATTTTCTCAGTATCAAAGTGTAAGAAAATTAAAAAATGAAATTAGCCGAAGAACATGTAATTTAGAATATCTAAGACACAATAACACGCCGAATAAATACTAATTCAGAAGTCAAACAACAAAAATCAGCGTTATATTTACCAAATTTTCACAGGACTAGTTTCGATGGTTTTAACCGAACCACCATCTTCAGCTGCAAAACCGCAATGAACCAGATAGGAAATATGATTAGATAAGATAAGAAACCTGGACAAGAATAAAGCAAGTGGCCGCCATCTGTTTGGTGAAACCAGAACTAAAACATAATTTCTTTAAAGGCCGAAGGCAAATTTGGATTGGAATTAGGATCGTTAACTAGAACAAGAAAGATTTTATGAATGTGAAATGCCTCTAGAAAATCCAGTTCTCCAATGGAAGATGTTTTTTGAATAATTTTGGCAGCAGAAAAATGAAAGTGTGGTTTTTCGGACCAACAATGTTGAGCAACAGAAGACTTCTGTGTTTCCTTTTTTCTGACATATGCCTCATGTTCCTTGACGCGAAATTTTAAGGCTCTCTTAGTTTGGCCAATGTAAATTAAACCACACTGGCAAGGAATCCTATAAATACCCCAGGAATTCATATCCGGAATGGGGTCCTTGAGTATGAAACTCGGAATTTATTGATGGGAGAATAACAACCCGAAAGTTAATTTCTCTGCAAAATATGTGCAACTTTATAGCTAATTGATGGAAAGAAGGGAATGACAACAGAATTTTTATAATCTCCTAAACAAGAGTGTGCCTTTAGTGTTGAGATGAGAATTTTTTAACTGCTTGATTAATAATGTTGGGTGGAAAGCCCCTGTCAATAGCTATTGCTTTTAAATAATTTAGTTCTTCATCAAGGGCTAGTTTGGGAGGAGCAAACTTGAAGAGCACGGAAAACATAGGAATAAAATGAAGCAACTTTTGTTTAGTCGGATGACATGATTTAAAGTGTGGTGGAAGGCAACCGATGAAGGTTTACGGTAAAACCGTAGTACTAAAGTTGGATGTGTTACGTGTGGACCAGAATGTCGAGAAACGGAAGAGAATTTGCAAGCCTCAAGTTCAAAAGTGAACTGAATAGCAGGATAAATAGAAATCATTGTTGAAAGAACTTTTAAATCATCTTTATACCTTCAAACAGAGTAAAAGTATCGTCTACGTAGCGGAACCATTGCCGGGAAGTTTAAAGTTTCAAAACAATTTTGATTCATAATATGCATGTAGATATCAGCCAGGATGGGTCTGAGGGGGCTTCCCATGGCTAATCCCTCAGTTTGCTTGTAATATTTATTTTGGAAAACAAAATGTGTTTTGTTTCAAACAGAGTTGAGTGAGAGAAATTAGCTCATCAATTTCGATGCAAGAGAATGAAATTCGCGAAGTCTGTTTCTAGACTCTTAATGGTTTCATCAGATCTTGAACATATTTTTACATGTTAAAAAATGTATTAATGTAAATGTAAAAATTTGATCCCAAATTTTATTCAAATCAAATCTAATCAAAAACCTTCGAGTCGCGTTTCAAGAATTCTGTTAAATTGCAAGCTTGCCTTACTTCGGTCCGTCATAAGGGATACACGTCAACAATTGTCCAAAATTGAACATGAACTCTATAAGCTTCATCTGGAACTCGCTAAATCATATCCAAAATTCACTGCCCTTGAACAAAAGTCTTGGTCTAGAACGGAGAATGCAGTTAACCGTCATAAAAACACCCTTGCAGTTAAATTCGAAAAACTTCTTTTACAGTCTTCCAGTTCAAGTAGTTCAAAAAATCTTCCCATTGTAAACATCAAGCCAATAGTTAATATTTCTAATGTTAGTCTTTCAGAAGAACAAGAGAGAATTCTAAAATATAATTTTAACTTCTCACAAACCTGTAAACCCTCGATTCCAAAGATTTTGGCTCCTATCGAAAAAGCTTTCAAGTTCAGTAAAGTTTCAGATTCACAGAAAGAAATGATTAGGCATCTTATCGCTCATAATGTGAAATTCAATAATAAACCTTTGAAACCAAATCTAACTGCGAGAGAAAGAGCTACAATGCGCGAAATTCATTCTAACCCGGATATTATCATTTCAAAGGCCGACAAAGGTGGCCAGATAGTCGTCATGGATAAGAACACTTACATCGATGGTGTCACTAAACTCTTAAACGAAGGACCATATAATCCGATCCCTAAAGATCCTTCACCTTCGGACTTGTCAAAAATAAAAACTGCGATCAAATCTTCGCAAATCATTTCAAGCAACTTAAAACATTCGCTTATCCCATCTGTTGCGAATTGTGCCAGATTATATGCTCTTCCCAAAATTCATAAAAGTGGTATTCCTTTCCGCCCTATTGTATCAAATTTAGGTACTGCCTCGTATCCATTAGCTAAATATTTAGTTTCTAGATTTTCAACTCTATTAGACAATAACATTTACACCATAAAAAATTCAATAGAGTTTGTAAAAAAGGTTAAAAACATTTCTCCTAGTAATTTACTCATGGTTTCTTTTGATGTAAAATCATTATTCACCAATGTCCCAGTGGAGGGTGCATTAAGATGTCTAGAAACCAGACTTCGCGAATTTCATTTCTCTTGCATCGAAATTGATGAGCTAATTTCTCTCACTCAACTCTGTTTGAAACAAACACATTTTGTTTTCCAAAATAAATATTACAAGCAAACTGAGGGATTAGCCATGGGAAGCCCCCTCAGTCCCATCCTGGCTGATATCTACATGCATTATTATGAATCAAAATTGTTTGAAACTTTAAACTTCCCGGCATGGTTCCGCTACGTAGACGATACTTTTACCCTGTTTGAAGGTAATAAAGATGATTTAAATAAAGTTCTTTCAACAATGAATTCTATTGATCCTGCTATTCAGTTCACTTTTGAACTTGAGACTTGCAATTCTCTTCCGTTTCTCGACATTCTGGTCACACGTAACACATCCAACTTCAGTACTACGGTTTACCGTAAACCTTCATCGGTTTGCCTTCCACCACACTTTAAATCATGTCATCCGACTAAACAAAAGTTAGCTTCATTTTATTCCTATGTTTTCCGTGCTCTTCAAGTTTGCTCCTCCAAACTAGCCCTTGATGAAGAACTAAATTATTTAAAAGCAATAGCTATTGACAGGGGCTTTTCACCCAACATTATTAATCAAGCAGTTAAAAAATTCTCATCTCAACACACTAAAAGGCACACACTCTTGTTTTAGGAGATTATAAAAATTCTGTTGTCATTCCCTTCTTTCCATCAATTAGCTATAAAGTTGCACATATTTTTGCAGAAATTTAACTTTCGGGTTGTTTATTCTCCCATCAATAAAATTCCGAGTTCCATACTCAAGGACCCCATTCCGGATATGAATTCCTGGGGTATTTATAGGATTCCTTGCCAGTGTGGTTTAATTTACATTGGCCAAACTAAGAGAGCCTTAAAATTTCGCGTCAAGGAACATGAGGCATATGTTAGAAAAAAGGAAACACAGAAGTCTTCTGTTGCTCAACATTGTTGGTCCGAAAATCACACTTTCAATTTTTCTGCTGCCAAAATTATTCAAAAAACATCTTCCATTGGAGAACTGGATTTTCTAGAGGCATTTCACATTCATAAAAAAATCTTTCTGTTCTAGTTAACGATCTCAATTTCAATCCAAATTTGCCTTCGGCCTTTAAAGAAATTATGTTTTAGTTCTGGTTTCACCAACAGATGGCGCCACTTGCTTATTCTTGTCCAGGCTTTCTTATCTTATCTAATCATTATTTCCTATCTAGTTCATTTGCGGTTTTGCAGCTGAAGATGGTGGTTCGGTAAAACCATCGAAACTAGTCCTGTGAAAATTTGGTAAATATAAACGCTGATTTTTGTTGTTTGACTTCTGAATTAGAATATCTAGTTGAATATTAATATATTTTATATTAGAGTCACACTGTAAATATATCAGTAACTTAAATCACACATTGAAAGGTAAATTTAAATCAATTTGGAGTTCTTGTGAAGTGGTGCCAACGCGCAGCGAGAAAAACCGCCCGAAAACTCCTACGTTTTCTGGAAGAATCTCCCATTTTCTCATATTTCATGGTTGGTAGCTGTGGACTGAAAAACTATAGTTAGCGATAACTGTTTACTTATTTGTACCAATTTTTACATAAACCCGCTTCATGCATTTGCCTGTTGCACGAGACTTTTTAATTTACATTAAATATTAAGAAATAGTCTTTCTAGCACAAGAAATGAAAATCCTTGCTTACATAGAAACTTGTACTTATGCTTTCTTGTTGTTTTTTATCTCATTTCAGACTCACCCTGAAGAATTCGAGAATAATGGGAATGGAAATTTATCACGTTTTAATCGCAATAGCTTTTTTACATCAAACTGCTGTTTGCATTTTATGGTCATTTTCACTTAACCTTTAAGTTCTTAAATTTGACTGAGTAGATTTTCTTTCGCTTAAGATTTCCTCATTTCATTTCTATAGATGTTCCAGTTACATTATTATACAACACACACCCTCTAAAAATATTTTTTCAATGATATATATTTTTTATTTAAAATGTCATGGCCATTCTTTTGAAGCAATTGAGTTAATTTAAGTTACATAATAAAATAGCTTTAAAATATTTTATTTTTAAATCGTTTTAGTTTACAAATCGTTTTCGTTTACTCTTTAGCCCATTGATAGAATATTATACAAATGTCTGCAGCTCCAAAAAAAAATATTTTGTGAATAAAATCACAGTAGTGAGTTTGTTTCAGCAGCATCATTTCTATGCCAAAACCATAGCAAAATCGTTTAACCACTCTGACCAAGGTTTACAAAATCAATAAAAGCGTAAAAAATTTCATACATTTTCTTTCCGCGAAACTGATAGCAGTTAAAATCTCAGGTTTCTGCTGACACGATATGAACATTCTCCGCGCATATTCAGGATAAAAAGTGAACGGATTTCGCGATTGGAGAGTTAAATCATGCTGGTTGCAGGCTGAAGCGTTATTCTGGAAGTACGCATTTCTGGCTTATGATGACACTAGTTCTTTGTGGCTTTATCTGCCACTGGCTAGGGAGTAATACTAGAATTACTAGTATAATGAAACTTTCTCTACTATCAAAAGTCGTAGTTCATCCACATTGACCATATAAGTAGTCAGTCAGTATCTATTTCTAGCAGAAGAAAGAAAACTACCATGATCTCCATTTATTTCATGGCTTAAATTTATATATTTTTAGCTTAAAATTTAACTTTAAACCTCTACGTATAATAAAAGGAAGAGCCTGTCGCTGTGTGTGTCTTTCGTTCGTGATGCGAGTAAGGTAATAGACTCAGAACTATGAAATGGTACATAGGTACATCTAGACAAGAGCCAGTGCACCTCGAAGCGATTTTTTTCAAATTTTGAATGAGATTCTTTAATTTTATGTTTTTTGATGAAATCGTATCAAATCGATGGCACGCAGGCATTGTTGCTGATATATCACTGTTGCCACTCGGAAAAGTGTGGGCGATAATTCTGTGTAGTTTTTAAATTTAATGATTCTTTTGGATAATGGACGTTTGTCGAGAGGTACTTGTATACGATATTTGTCGAAAGGACGTTTGTTTTTCGGTACATTGAAAAGCCAGATGAAGGCTGGTGGCATAGCGGTCAGTATCAGCATAAATAGAGAAAGAATCGAGCTATTTTAAACCGAAGAATGACGAAAACTGGCATCAGTAAATTTTCTTGATAGTTCTGGATGCTATTTTTATCTCTTGTTTAGGATTAACTTTTTTTGCCGTGTTAGTTTTTAGCTGAGCTGTTGGACTATTTATTTAGATTGAGAGAAAGTTTTAAATTAAACTATCTTACTCATATTGAATTCTCTGGATCATTTAAAATGGAGACATCTTCCAGTGCCAAACCATGAAGTGGCAAATTAGGATTAAAAGGAGGCAAAATTCCTAAATTCATATTCCGTTGTGAACATCTTGAAAAGGTATTTTCATTCATCAAAGGTATTTTAAAACTATTCAGTTGTAATGATCATCAACGTGAAAATGCATCCTTAATTTTTAACATTTTAAAATTATTATTTTGAAACAGATATCTTAAAAAAAGGCAAGAATTAAATCTATTTTTATGTTCGTGAGGAAAAGAAGGAAGAAAATTACCTTTTCTCCAGCCTCACCAGGAGGCCCTCCAGGACCCACTAATCCTTGAGGACCTTGATCACCAGGTCGTCCTTGAGGTCCTTCTGGGCCAGCAGGGCCATGGTCACCTCTGTCCCCTTTTGCTCCTCGAGGACCTGGTTCACCTCGAGAACCAGGCAAGCCCTAAGTGGAAATTTCATTTTGCATTTTACCTTAGGATTTTTTTCGTTTTCACATTTTAAAGTTTCTTTTGACACAGGTACATTTTAACAAAACAAAACAAACAACAACAACAACAACAAAAAGATTTTATTTGCAATTTTTTTACCAGTAAACCACTTGGCCCGGAATGTCCCTTTGCTCCTTTTTCACCAGGTGGACCCTTTTAAATAAATAATAAAAATAATTAGAGGGCATTTTACGCAGGATATATTAAAATCATAAAATGTTACGTAATTATATAACTGACATTAATTAATGCATTATTCTTTCCCACTTATTACTTGCCATCAAGGATTCACTTCCATGTACGCATGCTGTAGCAGCTTCGAGGTAATTTCAGACCATAAGTTTTAATTCAGGTGACAGTTATGTGCACAAGCCCAAAATTCTTTTCATAGAATACGCTGACAATTAGAGAGCGGACAAATTTGTTTATACATTGTTAAAAGTGCTAGTAAAACATTCAACCTATCTGTCCTCGATGTAAATATCAAGTTTTTTCAAAACCAAGAATTATGAAGAATCAACTGCTCCTAGCCAGGATTCGAACTACGGACTTTCCACTTGCTAGCCTACCTAGACATGCCAACTATTTACACCGGAAGAGCACGTATAGGGGAATGCGATAATTCCTTACAGGGTCATTAAGCAAAAACCTTTCATTAAACGATAGCAGCTCTAGAAGTAGTCATTTTAAGAAAGTCATTCTTTTAATTCCTTTACTGATGAAAATTTATCAAATTGCACATAATCACTTGCTGAGGGAAGATAATGCATATGTATTCATAAATAGTATTGAACGTTTCATAGTCAATGCCTCATATCTTACTTAATCTTCCATTTTTTAGCAGTATCCGTCTTCAGTACTTTATGCTTTACATTTGCTTTTAGATACGAATATGTAAAAGGAATCATACTCTGCTAGTTTTCATTCAATCACAAAACTTGTTTATATATATATATATATATATATATATATATATATATATATATATATTGCTTTTAATCGATTTTATTTACTTTGCTGAATGTATCTTTCATTCTTGTATTAAATATCTGTATTTATATTTTTACTGACAGTGCTGGGAATATCAATTTAGCATGGAATTTTAACCTTGCATATTTTTGCTTTCACTTATTTTTAGGGCTCTTACTGCCGTGCCATTGTATTTCTGCTTTAGTTTAATGTTTAAATTTTAATACTGTATGAAGCTTTTTGTTCATAATAATATAGTTACTGCGCTTGATTTTATTTGTGCTATGCAAACGTTCAGCAAATTGTTGTGTTTTAAATACATACACCGCTTTTTTTTATAAATCTTATAAAATAATTTTATACATTGCATTATAAATATGTACCTTAAGTTTTGAAAATATCATGAAAATTAAACAGACATTTATGTATTCTCCCTCCACAAGTAGGCATCACTTACCCTTAGTCCATCTTGCCCAGGAGGACCGGACTCTCCTCTAGCTCCTGGAGGTCCTTGCGATCCTTGCAAGCCCCTTTCACCTGGAAATCCTCGTTCTCCTCTTTCCCCTGGTTGGCCAGCTGGGCCAGGAGCACCAGGTAATCCTGGTTCACCATCCTTTCCTGGTTGTCCTGGGTTTCCGGCAACACCTGGAAGGCCCTATTGCAAAATAAAAGTTTAAGAAAATATGATGAAAAATGAAATTGTCATAAAAATTTTCTTCTTTGTATATATTTAGCATAATTAATTACTGTAAAAAGCGTAATGAACTCTGAGAAAAACTTACAATATTCAGACAGATCATTTAACTACTTCAGTGCTTTCAAAATGAATATGATTATTAATCTAGTCTGATAAAATTATTAATTGGTACAACTAAATTCTTAATGTGCAAACTATATAATCTGACGAAAAGCTTCATTTAAAAATAAATCCCAAATCCCCACCTTTAAAATAAAGATATAATTTTTTAATCTAATTTATAAATTAATGCATTAAAACTGTCGATACAAAAATTTACGCTGCAGGTAGATTTATGGCTGTAAATGCATTCTGCAAAATCTATTCGAAAACTGTTACGTTTAGCTTTGCCTTTTAATAAAGTTTTCTTTTATAATAAATTAGGTACTAAAAATTTAAATTAACAAAGGTATAACAAATAATATACTCATTTACATAAGATATTGATATATGAACGTGAACTAGAAGTACATACTTGAAATCCTGTAGCTCCTTGGGGGCCTGTAGGCCCTCGTTCACCAATTTCTCCAGGAGGTCCTGCAGGACCTGGAGGACCAGGGGTTCCTTCTTTGCCTGAATCACCTCTTGGGCCTGGAGATCCAGGTGGTCCTGGTTGACCGTCTTGACCAGGTTCACCCTAAATAGACAGATAATATGAGAAAAGAAATGTAAATACAATGAAAACGATAGATAAATTCTGATCTTAAGTAACTTTCAAGATATTGTATTCAAAATATAATAAATATGTAAATAAAATATTGAAGGCTATAATTTTGAATTTTTTCCCTACACGTTTTACCTCGAAAAGATCGTGCATTTTTAAATTGCATTATAAATATTTATTGAATTTTAGGATTCATATTTATTTAGTTTTGGAATTCAGTTTTCATGTCGATTCCTATGTTTCCGGAGAGGAAACGTGAAAAGAATTGCAACACATCTTTAAATTTAGCTGCAGCTTTTTGTGCTCATTCGCAGGAATAAAGAATAAGCGAAACGAATTAGGCTAGCTATATGTGGACAAACAACCTGTTTTGTTTTAGTAACAGCTGATCTTAGTGAAATAAATTTAAAATGCTTTATGATGTTTTTTGGAATGTCATTCAAGTACTTCTATAATTTGCAGCAGATAACAGTTTTGAATTGAAGTGCTGAAATAGTCAACACATGTACCTAACAGCATGTAACGCCTCCGCGTAATCGAATGACAGCCGCTTTTTTATAGTCAGTAGTTGTATTAGCCAGCTGAGCAATTAATTGTGTCAATTAGTATTCGAACGTTTTCGAAAATATATAAAGCAAAACTCGTTACATGAATACCCACAAACCATTATATTCTTTGAATGACGTTGCCAGAAAATATTTACCGTATCTTCTTAACAGAGTTTTGTATCTAGAGTGTGTGAAAAAATGCGGATCTCGTAGATGTCTACAAGAATGTTCACTGTGTCATCTCTATATCCCTCGTACCTGAAGGAGAAGCTATAATCACCGTAAAGAACGGCGCTCATAAAATAATGCAAATGATTTTCAGTAGAATCTGTGTAAATTTTTCCTGTCAAGAAAGATTAGTGTAAAACAGAATGCAATCAGTAATCATAAATATGGGAATAAAACGCACATAATGATTCCAACAGAACTCATCATAAAGTGGAACAGATCTACCACTAAGCTTGCACACTACTGAAGGAAATCATAAATTTATAAGAAGCAGAAGGAAATCATAAATTTATAAGATTTATTAAGGGAATCATAAACTACTACTCGCAGAGAAAAAACATAAATCTCAGGCTGCGGCTCTCGTTACCATCTTCTTCTTTAGCATCGTCTACCCTCGAGCGACCTCTTAAGCAGTTGTCTTATATGTTCTAATGATGACCTGTCTAACCAAGCTGAAAAGCATTACCTGATGCCGTTGTGGCAACATTAGTATATATATATATATATATATTGATTGAAGACTATTATACTCCTATGTAATGCATAATACAATCGTTAAGCTGAGGTGCGAGCTGATGAACTTCTCAAGTGCAGACGGTCCATCTTTTGTACCACATGTAGACAACCACTATTTCCATATACCCCTAATTATTATCCCGAATTGAAATATTCCTAGTAAATCCAAAAACATTATCGATGTCAGAGTTAGACGGATCCAGTCTTATGACTTTTACCATCTGCTTGCTATCAAATAGTGATATCTAATAATAATATAGTAGTGTCTAAATAGTGTCTTTTTCAGTACTCGAACAGTAAAGAGGCACTTGCTTGCGGGCATACATAAATAATCCACGGAAGTGTAAAAATTACTTTGCATTTAAGAATTCTGTTAAGGACGCTTGGCCTGAGACTTTTCATTGTTGGGCATAGTACTGAACTTTGGGATATTGCTTACCGAGGAATAAATGCAATGAAAATAATTTCACAATCGTTCGAAAGAAGTTCAGCGTTTCAAATATCTACACTAATCGAGTTAAATAAATTTAGCTTTCACAGAAATTTTAATTTTTAGTATATTTTTGGAGAAAACACTCATTTCGACTTACTGAAAATTTTGAATTACGTACGCTTGTGAAATCAATGTTATATAGTATTACGCAACTTTTTGGTACATAATTGTTTTGCTTTTTGTTAGCGCTAGGTAGCGTAACCTTTCAATGAAATACATTTGCTATCAAAATTAAGTTAGTAATAGCTTATGAATAACATTACCAAAACTATGAATGGTAACAAATTTTTACGTAATAGTTTTTAAACTCGGAAATTTGACGAATTATGTCTTTTTGAGCAACTGAGGAAATCAAGTAGGGCTTTGCCCATTAAATGTTTGCAAATACCTGAAGACTGGAAATTTGAGGATTGAGAAACTATGTAAACATTAAATAAACATTTCTTTAAAACTTTATCATCAGAAAATAATATATATATTACCAAAGAACGAATATCATAGCAAGAGGATTACAAAAACCCCTCGCAAGGGCAAGGCAACACATAGATTATCATGCACAGCTCCAGTTATGAAGAATACGAACTTATTCATAGCATAGATATCGCCAGTGATAAGCGTGGAAATGTTATTATCTGATAAAAGGATGTAAAGTAAGCTTTAAATCAAATTATTTGCATTTTTCTCCATCATAAATTGATAGATTATTTATAGCAGTCTTGTTTAAATCTTATTGTCAATACTATTATTAGAAATAGTTCAAATGATTGAAAAACTGCACACTAATTTATCGGATTACTGTGAATTCAGAGAAAGTAAATAGATCGTCAGTAGTATATCATTTAAATAACCTTTCATGCGTAGCATGCAACTAAGGATATTCATACAACTAACCAAATCTCCTTTAACTCCAGGTAGACCCATTAAGCCAGGAAGACCTTGAATACCCTGAAAGAATTTTCAAGTTTTTTAAAACTAAAATATATTGAAAATTAACCTTATTTTTAAAACATAAGGGGTAGAAAATATTAAAAGAAAATGTCATAGAAATAATTACCTGAGGTCCAGGTTCACCTGGTTTCCCATCAGCTCCTGGTTGACCCTAAAATGCAGCAGGAACAATGTCAATGATATACAGTGCTTAAGTCAAATGCATATAACTAACTATAGCTAGTACCTAAGTCACATGCGTATTATGCAATTTGAATGCTCAAAAATATAATGAATACAATATATCTTTTGATGATTTTTATGTGAACTCCATAACATAATCATACTTATGTGAGATCTATTATAAATACACACATGATGAAAAAAATATCAATCAGAAAAAATATAATAAAAGTAAAATTACCTTTTGTAAAACGCGCTTAAGTCTACCGTTGATATAAAAGGAATTACATATACAGTTTAAAATTTTGAGAGATGAATAAGGTAATATTAAATTTGATTTTTCCTCTTACACAGTAAATAAAAAATGAATAATAAAAGTAGAAATATAAAATAAGCAAAGATCAAAATGAAAGAAATAAAATGAGCAATTCATATTTCTTCTTCTCAGTGCAATTTTATTTCTACAGCAAATAATATTCGTTCACATGCAATATCAATGGAAAGGGTTCTTTTGTTCACATAGTCTATATTAATTACTGAGCTTTTGTTGTTATCATTGCAAGTTTTAGCTAGTGAAATGACGTACGAAGCAGCCTTAATGAAACTGTTTAGCATACTGTTGTCATTCAATTACTAATTTTTCAGGAGTAAAATAGTTAGTTAAGTTAAAGTTAAGTTTAGTTAGTTAAGTTAAAAACGTTAAATTTATAGTTAGTAGTTAAGAAGTTTAAATTTAATTTTAAGGTTTTAAAGAGTAAAATAGTTAGTTTACACAATATGAATAATCATCTATATCATACTTTTCTTTCTTATTTAAGTGATAAAAATGAGAATTCTTATATTTACGAATTAAAGCCAGTATTAGTACTAATATTTGATTCAGAATCATTATTTACATCTATCTGAAATCGACATTTCTTTTACACGTAGCTGAGTCTTGTTTCATTTGTAGCTAGTACTGTTGGGCCTTTTCCAGCTCTTTTTTCTACTTTATATTCTCTTTAGACTAATTTTTAGTTTGCATTGATTACCAGCTCTTATTGTCAGTTCTTACATTCTACTACCAAAATTTTAAAATTAAAATATTTGCATGATTTGTTTAGTTATGCATTAGGAAATGAAGTAAATATTTTTTAATTCAGAAATAAAAAGTTTGCATAAGATTGAAAATAGATATTATTTTAATGTTATTAAATAAATGAACTCACTCTTTCACCAGCCAGTCCATCTTTTCCTGGCAATCCTGGTCTTCCAGCCAATCCCTGCAAATGATTTAAGATGTTATACGTTAAAAGCATGATTGTTACAAAAACGACAAGAACACGATTGTTACAAATAATCATATGTTCCGAACATTATTATTATAACTAAAGCTTTCTTTACAGCTGATAACATATTTGTTGAATTATAAATCTACAGGATTATTTCAAAAATATTTAAATTAAAAATACACCTCCCATAAAAAAAATCAGTTCATACCCTAAGGCCTTGTAGTCCTGCCGGTCCAGGTCTACCAGATTCACCCTATCAAAAAATAGAGTATATATATATTAATATATATTTAAGATAGAAATTGGAGAAATATAGATTTTTTACTGCTTTCAACAGATACAAAGTAAAATAAATAATAGATACAAAATTCATAAACTTTGGACTAAATTTCGTAAACTGTTAGCTAATTTATACGGTGAGTCCACATATGCATTTTAGAAGACTGTAGGGTTATACTTACCTGTGAGCCTTTAGGTCCTTGTGGACCTTGAGGACCTTGGTCGCCCTGAGAGCCTTTCATTCCTGAAGGTCCATCTGGTCCTGGAACTCCTCGAGCTCCAGGAATACCCTTCATAAAAGAAAAACTAAATAACATATCATTGTATGATTGACTAAGTCACAAATGTTGAGGGGTGTTATGACAGATAGTATGTATATAAGGCTGGCATACGTAAGTTAACACCTAAGAAAAAGTTAATATCTTAATAATAAGGGAGAAATTTACGTTCACCTTTCCTGTCTCTTAAACACTTATCACTTGAAGAGCCTAAGCAGAAAATAACATGACAAAGAAAAAAATTAGAAAATACTATCGCTTGATGATTTTCCTCCATTAATAGTTTAGTAGTAGACTGATATTTGTGATCACTGTTGTGCCTTGATCCGAAGTAGGAGTTTAAACTATTTGTATAGTAGTTTTACGATAACGCTTGCTGAAATGGGACATAAAAGAAAAACTTCCTTTAGGTCGCATTTTCTAGGTTGACGTTTGAAAAACTAAATTTTGTTTCCAGCTGTTATCAAAGTTTAAATGTCTTATTTAAACAATTACATTGTTCAGAATCTATGTTGAATTGTCAAGAATAATGTTCAGCGTAATATGTTGCAAAGAATATATAGTGTATTAAGTGTAGCATTGAGTTGTAAATGTGCCTTAAGTACAGTGCAATGATCAACGCAATGCATATTATGAAATGTATATTGTAGCGAGTATGTGTAGCAATGTGTTAACATGCGATGTAGCCAGGAAAATGTTTAATTTCGCATGCAGAAAAATCTATATTTTGCCCTTTGTATGGCCATGTACTTTGCCCTTGTATTGTTTTCGGAGTGTAGCTTCAGATAGTTGCGGGATCCGGACGATACCTGCCTAGTCTATGTAAGCCGTCTGGGTGTCCGGACCTGCTCTCACCTGTCACCTGTTATCAAAGTTTTCCCTTTTTCTGTTGCTAAAAGCAAAGACAGTTGATCATCTTCTACGGATGCTTACATTTCGTTTTAAAAAAGTCTTACAGTATATTTTTTACGAAAAGTATGTTACAATTATACTAAAATCTGATTACTGATTATTTTAAATAAAAATAGTGAAAGTAAGCTATTCTAAATAAAAAATAGTGAATGAAAGCAAGAGTAATTAATTTGACAATAATTTCACGATAAGAAATCTATGTGAGCAAACATTTGCATAAATACCCGGTTAAGGATGCATTCAAACAACTAAAAATCATCCTTTATATTGTAACAACTAGACAAAAGCGTACGTTGAGAAGCAGACAGAAAATATTAATGCCAATAGCTTTTCAGATCTAAAATGTTCAGTATTCATATTTAAGCACTAATGTGAAAAATAGTTTCATCTCAAAATAATAAATGAAACTTTAACTGTTAAATTTAAATTTTACTTAAAAAAATTTTTGGAATATGTAACTTTTAAAACAAAACACTGAATTAACAAAAGAATGCTAGTTAAATGATATCTGCAGAACATATCTTTACATGCAAATTGTTCTGAAGTGTTTTATCGTGTTACACATTTTACTTCTGAATCGGAAACAGCGTTCTAAATTTTCACTGTAGGGTATTACATAATATTTTTTTGCACTTAAAAATGATATAAACTAACCACTACTTGAACGCTTGAACGAATTCATTTTAAAATTTAGGGAAGCTTGCTTTCTGAACATCTTGAGGAAGGGGAAAATTAAGTGAATATTTAAAAAAAAATTCAGAACCTTGCATTAAAATGCTAGGGGGAGTAAATATTGTAATGTTTCAAGTAATAATAAAAATTCGGTCAGAGAAAGCAAATGATAAAGGAATATATATGAAAATTGCAATTAAAATTATTTCAAAATATAAAACAACCCGCTTTTATTTTGCAGCGGAAATGAATAATTAAATTATACTATAGAAATTGCAAAAAAGTTGCATAACTTACGCGCTCCCCAGGCGGACCAGGAGGACCTGGTGATCCTGCCGAGCCTGCCTTGCCCTAAAAATAATGGAATACGTAAAATCATAAATTATTTCAGAACGTATGAAATGTATAAGAAATCTTTTCATCCTCGTGCATATTTAGTTTAATTTTGAAATTCATGCAAAATTTAGAGAATAATTTTATCATAAAAGGAAAAATAATATAAATAAAGTTTACAAATAGGAAATTGGAAATTTTTTTCTTATGTATCATATCTCATACATAATATATGTATTATATTATGTATGTAATCTTATGAGTTATATCTCAGTTAGTATTAGAAGTTCAATTTTCAGTGCAGAACGATATACAAAAGTATCATCTCTTATTTTTTCGGCTCCTTATTTACAATTTTCCATTATCTGTTTTTTTAATCCTTTTACCTTCAACATTAAACTTAAATTTAAAAAAAAATTTTCTTCTTGCAGTATTTAGAGATATAACAGTGCTACACATCAAACATTATGAAAGAGAGATATTGAATCACGAAGCAACGATTCTGAAGGTTCTTGATCAAAACGTTTCATGCATTACGAATACGCATTTCGAAGTTTTTATGAATACGCATATCAAAGTATTTACCATATTTTCATTTTCCTCGCTTGGTAGCTTCGAATTAATTTTCATCAGTTTTAAGTCTAATGCTGGTTCATGAAGAATAAAATAAATTATTTCAGTATCAAATAGAAAGGACGGAAGAATTAATAAGAATTTAATCGCCTTTTCTTTTCATTCGTAAATGATGGATGCAAAGTGCTTATTTCTTCCAATTTTTATTACCTAAAAAGTAATAATTGTCTTCGTTTACATTTTAAATTAGACAGAAAAAAAGTATTTGCGCTTTTCAATTAATAATAGAAGATATTAAAAAAGCCCAAAAGGGAAAAATATTCAATTTGAAACTTTTCCCATAATTTATGGTAACAACACCAATTTATGGTAACACTTGCTGAACAAATATGAGTCTGAAGATGCAGTCATACATGGCACGAAAAGTAAGTGGTGGCCATAGGATGACTTGACCAATTACTAACAATCTAGGAAATACGAAAAGCGAATTTTGCAGAGTAAGCGCAGGGTAACATATGCTTGCGATGTTAGAAAACAAGCATAGAACACATAAAGGTTTCAATCATCTCAACCATATCGCAAAAATTTCCATTGCAAATTCTGGGATTTCACTATAGCACGAGATTCTGCGAAACGAATAACAATATAAAGCGTACGAAAAACGTGTGCAGGATGAAAAGAGTAGATAACAAAGTTAAGAGATATCTCGTTGCAAACAAAAAAAAAAAAAAAAAAAAAAAAAATTAAAATCTTATTTGTTCTCTTCAAGCAATGGGAAGCGATCGAACCAGTATCGCTGCAAGATACCAGTGCAGTTTCATGGATAAAGGGCACACCCCTTCAACTACGCTTACTGTTAAGCCTTTCCCGCCTCTTCTCCTTTTTTGCTCGAGATCCCGTTAACAACAACACTGTGAAAAGAAATATAGTTCGTATTGGTAAATGTATTTCGCTTCGGTGGAGCAAAGGACACTATTTTAGTTAATCAAAATTTGAATTATCTTTTAAAAGATACTATAAAACGTAATGTAGGCTAACAGGAACTTCGGAGCTAGGGTGTTATTCGCAACGTAGTTGATTATTGGAACAACAGCATCCAGAACAAAGCCCATATTTCTCTTTTTCATGTTGTTATACATTTTACGTTAAAGAAGAACGAGACATTCGCAAAAGCACTGTGATAGGCTTGTGAAACTGTATTTCGATGGCAATTTTGCGGAAATTCTACGCACATGTTTTTGCATAACTTACGCAAAAGCATGTGCTAAAAACAAGCTGTGCGCTATTTCATTGGTAAAGTCGAAGGAACAAGCTGTAAACACTACTGAAGGTGATGTAGCCGCATCATAGTAGATATTACATTCGTCTCCGAGGTTCATCGATTCATCACTCCAGATGCTTAACCTATTGCAGTCGCCTACCTACACTGAGATCCTTCATCCAGATGTTAACAAAAGTAGTATGCCCTTGGTAACAGCAAGATATGTGACGAAAGTTCGTTACCTTTATCTGTAATAAAGAGGTTTTCCTCACCTTTACAGTTGTCTCGTAACCTTCTGTTATTTTCCATGTACAGCCGTTCCATCGTTCGAAAATCGATATTGCTGTTGTTTTTCATTCTTTCACGCAGCGTTTCAGTGCTTTATGTTGTCTTCCATCTCTCAGAATCTCGTACAATCGTGAAATTTGGGTGTTTCTACTGGAAGTTTTCGCGTTGTAGTTAGGCTAACTATAAAACTGATTCGTGTTTTACCTCCGTTTTCGCAGACCTCCTGTACTTATTCTGTAAAATATAAAAACTGATTCCTCGCGCTCTGGAAGCTGGATCTAGTCATTTTATGGTAGTCTGTATTTATTATAACAGTTCTTCGCTATAGATCCTTTTTAATATGATCAAAGGATAGATCTTATTGATGATCTGTTTCGTAATTTAATAAACGTAAGGGAATAAAAATTAAAAGTATTAATTAAAAATGTCCACAGATGGTTGGCTTTATCCACACGTTAATTCCTTTGGAACAGTTTCTAATCTTTGATCTGTTTCGAAGTAGTGAGAAGTTAATAAGCTGTTTTTAACATTATTCCAGTAAAATTTAAGTTTCGCTGATCGTGTATGTGATTATAAAAGCTTTTGATTTCAATTAGGCTTTCCGGAGTAAGAGGCCTATGCAATCGTTTACAGTTTTTTTTCATCAAGAAGCGATGGATAACTGATGCGTTAATTTTATATTTACAAGTAAGTGAAGTTTATAAAAGATCTGTATTTCTAATTTGAAATTTTGACTGGTTTTCTATATCAGTGGCACTAATTGGAGGACGATTAGAAATCATCAATAACCGAGTAGCTTGTTATTCATCAGCAGGCTGTGTGCGTATAGTTGAAATTTGAAGTATCCATTAGGTAACAATTTTTCAGTTCTTTCTTTAGGCTTCAGTCTTCTGATTCGATTACAGTCTTTCAATGGAAAATTTACTTTAATCGAAGTATCTTTATATGAACATTACGAACATGAACTGTAAGCGCATTTGGGAGCTCCATAATATGGTTATGAAGGCATGAACGCTAGCATTATTTTGCACTATAAATACTCCATTTTTTAGTTCAACGTATGCACACATTAGGTACTTCTTTATAGTATAGTTCATTTGCTTGGAAATCTCATTAATAATTTAAAAAAGTCACTGTGCCAAGAATTAAATTTATGTGGCTTGTACTTTATTTTCTAGTTTCCTTGTTAGTAATGAAAATTTTTGCGTTTGACAATCTTCATCGAATTTCTGAATTAACTCGAAATTCTAGATTAATGTCCATTATTTTCTATTAATTAATTTTAGGCATAATTTTGAACATAAGAGCGGAAAGGAAAACACTTACTCTTTTTCCAGCTTGTCCCGGCGTCCCTGGAAGACCTCGAGGTCCAGGTCCACCTTGTTCTCCTTTTCTTCCCGTTTCTCCTTTCACGCCCGTTTCTCCAGGTATGCCCTACAAAGGAAATATAATAAATACATAATCATAAATAGTAAAAATACTGTTTAATCTTAGGTTTAGTTATTTTGTAGGTGAAAGGTGTATATAAAGATCAAAATTCAATGCTAAAAATTATATATTTTCCAATTTCTCTCTTCAGTATTATATTCTTGTTACATTCACCTGGTTATTCTGATAGAAATTTGATGCTTCTCAGAAATTCATAGCTATAGAAGTCGTAAATGTTTGATTTACGATAAAAATCACTTTGAAGCAGAGAAACAGACAGAAGGCAGTTTGGGAGAAGACAGTAAGCTACGCAAAAATTTTTATATACTATGATGATATATACCTCTCCTAGAGGTTGAGGTAGACTGTAATCGATTTCAATGAATGAGAGAGCCGTCACTGACGGTATGGGTAACAAAGCAGGCTTCTAAAGAGTTGTCTCCAATTTGAATGTCATACAGAACATGATGATTTCAGCTGTATGTGTAGAATAGGGTTCATTAATTTTTGCGGAGTTAAGACTTTGACATAACTAATTCTTATAATTTTTTGGTCTCATTACTTGACAAGTTTTAGAGCATTGTAAGATATATAAGAATAGTGAAGAAGACCAAATGTAACCAACTTTCTGACAGTGACATTATACTAATTTTAATAGTTAGCGGAAGAGATGGTGATTATGAATAAAATTTTATTCTGATGACTTAATAGTAAAAACAGCTTTTTCTATTAATCAAATTTGTCTTTAAATGAATTTTTTTTTAAATTACTTCAAGTGGAAGCTTCCTTTTTTAACAACAATTTTCTAGCTCCTCTATCTTTTAGATCGAAATAAATGTTTTTAAGGGGAATAACTATTTTTACTACATACAGGAGATCCTTTCGGTCCAGGTAACCCGGGGCTTCCAGAAAGCCCAGGAGGTCCTCTTGCTCCAGGAAATCCAGGGGGTCCAGCAAGTCCAGATTCTCCCTAATATATGATACAAAATTAGTTATTGATGAAGAAGGTGAAAATTTTAAGACCAAGCTATAGCTCAATAACCTTTACAAAACAGTAAACAATTTGTCCAGAATAATTAAATGTTAAAGAATGAAATTTAAAGGAATATTTAACTTACTGCTGAGCCTTTCTCTCCTGGGGCACCATCCTTTCCAGGAGATCCCTGAAAAAAGAAAAGATAGAAAATTTCAACAAGGCTAGTTAATAAGTGCTGTTAAATTTGCTGTGACTTCAGCTACAAAATTAAAGCTTTTTAAAAAATTACCTTAACAGTAATGAGAAAACAAACATTTCTAATAAAGAAATTTTAGTACAGGTATGATTTCAACTGAAAAAAATTTCAAACTAGATAATAATATTCGTTATTATGAAAACAGAAAGGATGCCCCATAAACCTAAATATTCTTTGTTAAGGAAAAGTTTAAAAAAATGTAGTTCGTCAGAACTGAATGAAATCTCTGAAACGAATAGCACAAAGACTTAATTCATAGAATTGAAATCTTTAAAGTTGCGATTTTATATTTAAGATATCAATATAAAAAATTCGATGGTATGATATGTAAATGCTTTCACTATGTTGATATCTTTCCAGTGCCAGATGCATCAAATAGGTAAAGATGAATATAAAATATCCATGGGCGTTGAGGTGATATAAATAAAGTTAAGAAATTGGTCGAAGGTATTTTGATCAAGATATTGTTTCATAAATATATATTGAGAGCTTCCCGAAAAATCATTATTCTACAAATTCGGAAGAAGGTAGAAAATAAAAATAAAAATATACACCTTTCTGAAATGCTACGTTTTTATTCCAAAATATAGTTAACTGCCGTTTACTTACTAAATTGGACAAGTGACGTAATATCAATATTGTACTTTACGTATAGTTCATTTCTTCCCAAAATCTCGGAATTACTGCAACTTCATCAAAATTGCTATTCCTTAACTTATGTTGCAAATAATTTTTCACTATTAAAATAATTCCAGATTTGGACTTTCGAATGATGCACGTAGAGAAATGAAGCATATTATGAGTCATGCGTTATGCTTATTTTCCTTTTGTGAAAAAACTAAAATTACTATGTCGTGATAATATTTTAAAAGTGAATAATATTCTGCATCCTATCCCATTATATGCCCTTTGCTACTTATAGAAGCTTTTATGTCTGAGCTGTAATCCCTCTGAGAATTTACAGTTAAATTAATAAAATATTTTATGTACGAAAAATTCAATGTACGTATTTTACATCAAAATATACAGTCTTCTAGATTTCAACTTCAGGCTAAGTATGCAATTATTTCGAATGGAAAATAAAAAAAAAATGTATCTGTAAAAAAATATTTATCTGTTTTCATATTTACGAACATTTTTCATTGTGTTTGTATGACAAGCATAACAAAACTATTTTAATGCTATTTGAAATTTTATAGTACCATTGGTCCTGGTTCACCAGGAATGCCGGGTTTTCCAGGTTCCCCTCGAGGTCCTTGTAATCCTTGACTTCCTTTTGGTCCAAAAGGTCCAGCATCGCCCTGCATATTAAAAAGGGTAAATATGGGGCTAAATAAATATCAGGAAACGATATGGACTGTTTTTAATTTTCTAAAATCTTGCAACATATTTTGAAAAAAGTTATTAGCTCCTATTACATTGTTTGATTAAGCAAATGTAAAATTTTTAAAGTTGTTATTATGGTACTATATCTGTTGCTTTAAATATATAAACATGCATGCGACAGTACATACACTAAGATCTCCATTTAGTCCCCCATGTAATGACGACTTTTTATAACTCTGGAAAAGCATTAAATTTCAGATGATCCGTTACAACACTGTTACACTCGGGCTGCCAAAAGCCGTTACATATAAGCTGATTCAGTATTATTGAACTGATCCTTTGCTGTGGGTACTGCTGAAAAATTTTGCCTTCCAGGTAAATAGTGAGTGAATGATTTCAACGATCATATGATTTCATTAGAATGAAATTTTTCAACTATAAAACGGAACGATAGTCTTTATTCTACAATTCGCGTTATTATACTTCAGGAAAAGCTTGAGGTTAAAATTATCTGCTTTTAATGCACTCAACTCGAGTTAACTCCGATACACTGAACTAAATTATTTCGGCCCATCCGAGTAAATAAGTTCAAGATTTTTTTTTTCTTTCCAGATATGAATATAACAAAATATATCCGCTACAGCTTTGAGTTAAAATAAAGAAAGAGGTTGAGTTAAAGTAAAGAGTAAAATAATTGGCGGGAAAAGACAGTTTTCTGAATTTTGTATTGGTGCATTAAGATGTTAATTATTATTTATTTGGCATAAATATTTTATTTTAGGAGAAACGTTTAGTGATGACAGCAATGTTTCATTAAAATTTATATTTTTTCAGCTTCATGAAAATTTTTTAACTCATAGTTTGATATCAGGTTAGAATCCATCAAAGAACTTACTTTATTTAGCAAAGCTAGATCTTAGTTAATCAAAACAACTCTTTAAAAAATCTTACTCTATTGATTTGTATGACTCCGAACTCTAATTCTTTAGGATATTCTAGTAAAATACAATAGGATATTTTTATTCATAATCATGCATGAATATAATTGCTTAATAACGAAAAACGAAATAGAATTAAAGTAAACGCTGTTTCTTCTTGGTCGCCTGTTCTTTATTTACTGTTTGATAAAATGACCCTGATTACAGCTGTTTCGTTTCCTATTAATATTCTAAGACAGTACTTTCAACATTATACTGGTATGCACACTGTTGTGTTAAAAACAGTTTGCTGTCACCATGAGGAGTTAGAAGTCCTTCCGATAAATAATGCATTTTCTTTAACATTAAAAGCTCTCAGCAGGGAGCAATTTCTATAAAGTAAAAGGAATATTTCTTTTAAATCCCGATTAAATTAAATTTCGCATAGTCTAACTTTTTTAGGTTACAGGACAAATTATCTCATCCATTTCATTTGCAAAGATTTCACCTATAAAAGTATCTATACTTCCAAACCTAGATTGATAAAGCAATAAGGATAGAGTAAAGCTAAATTAAAACTCTTATTGCTACTTCAGCTTGATGTTCCAAAAATTAAAATGTTAGCAAAATTAACTTCTGCTTCGGTTGGATACTTAACAATGATGAAAATTATTTACAGGTTAATAATTAAAATTTAAAGCCTAATAACCTGGCTCAATATTCAGTAACTATTAAGACATTTTCAGTCAACTACCACATCATGAAAGGCAGGCAGCACGAGATGAAATTTTAGCATCACAGATTGAGGTTGAGCTCTCTCTTTAAATTTTGATTCTCACTCGTTAATTAAACTCATTTACTTCTGTTGTAGTAGTACAGTAGAAGTACAGAACATACTAACGCGTAAAATAAATAAACCATACAATATGTAATTACCGTTTACATATTGTATGATTTATTTTATTTAACCGTTACCGTTTTATCGGATATACGTCGAAAACTCAATTCATCTACAAAAGTATTCTAGCCGAAAAGTTTCAGCCACTGAGAAACAGTCTAGCAATAAATAAATCTGTTTTACTTTAAATGACCCATCTGACAGCTAGTTCATTACATCAACTCCATATTTATTGAAAGATTTTTTCGCACAAATTCGAAACTTGATTAAAACGTTATATTTATTGTTAATAATCATCTGTCACTAGTTGAGCTTTACACAATACGTATTATCACTTACTTTCATATCCATAACGCTATATTTTTTCTATAATAGTTATCATATATTTGCATATAGTAAAACGGTAATCTTAAGTATAGGTACATTTATATATATTGATAAGTTTGGCGCACTTTATATATATTGATACGTTTTATATAATACAGGGTGTTTCATAGATCATGGGACAAACTTGGAGGGGTGGTGGAGCGTACAAAAACATGCATTTTCTGTATAGGAATGTAGAATGTAGAGTCTAAAGTGGACATGTTAAGGCACGAACACAAAAAAAAAAAAAAAAAAAAAAAAAAAAAAAAAACGACACTAGTGGAAAATGTGTTTATGTTACAAAATCAAAGCAAAGCGCTTCTTTGCAGCAGTTATAGTATTCACAAGAAATGTTCAAAATTGGGACCACTAGCAGTAATACATGCATTGGTAACGTCGTAGAAGAGATTCGTTCGAACATTTTGAAAAACGTTAGGAATTTCGCGTACGCTTGCAGCCGCAGTACATATATAGTATATATACACTCTTTCGTGCAAGAGACGTTCTCCAGCGAGTCAACTCGAGAGTCTCGTAAATGATGCTCTTCAGATGGCCCCATAAAAAAAATCGAAGCTGGATAAATCTGCGAACGGGGTGGCCATCGAACGGGTCCACCAAGGCCAATCCATCGGCCCAGAAATGTCCCAGCCAAGTAATTGAGGACCCGCACGTGGTTATGGGCTGGTGCACTATCGTGCTGGAACCACATGCGATCACGAACGACAGCCGGAAAATCTTGCAGCAATTCCGGTAGCACCTCTTGCAGAAAAATATGATAACATAAGCCATTTGTACGTGCAGGTAAGAGGTATGGGCTTATGAGGTAGTCATTAACAATGCCTGCCCACACATTCATGGAGAAGCGGGTTTGGAATGCATGTAGACGTGTGCCGTGTGGATTATGAGTTGCCCACACGTGCATGTTGTGGCTATTGAAGATGCCGTCCTGTGAGAAAGTTGCCTCGTCCGTGAATAGCACATCCGATGGGAAATCCGCTTGCACCGCACACTACTGCAAGAACCAATGACAGAAATGAACTCGAAGAGGGTAATCTGTCTCTTGCAAGACTTGGACTCTCTGCAAATGGTATGGGTCCAAACCATTTTCATGCAATGCTCTACAAATGGTGGAATGACTCAGCTGCAGACGACGTGCAATAGCTCTTGTACTTGTCTGAGGTGATTCATGCACAATGTTCAAGATGGATTCTTCAATGCGAGGTTGTCGTGCACTTCTTCCACTCCTAGTGTCAGAGGTGGCTTCAAATGACCCGTTTTCCCACAGAGACCGATGCAACCTGTCAAGCATCATTGTGTGCTTCGGCATACGCCTGTTCAGAAACAGTTTCTGGGTACAACCATAGCGCTGCTCTGCCATTCCTATTAGCAGCACCCTACATGTCAGCTTTTTCCCTGTGCGTAAACTCGCCCATCACGCTCGACATCAGAGTTGCAAATGATCCTCTGATGCATCGGATCGTGGTTTGTCCGGCTCACTACCGCCCTCTACCGCTGCACTGCCAGCCAATCACAGCTGCAGTTCCTATTACTGTTAGTGTTCCCTTGTTTGAATATTTATTGTGAATACTGTATTGCTGCAAAGAAGCACTTTGCGTTGATTTTGTACATAAACACATTTTCCTCTCGTGTCGTTTTTTTGCCTTCTTGCCTTAACCCGTCACTTTAGACCCTACATTCCTATACAAAAAATGCATGTACACATGATCATGGGACAAACTTGGAGGGGTGGTGTGTCCCATGATCTATGAAACGCCCTGTCTAAAGCGATGGTACATACTATAATGGTAATGGTACTCTGCGAAAAAAAAATGGACAGTTCTATAATTCCCGTTCTGCTGGGTCTATTGGCGAAATTCAACTTCTGTTTTTCATGCCTCGAAAATGCAAATTAGGATATGTATTATATTTAATATAGCATTATTCTAATATTGATATTTTGACACAAAATCAGACTTTTTCTGGTAATGGCATGCCAATTTTTTTTCCATATTTTTATTCTACGATTCAAAGAATGCCAAACTGCCAAGTTTTGTAAAAATCGCACGAGTAGTTTTTAAAAAATTAACTCTCAAAATGTTAATTGAATGTTAATTGTTCTCAAAGTTATTTGAATTTGATATATATATATATTAATATCTCTTTTTTATTAAACTTATTTGATTTCTTCCTTTCATATTTCAAAATTTAGGTTCATTCCAAATAAAATTCGCCCATTTTTTATGATTTCTTTTTAAAATTTGCATTTTTAAACAATTTGTATAAATTTTTCGAAAAAAAAATTGAATTTCAACCTATAAAATATTTAACATCACCTTAAAGTAAATGCATTTCTAAGCATACCTGCAAATAATTAGATTTTTTTATTCAAAATTTCCCAAGATATACGTGAATTTACATTTTGGTGCATTCTGAAATTTGGCGTATTTATTATAAGCAATAATAACGAAAATGTGGTTTACGCAATTTGTTAAAATTATTTGAAAGTATGAATGATGACTTTTTTTCTCGCTCGTGCACAAAGAAAAAAATGCAAACCAAAATAGGTTGCTATAAATTAAGAAGTTCGCTAAGTGAATTATTCTTGGCGTAAACTGAAAAAAATTGCGCCAAGTTAAATTTTTAAATTTCCCCATAAATTTCTCGCAAAAAATTACAAAATTTAATATCTAGGCACAATATGAGTCGTAGAATTGAAACATAAAAAAAAATTGGTATGTTATTTCAGAAAAAGTCCAATTTTGTGTCAAAATATCTATGTTAGAGCAATGCTATTTACATGCCTAATATATATTCTAAGTCGCGCTTTAGAGACATGGGAAACGCAATTTGAATTTCGTCAATCGGCTTAGTAGAACGGCAGATATAGAACTGTCACATTTTTTTTCGCAGTGTACATATAACAATATATTATAGCGATATATGTCGTATAATAAGGAATCTGCTTTCTTTAAAATTATAATTAAGTACATTTAAAATTTAAAAAATATTTAACTTTAGATGAACTATATAAAATTGCAACCGTTTTTTCTGGTAGGAAATACCTTTTAAACTGTAAGTAATCTTCAAAATAAAAATAATATTTTCAGAATCGATTACCTTAGCACCCGGTGATCCTGGAAATCCTGGTGGCCCTGGTCTACCAATAGGTCCCTGGAAAGCACAACAGAATATATTGACTAACTATATGCAGATAACGAATTTATTCATAAAAATACAGCAATGGAAAGAATAACTAGAAAGTAAAAATACGTCAAATTTTTTTACATAACTATATTCCTTATGTGTATATATAATATTGGGATAATTATGCATGAAGCAAACTTTTTTTTTTAATCCAGAGTGATTAAAAGCATATGTTATTGTTACACGACGGCTGCTTAAATATTAATAGGCCCATGCTGCAGTATACATATGCTCATTTCATCCTACAATCATGAATCAATTTATGAATCACTTAGTCCAAATGACACCGTTTAAGTTAAAACAAATTTTGTTTGTATCGTGATTGAGTTGTGAGAACGTATGTTAGGTAATTTTAATTTTTCTAATCAGATATATTCATTTAGTTTGTGTCTCCTCATTCAACGAAAACGAGAGTACCTGCGAACTGTTGAGTATATAAAAACAATTAAAAAAGAAACCTGAGTACCTATAGCTTAATTGACTGATCTACCAGAAGGAAGCGATCACCTAGTTCAAGCATATGCAACTTTGACAGGACTTCTGGTCAGATTAGAAATTTAAAAATATTACGCGGTCCGGTGTACTTTAGGATTTATTTATATGGAAAAATAAAGCAATCGACATATCTTAATTAGTTTAATCTCTCTGTTACTTCATATAAGCTCCAATCATAAAACCTACAAATATATAAAACGCAAAATAAGATAATAATCTCGAAAAAAAGTTTTAATGGGACGTTTGGGATTGCATGGCTAACACAAGATTGTCAATATTCGGAGATACTTGCAGGCGTTGAAACTAGCGACGTTTTTCCAGGTGCACACTAATAATTCGCGTCTTTGTCTTGTATTTTACGTACTTTATCTTTGAAAGAAGCTACTCGCATGTATAAGTGCTTCCAAATAGCGTCAATTTTTTTCCTGGGCAAAAGTTGTTATAGAAGTCAATTAGTACAATATCCATGATTTTTGCCTTCAAAACAAGGTTGTCTTATAGTTCAGTTAATTCCCCTTGTACAAAAAGTGCTAGTTGAACATCAAAATCAAATGAAGAACCAGTCAAACACATATCTAATCCCTTCCTGTGAGTAAATGCAACTAGGGTGACCAGGTCCCAGCTGAGGCGCCTGCATATTAGGCAGGAGGTGGGCAAACTAGTCGGAGATCACTCCAGGAGAGAAGGTGCAGCAAATTTCTTCATGCTACGAATCGAGGATCTCAATCCAGGCTTATACAAAATGAAGTCTCTTAAAACCCCCATCAATGAATCTGCCCACCGGGCGCTCGTCTCACCTCGGGTGCACGGACGACAGGGGGAGGTGAAAAAGGACTGGAACTCCGTGTTCATGGAAGTCGCGCTAATTACTCGCATGGCCGAAGCCACTAACGTCCCGAACAGCATAGGCTGACCTTTCTGGCAATCGACCCTCGAAGGGGGGAATTCGCTATATGCATGATATATAAAATCAAATGGAGAAGAGAAAATTCGCAAGTTTGCTTTTTCATTTTTAAAATCACTGAACCTAGCGTTGATTTCTTAACTCAAATATTTCAGCTTATCCGCAATCAAAATCATTTTTGTGGTTCGCAAGTGTGAGAAAATGGGATCAACATTCAACTATTTGCAGCATGAATCGCGGCCTAAAAGGTTGAACTTAGCTATGTTACTGGATTATATCTAACAGAACTTGTGTTTTGATATTATATGTAAGTGTTTCAAAAACTCGATTACTTTTAATGTTTATGAAACTAATGATCATCGTTTTTAATACTTAGCTGAGCAGCTTACGTAATTTTAAATAAGGATTTGCTGTTTGGTACAATTTGTGCCATTTTCTAACTGCACTAGAGGTTTCGATTTTCATCGCCTCAGCAGCATGGTTAAATGCAAGCATATCACATTGCCAAAATTGGGTTACTTTATACCGAAATATATGGGACATTAAAATACTTATTTACTTTTATTCATATTATTGCTTTGCATCTGCTAAACATTTTAGTAGAAATATTAATGTAGGTCATAGGTAACGAAATATTTTGTGTAAATCATTTCAAGCAAGGGTACTTCTTTTTCATAACGCCCCTCCCCCCTCCGAGATTGAATCACCAATCAACCGAGATATCTCGCCGAAATCTGACTGCGTGTTCTTATACCTCGCTACATTCTTATATTATTAATTTTTGATTAAACTTTAGAATTTGTATTGCTCATTTGAAATATATTCATTGCCTTTTTGTGTGAATATGACGTCATCAAACTTTAATTTACCAAGTAATGAGGTGGATGCCACATGCGAAACGAGCATACGAAAATGGCTACAACATGAAACTTTGTTATCGACGAAACCATTTGGAGGTGCAATGTAAAAAATTGCAAAAAGATGAAGGATATCCGTGTTGGAAATTTATTCAGTGGTTTCAGAATTTCGTTCGTCACTGCTATTATATTTATGTATTCTTGTTGACGCTCATGAAAAATGATGTGAAAAATAGCTGAATATGTGTGAAAGTGCTGCAGTTGAATGGAAAAACTACTTTCGATAAAATCTTAATAATAAAGATACCGATAAGAATTCTTAAAAATATTCTTAGGAAAGGACATATGAATAGTATTGTTATTATTATATATTGTGTTGTTTATTTTTACATTCGCGCTTCACGAGTTTGGCGAAATTATAGCCGAGATCTAAGCGAAAATCTAAAAATCGCCAAATATGGTTGGAGGCTACTATAACAAAGAGGTATTCAAACAAAATATACGATTATTAATTAATTTATTTATTTTTGTGTGTGATAAAATTACTGCTCTAATTATAGTAAGATACGTATTGAATACACAAAATGCATTTTGTAGCCTAAAAAAAATAGTCCATAGTGCGAAACATTATGCATTGATTTATAATATAGATCTCACTTATCAAGCAAACAACACATAGAGCCCACTACCGACCGAGCGGTTAAGTCGCTACTATATGATGCTTCAGCCCGAGTTTCGAATCCGCGAACGTGCTGGCTGCCTGGGCGTTTTTGGTGTTTTCCCCATGTGTAACGTACATATGAACAAGTTTTCTTCAGAAAGTCCTCCACAACGGCATCTCTTCCCTTTAGGCAGACAGCCCCCGAGGCTTTGTGGTAATCATATAGCCAAGCCAAACCAAACAATGCATGTTTTACTGCATAACAAGCAAACTTGATAAACAAAATAAAAAGCTTTAAACAACGAATCAGTTTAGGATGTTTTTATCTGTATTTGTTTTCCTTAATTCAGAAAGTACTTATGTAATCACCAATATTTTTGTCTAACAACAAGTATTGATATGTTATAAAAGAAATTATTTTTACATACCGGTGGTCCAGGTGGGCCGGGTAAGCCATCAATTCCTCGTATACCCTAAAATATATTTTAGCGTTAGAATCGATATAAGGTAACAGTGCAGTTTTCTTACTACTAACAAAAGAATTGTTTACTTACTGGAGGACCTGTTGGTCCTTCACGACCTCTTTCTCCACGGGGTCCTGGCGGACCCTAAAATATTAAAAAAATAGAAAATTTTATTAAATAAATAAAGTATTAAGTAAATAAAATTAGTATAAATATATATAAAATAAATCTATAAAGTATAATATATAATTATAAAAATATAATAAAATGTATAAATTATTAAATAAATAAAAATAAGAAAAACATGCTACTTCGAAACTGAATTCTTCGTCTGAATTTTATAAATACCTAGTAATTAATCTTGTACAATCGATAAAACGTTATCAAAATACTTTTATTGCATTTAATTAACGAATTTTGGAAGTTAAATGTTAAAGGAATACAAATTCGCTAACACTAAATCACGTACGAATTCTCTAAGTCGTTAATATTTTTCATGTTATCCAACCTGTGTTCTGCGAGCTTTACAGGAATTCAGTAGAAACACCCAGAAAGCATCGAAATTTATCTAATCTTATCATTTCGTTTGGATATATTTAAAGCTAATTTAAATTCTTAGCTGAAAAAGCTGATTTAAATTCTTGGCTAAGAAGCTGATTATGAATTCTTAGCTTCTAAAACTGAATAATGAATATTCAAAACTGGATGTTTTGAATTCTAAATGTGAGGTCTTTTTAAATTCAAAAATTGGGTGTTTTGAATTTTTACTGAGCTGACTCTTCTGTGGGGAGGGGGTGAATGTGGAGTTAACTGACGCGAAGGAGAGGTCAGAGCACATCTAAATAGAATACTTTTAATTGAGTATTATGTGATTTAACTTGCAGCGAAACGGCGTATTGTTGTTTATTACTTTCCTTTTTGCTTCAAATTTAGATTTAAGAAAATTCTTCAAGTTATAAGGAATACTTCCTGTATTTAATTACTATTTCTCATAGTCAGGTGTAGAATATATCTAGATACGTATCAGAATCAATTTGATTTGTTGTATTAAAATTTCGTTTAATTTTCTCATCTAATCTGCAAAGAGCAATACGCTGTCGTTATAGTTCAGGTGGTTGTTACAGCCAAATCTAAAAGTATACTATCTATAGTACAAGTTTTCTAGAGTCAGAGAGTCCAAACCTTCCTTAAGGGTTAAGACTTAATAAGGACATTTTACTGGAAGAAATAAATGAGTAATCGGTATATTAATGTAAGGAAATAAAAGCAAGCTCCTCTACTTTACATTTATATATAAACAGTTTGAGTCAATGCGATTCGGTCTTAGCAGAATTAATTAATTATAGAAGGGTCTTCTTAACATACTGCTTATGAATTACTGCAATTCCTACAATTTTCTGGATTAACAACGATTGCTTGCAGATTGTAGTATATATCAACATGTCCACAGTGACCGGATTTAATGACTGATGAACTGACGGAACCAATCCAGTCTGTGTCTGTTGTATCAAATGAAAATTTCTGAAAGCGTTCCTAAATTCTCTTCTTTCAATTATGGAACGATAGCTCAATAGTCAGACGGAAAGAGCGATCAGTTAAAGGAAAACTAAAAGGCTTTTCATCTTCAAAGGGACAGTAAGCGGTTAGAGTAGACTGAAGGGTACCCTTTATATTATCGCGAAGTTGTTTTATTTATAGTTGCATTATAAAGCACAAAAAGCTATATCAGTTGCATAATAATTTGAAGATAAGCGGATGCCTCATTTAAACCGACCCGCGCATTGCTATATAATAGCCCCAGAATGAGTTATAACGCAGAATAGGTTTTGGGAATTTAGACCACTTTTATGGCAACTAAAAGCGTATTTCTGTAGCTATTTTGCAAATTAAAGTCGTAAGAATAAGTAGGTGTAGTGCAAATATGCCTATAACCATTCCGTAAACGCAGTTTCTTGCTTCTATTCTTAGTGTCCGGCTTTTATAACGCGAGCATTGAGTTTTTCCTCGAAGTATTAAGGGTATAGTTTTATTCAAGTATAGTTTTTGAAAAATTTTAAATCAGAAACTCAAAATTACTTTTTTATGTGTGAGAAAAGAGTGAAACAAAAATACTCACCAATGGTCCAGTTGCACCCATTTTACCAGCAGGTCCTTGCATTCCCTGTTAAAAATACTTAAAGTTATATTCAATATTGTAAATTTGAATCATAATGCAATCGGAACATCTTAACAAAAAACAAATGCGTAATAGAAAAATTTTACAAAATAAAACAAGCATGTACATTTTGAAATAAAATTATGGTGATGGAAAATTAGCAAATACACGTATGCAAAAAAACTAATAAATTCAAATGTCTTTTATATCTGCATCAACCAATGTATTTAAAATTTGTATCTATTATTTACCTTTTCACCCTGAGGCCCTTGTTCTCCTTTAGCTCCATCTAAACCTGGGAAGCCCTGAAAAAATTAGACATGAATATTATACGCAAAAGCTAAACTACCTCAAACAATTACTATCCGTATATTTTATGAGTTTTGATCTGTAGACCTTCATATTGATAAGATAAAAGAAACAAACAAAAAAATAAAAATTTGAGATCTATTCACTTAAAAAGGTAGTATTATTTCTTGATATTCAAATTTAAAGCTTTAAGACAACTAACTATTCATTGAAACAAGAGTAAGATTACGAGAAATGTAAATTTTACTTATTGACTTTTTTCGTATTACTTTCACATTTTTTTAATTCTAAAATGCTAAAACAATACATTAATTGCTACTATGTCACTTTCACTATAAATTATTTTTCAAGTTTTCGCCTTATTTATTACTTTTACGTGATTTCATTCTTTTATTCTTGACATGAATTGAGAAGAGGCTTTTCAATTCTGCCAGTGCTTATAATTAAATCAGTTAATTGGAATATATGCGGTTATAAATATAAAATCATATTTACTCTGTGTCCTTTAATACCAGGTAGACCAGGCATGCCGGGAAGACCACGAGGTCCCTGAAAGAAAAAGCAAAGTTCTTGTATTCACACTACGTCTGTACACAACTGCTGCGTAGTTATAAAGCAACCAATACAACTTTAAAAACTGACACATATATGATTCTTAAATGATTACAATACCCAGTCTGCTTCACATTATAGTATAGTTACAATTCTGCCAGCATTATGATATCCAAAATCTTTCATAAGAGTAGCATTAATAACAAAAATTAATTTAAATAGATAAAAAAAATCTTAAGCTACACTACTCTGTGCGCAATATTTAGACTCTAAAATGCAAAAATGACAACAAATATCAAATAAGGGCAACATTATTGTAACCTAATTATAAAATAAAAGATTTTTGACTAAAAATCGTCCACATCTTAAAACTACTGAGATCTTGATAAAAATTGTTTCAAAGAAAAGGTAGGTGAAATATTAACTTACTGGAGGGCCAGGGGGTCCAGGAGGTCCAGGCCTACCGTCTTCACCAGGTTCACCCTGTTATTAAAAACAATTAAGTAAGACAGAGAATGAAATATTGGAGGTATCAAACATTGTTTAATTTCTGTCTAACTTTCAAACAGATCTATGAACGCTTAAGATGAGCAATAATTTATTTCATAATTACAATTCATATAACTGCGTGAAAACATTCCTGACCAATGTATTAATAAACGTTAATGATTTACAATAATAAATACAAAATTTCTTGGCTAAATAAAACTCTAGATTTCGTTACTCTCTTCATAAATGTAAGTAATAAAGTAAAAATCTTACATCTTTTCCAGGCAATCCAGGAAGTCCTCTTTCTCCAGCATGTCCAGGAGCACCCTGTAAGAGAAATAGTATAACATATTATCTAATACTCAAAAAAACATATTAACTTTTAATCAATGTCCAGGTAAAACTGCTACAGCATAATTTACTGCTAAAAATTGTTGAGGATAATAACTTACGGGTGGTCCTGGTTCTCCAGTTTCCCCGCGGGGTCCTTGAAATCCTTGAGGGCCCTAAGGAAAAAAAATAAGAAAAATTTGTGAAAAGAGAGAAAGAGAAAAATATTTGACTATGAAAAATTAAATATAATTAAAAATAAGAATGTGGTTGCCAATGGGAAGATATAATATTTTAAAAAAATTTGGTAATGAAATTCTAGAGAATAGTATATATCTCTTAAGCGTTTATTGAAAATTACTGAGAAGTAAAAAAACTTGCCTAAAGTACTTACTGATGGTCCAGGAGGTCCAGGTGATCCTCGAGGTCCAACGGGCCCCTAGGCATAAAATTTATTTTTAAATTTCAATAGAAAGTAAATCTGAATAATTAAAAAAATTGTAATTCAACAAACATACGCATCAAAGAAAATAAAATGCTTCACATATGGATAAAATTTTATTTGAAATCTCGGAATGGTGTAATGTGTGCATGTGAAGGTCTGTTAGTGATGATTATTGAAATATTTAATTTTGAGAATTCTATTTCATAGCATAGAAAAGCAGCTATTTATGAGCATATTCTCATTGTACTTATCAAAAAGATCTCTTTCCGAAAAAGGGTAAGTTTTAAAATTTTAAAAGTAATTATTCCTCAGTTGTTAGTCGCGATTTTTCTTTGGATTTAAATAGTATAAATTAAAATTTTAAAAACCAAGTAGAATAATATTACTTTATTGTTTTATCGGAGAAAGATTAAACAAAGGAAACTATAAAGTTGTTAAGTTGATTTCGAATATATGGAATTACACTAAATATTTTATTATGAAGAAACAAATTTTAAACAGGTAATTTTTCATTTCTTTTCTTCTTCCTTGAATTTCATTCAGTTTACTTCTAAGATGTATTTCTTCAGGATATATTGTGATTTCCAACGATATTTTAGGTTTATTTAGTCCTAAATTTTTTTAATTTAAGACTAACATGCTATTTGGATCAATTTTGTGCGTAAAGCCTGTAACATACTAAGAAAATTTAGGCGTAATTTTTATTCATGGAAAATAAGCTTGCAAAAGTTTTATTTTTTAACACACTAGGTTTTATTTTATAACAACAGATGCTAAAATAATTTCAAATTATTGAGAATCTCCGAAGTATTTTCTTGTACATTAGAGGATGGGGGAATTTTGAGATTCATAAACAAAACTAAAAATTAATCAAATTTTTCTGAGTAGAAATTTTTCAAAATTTGGCTTTGTATTGGAGGACTGGTCTAAAGTTTCGATATTTTCTTTACATTGCATATGCATCATTTCACAATTTTTTAATACGAATACAGTTTTGTGAATTAATCGTGCAATTAAATTCTTAAAAACATTAATACCAAACAAGAAATTATTGTGCAGCACGTAGTTAAAGAAGCTTTATGCTATGAAAACTGAGTACAAATCTTAACTAGGGAAGATAAATATATTTCGATACATGACAGGTGAAAAGCGAGATTTTGTAATAAAATAAAACTATTGAAATTCCAGAGCATACCGTTATTTATTTTCTTAGCTATAAGCTACTTCACTAGTAATGTGGACCATCATTTTCGTTGATATCTGCTTGAAACCGTAACAAACCGTACAGAACTAAAGTAAAAGTGGGACAAACCCTGATATGTTTCCGAAACTCATATATAAAAGTAATAAGTTAAAAAAAAATTGCCTTAAATGAAAAGTTTTCAATTAAAGTAAAATTTGCAATCCACATCTGGTGGGAAAACAAATCTGTGAATACAAGTTTTAAAAACTCACCTATATTTATCATGAAACTACTGATGAAATGTAGTAAATGAAGTACCTAACTAATTCTTGAAGAGTTTCTCAGCATGATGATAGTCATAATACTCAAAGTGTAACAGTTCAAATTATTTTGTACTTTTCGGATTGCTTTTAAACTGCAAATTTAGAAGGGAAATATTTTCAAAATTTAGCAACTCAGAAACAATTACCTTCCCTCTATATATACAAAGAACTCTAAATTCTTCCAGAAAATCAACAAAAATTAAACGTCTTTATTTTAAAGCCATTATCAACGCGCACTTGCAATGCGCCCGTCAAGACAACCATGACGGTATGATCAAGGTATCGCCGAAAAATTACAAAAAATGCATTCTTTTTTTAATAAACGCTTTTGTTGGATAGCAAACAAATGAATCATATTATAGTGTTAAATTAAAAATGTTTAAAGATTTTTCAGGGCAAGATTTAAAAAAAACTTGAAGGCTTGAATTCAAGGGTTTCGAGAATTCAGATAGTCCTTCATCCATAAATGAATACTATGTATGATGCTGCCATCTACTGGTTATTGTCCATATTAATTGTGATGGTCCTTTGTCTCTCTAACATTCATAAATAATTGTACTTTTTAATATTGTGATTTAAAAAACACTTCAGTTAGATGTTAAATTTCTAAAAAATCTCGAAGTTTAAACATGTAATTTTTTTCACAGCATTTTTATTTATTTATATATTTATTTTTGATGCCGAATCATCATCTCGAAAAAATCAGTTACCCAGGGGTTCTCAACCGGTGGTACGTAAGAGAAAAATAGGTGGTACACAAAGAAGCAAAGTATGTTTAACTATTAAATTCAAAAATTAAAACCTCAATTTCCTGATTGAGTTTTTTCTCGTAAATTTCTGCGACCTGAGTTTACTCAAGGGTGGTGGTGGTAGTAGTACTTTATAGTGGTGGTACTAAAGGTTTTCAATTTTTGTTTAGGTGGTACGCGTTACTCAAAAGATTGAGAACCGCTGAGTTATACGAAACTTTCAATCTCGAAAAATCTGAATCTTCATTAAAAAAGAGGGAAATATTATTGAAGTTTAAAATTTTCCTTGCATATTGTTGAGAAATACGTCAACTAAAACTTTCTAATGAATTTGCAACATATAGGTATTTTAGGGCTAATTTTCTGTAAAATACATTTGATTTATAGGAAACAGGCTAAATGAATCACGGTAATTTTTTTTAACACTTTAAACAGTTTGTCGGCAAGCGAAAATCTATACCTAGAAAGAATTTCTCGATTACTTCAGTAACAAAATATTGCCATACTGGTGATTATTTTGATATGTGCGATGAATGTACTATTAAAACCCATAGAGCAGGATCTAAAACTGTGTTAGAAGAAAAGCAATTTTTAAAGTTCGTGCTAGATTCTTAAAAATTCTGAATACCTCTAAAAATTCGTTCGCCATAAGAAGCGTTCGATGTTACTGTCAGTAAGTGCATGGAAAGCACTTAATCGCAGGGAGCGACAAAATTTTTGAATTTAAGAAGGAACCGGGAGACGGAAGCTCGAAGTCGCAGGTTTATGCGCCGAGCCAGCAGAAAGGTCTAACGCCGGGCCCTGCTTTGAGCGCTGTGTTTTTTTACGGGCAATTCGTTTTCGAAAATGACTTTCTTCGTGAATGCTAAATCAGCTCTCATTCCCACGGTTTAAACGCTACCCACGATTTAAAACCACGAAAAATATACTCACTTATTCCTTTCATTCATTGGGACGAACAACGGGAGTTTAATATTATCTACTCGCCCAGGAGGAGGAATTAAAAATATTTAATACTTATATTCCATTAGATACAGTCAAATTCGCATTTAACGATTTGACCATGATCGGCAATAAAATTCGCTAAACTGAGATTATGAATTAAGAGGCTAAAACAGACACGTAAATATAAAATGAAGCCGCAAAATCCCTGTTATGAACATGAAGATAATCTGTTACATAAGCAATGAAAACTATTTTATATGCTAAGTAAAACGATGGAGCTAAGTCTACTTCGGGCATTCATTTCTTTTACATTTCTTAGGGGGTAGGGGCAGAAATGTTAGAAATTGTTAGTTTCAAGGATTTGGCTGCCAGAATTCCTTTATGAATTTTTTTATAAACATTAAATATTCTATTTCAAATTTTGTACTTTATTAGGTACTTCTGCCCCTCTTCCCCGAGTCTGTAGGCTAGATAAAGTTCCAGTGAGCGGGATTTATGTTGTCTCCACTACATATTTAAAATAAAACCCAATGCTTCCTCCATCACCATCTTACTGTATCACGAAATTCTAGAAATTAACACTAATAGTTATACTACGTGAGACCTATTAGGTCCGTGAACTTTCATTTCATTCATTGACAATATAATCTCCTTTACGATATGGAAATTTCCCATGAGAGAGAATAAATGTCATTGGATTGTATTTTGTTAAAAGAATCCAAGTTTGTTGAGGAAAAATAACTCTTCTGTCTTGGTATTTGGAGAACTCCTGCCTGCAGGTATGTAAATTTTTTTGTGACAGTTTTTTTTCAATCAGTATAAAATACCCTTTATACTTATTAATTCTCAGTTTTGTTCGGAACACAAACTAAATTGTTAAATCTAAAAATTAGTCGGATAACGTTCATTAAATCGCTATTCGACTGATTATCCTCCTTATCATAAAACCTGGCATTTCACGAGGCGCACAATTTTATGATTCATTCGGCATTAAAAATAATGTTTTGCCATAATACAGAAACAATGTTTCGTATTTAGAAGCAGCATGAGCTGAAGCATCTTATTTCTTAAAATTAATCGTCGTTTCATAATTTCTGTCTTAGCTATAGAAAAAAGAATACTTAGTTGCAGATATGTTTATTTGCATTAGGTTTTTAAACCAGTTTTCCGTAGCATCGCAAGTTTTGGGGTTTTTTTTAGTTCTTTGTTTATTCCTCGGAACAAAAAATTCTCGAGAACATTAAATTTCTTCAGGTTAACTTTTGATAATGGAGGTGGAATATATTAGGCGCCGATATATTCCACCTCCATTATCAAAAGATACCAAATTACTCCATTACCAAATGATAACATTAAACGACGAGGAAAAAATATCCTTCAAAATAGCAATTTAATTTAGCTAATATAAGTTCAACTAGAAAAATTAGAAGTAATTTCCCAATATTTTAAATAGGAAAAATGCAAAAATTCATTCATGAACTGTTCATAACTGTTGGAAATTATCTGATTGATGCTAGGATGATACTTAACATTCGGAGGGCATCCTTCATTGAAGAGAGCACTCCAATGTAAAATTAAAAATTACGCAAAAAAGCAATCTAGTTTACCACAGATGTTCTCGGACAATTCCCCTTCCCCCCAGGAGCAGAAAGGAAAAAAAGTTCTGCAAAAGTGTTTTTGCTCCTGAAGAAGAGGACCTGTATCTGATCACCCTCAAAATCGATAGAGTTATTCAAAATCTACATACTAAGGCAGCTTTTTTTTGCCTAATTTTAAATGGTTGACTAAAATCGAAACCAAACTGTTTGGCGGCTTAATCTCTTACTATGCAACATTTCTCTGTCATTTTGCTATTTTTATAATCTATTTTGACTTATTTGGTGACTTTATCCCTTACCTGGCGTACTTACTTCGGTTAAAAAAATATGCTGTAATACGTTGATAATATTAACCGAATGTTTTGTCCCAATTCGCGATGTATTTTCCATGTTTGCGTATACAAACGGGCGGGACCTCGCCAATTCGATAACGATATCCGAATGATAACTACTTTAACCATGATAAAATTAAGTGGCATCTCCCATTAACTTTATATTAGTTAAATGACAGAAAATGCTAGTTGACAAATCTAAAACAGCGTCACAAACAGAAACTGCTTTTCACTCATATTGTGATTGATAGGAATGGAAGGGGAGAAATTATGGTAGCTGTTCTTTTAAATCTCCCGTTGAGTAAAATATCAGCAATTTAAAATATCAGCAAGTTCATCAGCAATTTCCATTCATTCTTAATAAAGCAGAATACGTTATTCGTTTCTATAATAGCTATATATTTTAAAATAAAGACTGGTGAAGATTTTTTTAACATGCACAGCTTCTTTCACCATTTCGGTATCCTGAGCATTACTCTTGTTAACAGCACTTCGCTCAATATTCATGGTAAGAGGAATATATGTTTATATTCTTAATCTATTACAAGAAAATAAGAATAGATAATTTCTTGAATATCAAATTTTATCAATCATTTTACTTTTTTTACTATCACAGGAACTCTTCAATTTTGAAACAACTTTATTCAGTTTGAGCCAATATTTTAGTAATATTCAATATTTTAATATCTCAAAAAGAGATAAACTTTACATTTGCGAAGCCCTAGTATTTATTTCAGTTTATTTTGTGAAAAAAAAATAAGCTTCGAAGCAGACCCTATTTCCTCATTTTATGTTCAGGAAGTACACTGAAGTGACAAAAGTCATGGGATACCTCCTAATATTTTGTCGGTCCTCCTTTTGCCCGGCGAAGTGCAGCAACTCGACGTGGCATGGACTCAACAAGTCGTTGGAAGTCTCCTGCAGGAATATTGAGCCATGCTGCCTCTATAGACGTCCATAATTGTAAAAGTGTTGACGGTGAAGCGTTTTGGGCACGAACTGACCTCTCGATGATGTCCCATAAATGTTCGATGGGATTCATGTCGGGCGATCTACGTGGCCAGATCATTCGCTGGAATTGTCCAGAATGTTCTTCAAACCAATCGCGAACAATTGTGGCCCGGTGACATGACGCATTGTCTTCCATAAAAATCCCATCATTGTTTGAGTACGTGAAGTCCATGAATGGCTGTAAGTGATCTCCAAGTAGCTGAAGGTATCCATTTCCAGTCAATGATCGGTTCAGTTGCACCAGAGGACCGAGTCCATGCCATGTAAAAACAGCCCAGACCATTATGGAACCACCACCAGCTTGAATAGTGCCTTGTGACAACTTGGGTCCATGGCTTCGTGGGTTCTGCGCCACACTCGAACCCTACCATCAGCTCTTACCAACTGAAATCGTGACTCATCTGACCAAGCCATGGTTTTCCATTCGTTTAGGAACCAACCGATATGCTCACGAGCCCACGAGAGTCGCTGCAGGCGATGTCGTGCTGTCAGTAAAGGCACTCGAGTCGGTCTTCTGCTGGCATAGCCCAAGGAAGACAAATTTCGCCGCACTGTCCTACCGGACACGTCCCTCGTACGTCCCACATTGATTTCTGCGGTTATTTGACTCAGTGTTGCTTGTCTGTGAACATTGACAACTCTACGCAGACGTCGCTGGTCTCGGTCGTCAAGTGCAGGTGGTCGGCGACTGCGCTGTCCATGGTGGGATGTTATGCCTGAAATTAGATACTCTCGGCACACTCTTGACACTGTGGATCTCGGAATGTTGAATTCCCTAACGATATCCGAAATGGAATGACCCATGCGTCTAGCTCCAACTACCATTCCGCGTTCAAAGTCTGTTAATTCTCGTCGTGAGGCCATAATCACGTCAAAGCCTCTTCACATGAATAACTTGAATACAAATGAAAGCCCTGCCAAAGCACTTCGCATTTATATATTTTCTACGCAATACTACTGCCATCTGTATATTTGCATATTGCTATCCCATGACTTTTGTCACATCAGTGTATAATCAACTAAGAAAGCTGTAGGAAAGTCTGTCTGTTATATTTCTATAATCAATTTGTGCTGTTAATATTAAATATGGCTTGTACAGGTATGGCAGCTAGAAAGAAGAAGGAAATGTCGTATTTATTAAAGAAAGAAATTGTATAGCTGAGAAATTTTCTCTCAAAAACAACCCATGAAAGAGGTTCTTAGCAATTAGGCTCCTAGTAAATTTGTCTTTTTAATACAGTTAAAGCATTGAGTATTTTCTGATATTCTGTACATGTCCTCTGACATCTCTTTTAACTGCATTTACTAATTTGTAAATATAAGCTATTATTTTTTGTCCTGTTCTGTGTCTTCTAATCACGTGTGCGCAACCTGAGTGCAGCAAATGTTAATTAGCAAGAGATATAAATAGTGCTCTTTAACTATAACTCGTAATTGCCTGATTTAATGGCAGTAAATGGAATTAAACCTGTGAATTCTTCCTCTCGCAGCATTTGCTATCAAATAAGAAGTTTTCAAGGGATAGGTTGTAATTAATGAACTTAACGAATGTTCTCTGATGATCAAGCCGCATATTAACATTTTTGTTAGAGGTGAAACGCTAGGCTTTTGCTAAAGCATTGTTAATAAGGTCCTCATAACTGTGCCAGACCCACCAACGGCTAAGCGGTAAAATCTCTGAACACTGGTAGTTCGATCAGAGGTTCGAATCCCGCGAACGGGCTGGCTGTATGGGCGTTTTCATGGTTTTCCTCATGTGTAACGTGTATACGAGCAGTTTTCCTTACAAATTCATTCATGAAGGCATCCCTCCCCTTAAACAGATAGCTACCTCGTATGCTTTGCCGAAATCAAATAAACCAAACCTTATAACTATGCCAATATCGGGTGAAATTAGCGATTCTATGGTAGTGAGCTGAGTTGAAGAAACTAAATCATTTTTACAACTAGTAAGTTCATTATACATTAACAGAACTTAGTTATACATATTAATGATTGAAAACTATGTGATATGATTAAAAAAGAATGCTTAGTTTCATTTATTTAAAACGTCAAGATCTTATTTTGAGCATTATAGTCCAAGCAAAAATTAAAAAGTGAGAAGAAGTTTTTATGTCATTTAAATAGTTATACACACATTTTTTTACTAAATAAAATTGCTATAATCGGGAAATTAAAGTCTGTTCAGAATTAGTTAAATTATTGAAGAAGTTTATGAATGTTTGTTTGTTTACGTGATTACGGCAAAGCATCGAGGGCTATCTGCCTACAGGGGGAATGCTTTCGTGGAGTACTTTCTAAGGGAAACTGGCTCGTATACACGTCATACATGGGGAAAACCACGCAAACGCCCATACAGCCAGCCCGTTCACGGAATTCGAAAGTCGGACCGAACTACCAGTGTTCAGCATTTTACCGCTCCACCGCTGGTGGCTTGAGTTTATGAATAAAAGCCATGAATAGAAACAAAAATGTTTTAAAACTTTACTAATACATTAAATGTCTAAGCAATCCTTTCCTAAGCATCCTACATAACAAGAATTTGACATCTGTAGTATTCTACGAATATTAAATTTTAAACATCTATAATAAGATGTTTCCAGTGTATTAAGTAGAACCTGAAAGTTAAAAACACCTTTTCTTTCCAATATTCTGAAAAAAAAAAAAAAAAAAAAAAAAAAGAAAAAAAAAAAAAAAAAAAAAAAAAAAAAAAAAACTTGCATTGCAAGTTATTAGGATAACCAAGGAAGGCATTAGGATAACCATTAGAATAATCAACACTATTTTGGTTATTACTGAATTGAAATTCTATGAAGATTTCTTTATAGGTTTAAGTGAGATAAATTGTTATATACATACCACTTGCGCTTGCATGAACTGGAAAGCATCTGGAGATGGTCCTTTATCTCCTCCAATGCCTTGCTGTGTTGCCAGACCTTGAAACCAAGCACTCAGCTGAAGAAAAAATAAGTGGCTTGAATTATATTCAATAAAATGAAAACCGAAGTTTTGATTTGAATTAACTATCTATTATCAATACCAAGCATTATACTTTATACAGCTTTTATTTTACATTATTTATTTATCCTTTCATTTGGACTTGTCCTGTCTCTAAGAAATACGCAAGTATTTCGCAAATTATAGGAATTTTGACTAATCTTTGACGTTTCACTTCTCTATTATAGAAAACTTTATTTACTGATTTCTCATTTCTGCAAATTTAAGAAACTTTGCTTTATTAGCTACCTTCTCATTGCCGCAATTTTAGGAAGTTTTGTTTTATTTGATGGTTTCCCATTGCTTCGGTTTTAGGAAGCTTTGTTTTATTTGCTGAATTCTCACAACTGAAGTTTTTATAACAAGTTGTCATAGTTGCTGAATTATAGCTGCTGCAGTTTTAAAAATTGTTCTATTGTTATTTGTAATTTTGATGCTGTTCTATTATCAGGACCGGATTCAGAAATATCATATATATATATATATATATATACATATATGCATATATGCATATATAATATATATATATATATGCATATATGTATGCATATATATATATATATATATATATATGCATATATGTATGTGTGTGTATACATATACACATATAGGCACATACATTTCTGAATTCGGTCCCGATAACAGAACAGTAACGCAATTTGTTGCCTAAAGTGCTAAGAAATGCTTTGAATTCTAGAATGAAAGCTAGAACGGTTCAATGAAACAAACTGATTTATTTACTGAATTTTAACCATGTCAGTTTAAGAAAATGCTGTTTTATTTGCGAATATAATTTTTTGATTAAAGTAATATGAAATTCTTAGGGTTTTTTTTAATTCAAAAGGGAAGCAAGGGCAGTTTAAAACCATGCAGTTACTTTTCATTTTGATAGATATTCCTAGACATTGTTCTTGAATACAGTACTAGCAAAAAATGTTAATTTGCAGTAATCAGAATTTATTCGAATATTAAGACTATGATAAAATTAAAAACTGTATCAACACTTACATCACCAGGTGGACCAGGGGGACCAGGTCTTCCAGGAACTCCATGAGAACCAGATTCACCAGGTTCTCCCTATGACAAAAATTATCAAGTAAGTTTAAAAATAAGATATAGTTCAGATGTTTATATTTTAATTGAAGATTTGATACTAAACACCACAAATAATATACTATATTTATATTGACTTTTGAATACCACACGCATACTGAGAACTGAAAATAAACCATATGTAACTGGTTTTTGATACTAAAACTCAAATTTTATTAATTAAGCATAAAAATTCGAAGTTATATATGTAAGGTCGTTGCTGATCTCTACGATCGGGAGACATTTTACCACTCTAAAAAATCTCAATAATCCTTAGCAACAGATCAAATATTCATTTTTTGCTATATCTTTAAGAAAAATCAACTATGGTATTTTTCCGTTTCGCCGGCGCAAATCTCACCAAGCAGACTTTATTGGCGACAACATACAGTATGCACATAAAAAACGTTAACAAATGTTAGTTATAAGAGTTTGTTATTTTAAAACGAACATCTTAATATCGTTTAAAATTCTGTAAAAAGGCAATAAATCAACAAAAGAATTAATTTAAGAATTTACTATGCTTTCACGGTTCAACATCCTGATTCGCCGGTTCATATCACGTGATCCCAAGTGATCTCATCTCACGTAAACTACGCTACAAAAATATAATTTCTCAGTAATTATCTACATTAATTTCAAGTTAAATCTCAATTTGGAATACAAGTTTAAATGGAAGAATTATTTCAATTCGTACGAATAGCTTACTCAGAAATTATGTAAAACCGCAGTGCTTTACTTCGCTAGTGCATTCTCAATTAGAATTGATGACCCTTGACTTTGCCTCTTCTACATTTTCGCCTTTGAGTGAGCAGTGTGATTGTATCCTAATTGGTTTAATTACCGCGAATGGCCTTAGGGCATAAAATTGAACTATCTGGTAAAAATTCTATGTAATTGTATGCCAGTATTGAAAGAAACAATCAATCAGATTAGAAATGGCTGCTGCTTGTTTTGAAAATGAGGCGTAAAAAGGTTACCAGCCAGGATATTACGTTTGGTATTAGTTGTACATTCCGTTTGGCAATAGCGACTTTATCGCCTGCGCCGGCAAAACGGAAAAGTACCTCAACGGTAAATTATTACTATTATGAAATATTTTATCTACATTAATATGCCTTTTCATTTCAGCAAAGTACATAGAAAGACGCAAAAAGATATTAAAAAAGCGTACATGTCTGTATCTTTAAAAATAGGATAGTAAGAAATGTGATTTCTTCCTGATAGATATTTACTTAGATAATAACAGAGACTTTCAGTAAGTGAAGAATTATACGTACTCTTTCGCCAGGGTATCCAGGAGTTCCGGGTTCTCCAGGTTCACCCTATGGTAAAAAAAAGTAAAGTCCTTTATAAAAGCATTTCCTATGGGACTAATAAAAAGTTAATTATTGTAATTCATTTCGAAATATAATCATTTATAGTTTCCTTCGTCAATTCATGCATTAAAACGTCATACAGTCTAGCGTGATCAGAATTAGTAAAAAGTAGGATAAAAGAGATAATAATCCAGATTCTCAAAGATAAAAGTATGAATGTTTGCGAAAATGTTGCCTACTTTAAAACAGAAAATAAAAAAGCATGAACGTTGTCTTTACTACAGGTAATATATTCCACAGTATACGCAAGATGTTACAACTGTTGGATCGTGATGTATTATCGAAAATTTCATATATTAGTAATTTAAACGTTTAAATAAAGTAGGAGATATTATCATTACAAATCTGCTTGTATTAATGGCAAAGTTTAGTAAAATGTTGTCACAACAGTGAATTTTTGAAAATATCAAAAGCTTTGAAATCTATTCAATCTTAATCTGGTTCTGAGATTGAATCATCTGGCTTTGTTCTCGTGTTAAAGTGCAGCTGCGTTCGAATACTTAACCGTGCCGACCAATGTCCGACCGCTGAAATCGCTGAACACTGGTAGTTCCGACCTGGGTTCGGGCTAGCTGCGTGGGTGTTTCGGTGGTTTTCCTTATGTGTAACAGGGATACGAACCAGTTTTCCTTAGGCAGACAGCCCTAACAAACTTTGCCATTACTATAGAGTTTGGCTTATTTTAGCAGCATAAGCTAGTATCAACATCCTAACGGACGTTAAGCGAATTATCGCTATATCTGAACTTAACTAGAAAGTCTTAAGGTTTTAAAACAAACCCTTTTTTTTAACTCGGAACTGGAAATTAAATGCACGTCTCGTGCTTACAATTCAGCCAACCATATGTGGCGATGTAAAGTAAATTCAGCCAACCACATGTGGCGATGTAAAGTAAATTCAGCCAACCACATGTGGCGTTGTAAAGTAAATTAAGTTCAAACTTAAAATTAAGCTCGTAGTCAGACTACACAATTCAATTTAACGCGAAGTTGGCTCATAGATCTAACTGGCGTAAGTATTTTAATATCGGCGCTATAATGCAAAGCCGAAGAATGGATCTTATCTCACCTAGCAAAAACCTAGTAACGTAGTTTCAAGAGTCAGAACATGTTATGAATTAAACTTACAAAACCTTCCTTGTCTGATTCTACCTCATTTACATTCTGCGAGAGAAACGGAAAAGAAAAATATCAGTAAAGATCCAAAACATTAAATAACTGGTTGGTGCATTGTTGCTGTTCATAAACAGCCTTCATGAAACTTTCAGTTCACTGTAATATCACTAAGAGATATAAGTAATTTATGTAACTAAGATATATTACCTAATTTGAATCACGAGTGCTTTTGAATACTTTTGAACTTGCAATATAGATTTTTACGATGGCAGATAATAAATCTGTCACCGGAATATCTAATAATCATATAAGGTGTTGATTAATTTTTTCCTTCTGTTTTACCAGACATTACTTTTAATAGCGTCAGAACAAGAAGTATCTGAATTTATTGTTATCCGCAGTATCTGTCTTCACTTATATTTTATTAAAATTAAGTGTTTACTACTTCAGAAGTCTTTCTTTGAATGAAAATGAAAACTTAACATTATGTATAAAACATGAAATTGTTAATTAGTGTTCAGACATCCTCACATTCCTTTTACTTAAGATAGTCCCTGTTTTTTGATTAAAAGATAACGCTTCTTAGCGCTTTAAAATTTCGAATGAGTTATTGTGGAATCTCTTTAAAGTAAGCTTGATGAAAGACATACGACACTTAATTTGGTGTTAATTTTAAATTCATACTTATGAGGAACATATCAAGGCTGAAATACTAACCAATAATGTTTAACAATCTACTTTTGCAATCTATATTGCCAATATTTTTAAGATTATTTCTAAAAGTGAAAGGATCTAATTTAAAGTGTTTTCCATAGAAGAGTGTCTTGTTCCGCTCTGGCAGAGTGAAATGCCTATCTAAGAAATAGTATGTTGTTCTGAATATTGTGTAGCACCATTTATATGTTTCGTATTTACTCGATTTTTATATGTATATGTGAAAGAAAGAAATTGGAGAATGTCGACTTTCACCGGAGAATGTCAACATTCACCAAATACGTTGGTGAAAGATCGAATATTGTAATTACACTCTTGTACATTCAGACCCTCACCGATGTATGTCGACAATCACAGATATGCTCTGGTGTAGGTAAAAAAGAGAGGTCATAAAGTGTCATAATAGTTTAAGTGGTTGCAATGAATAAGATTTGAATCACATAATTTAGTGAGTTTTTTATTACTATTATTTTATTTTCTCATATAGAAGGTACTGTATAATTAAGTTTTTAACTTCTAATATTTTCTTTTCTCATTTTGAATGTACTATGTGTTTAAATTCTTATGTTCTTAAGTTCTTATTTTAAGTCTCAAATGCGTTTTTTCGCGACTGAATTACGGAGAAGAAAATATAATATTCCTATATGTTCAACATTCACCATTAGTACATGGTGAATGTCGACATTTACCGGTGTAAGTCAGAAATAAGAGTATTTGGAAAATATCTCGGACATACACCAAGCAACTAGGTGAATATTGACATTCACTAGTGAAAGTCGACATTCTCCAGATTTCGATGTTTCACCGTAACATATGTACCATTTCGTCTACGTCCAATACGATTCTAGTCAAGTTAAAAGTTTCTTTTTACCAATGGTGGGCTCTAGCCGTTTATAGACGTTGGTCACTACTAAGGCCGGAAGTGGTGGTCCCTTTACTATAGAGGCACCAAACTGGTGAGCTACCGTTGCTTCCTATGAAGGCACAGACAATTTATATCCATGCCTTCTCCGGGATTCGAACTCGGGCCCTTCGGTATGGCAGTTACAGTCACTGACCACATTTCCGTTTGAGCGGCTTCACGTTAAGAGTAAAATATTTCATTTGCGCAACATTTGGTTATACATCATCTCTCCGCCGATTCACTTATCAGCATTTCTTTTCGGGATTTCACGTAATTTTTCTGAATATCATTTCTTTCGGTTACATTTGAACCGAGAGAAAAAACAAAGACATGGATAGAAAAGTACTGGTGTTGAAATCCGTTTGGGGCATTGGGTGTGAGGGGGGTTGCGTGGGGTGACAGAATAGGCAACGCATTCTGCTCACCAGAATAATTTGCTGACTGGAGATTTGCGTCACATGATTTTAAATACGATTTAACTCTTTCATTGCTACGGGCGCGTATATGCGTCCATCAAAAACCATCGGTGCAGCCTATGGGCGCTTATGTGCGTCCGGAGCAGGCCATTGGTGTAGACCAGGGACGGGGAAATTACGGCCCGCCGGAAGGTTCTATCCAGCTCGCGGATAGAATTTTAATTTTCCGGTCCGAGGCAAATTAAAATAAATACATATTTATACATTATATATCCGTCTTCTTTTCTACTTTGTTGAAATATTATTTTTTTCTTCCTTTTTCCAAAGAACTGATAATCTTTGTACTTTCTCTATTTTTGTTCTACAAAATATAAATTGACGGAAATAGCAAGCACAGACAGCTTTCAATCGGTAAAGTGTTAAAAGCGAAAGTTCTTTGTTAGTTATAGTTGTAGATTGGCGCCAACAAGCGTTATTTGTTTCTCGGGGAGCAAACATATAGGATTCCAATATAGGTGAATTAGACCTTTAAGAAAAAACTTAACCTTAACTTAAAACAAAACAAACATCTTAATCTTAACTAATAAGCTTAATTTTAACTTAAAACTTAATCTGTTTGCTGGGCAGCTAGCTAAGAACGACTTGTAACATTTCCCGAGGTTAAAGTCAATACCCTCAGTAAATGAAGAGAACGTTAAGAATCATGAAGATGGCTTGAAAAAGACTGCATTTTAAGGTCGAACGAAGATTTAAAGATTTCAGTGCCATTCAAACAGAATTGGATATTTTTACCATGCCTTTCAACGCAAATTGTGAACCAGTGAGGTCAGATTTGCAGCTTGAATTAATTGACAGTCATCTTAAGCAGTTGTTTCTAAATAAGCCTAAGTTAGAGTTTTTCAAATCATTATCGAAATTAAGTTTCCCAAATTTAATATCTCACGCCCAGAAAAGCAGTACTATGTTTACTTCATCTTATATATGTGAAGAAGTGTTTTTAACTATGAACATTAGAAAGAATTATTTCAGAAGTAAACTGACAGACGAGCATTTAGCCTCGTTCCTTAGAATCAGCACATCTCACTTTGAACCTCAATGTAAGGAACTTATAAAAATGAAATCGCAATTTCATTCATCTCATTAACTTATTTAAATTGTAAGATTTGTATATTGTTTTTACAATTTTAGAAAAATTTTTCTTGGCCCGCCAAACTTTTTTTTTTTTTTTTTCGATTTTTGGCCAGCGACCGAAAACGTTTGCCCATCCCTAGTGTAGACTATGGACAAGTGGACTATGGACAAGACTATGGACAAGACTATGGACAAGGACATTCAACAAGTGCGCAAATGCGCACTTGTTGAATGCTTTGGCCGTTTACTGCTTTCTCATGTGTATATTCGATCAATTTTTGAATATAAATCGGAAATAATTAAATTGCTAAGACTTAAGGATTTCTTAGTTAAAAGCTGTTAGTTAGTTATACAGAAAATGTAGGTGAAAAAAAAGCCTTTTTTCAGGATAAAGCAGTAGAAAAGGGAAAAAGCAATAATCTATGAAACACAGCAGTTAAGTATATACCTAAATTTTAAAACACTTTTACGTAGTTTGAAAAATTTTAGAACAAAAATTTGATTATTGACGCATACATCTTTATCTTTCAAAATTTCTGCTAAAATTTCAAACATTCAGGCCAATTAATTTTAAATATTTATTATTTTTGCAAAATCTGTAGAGACATTTGGTTATTTCGAAGCAAAAGGCATGAAAAATGATCAGTGCCCTCGCCGGGCCTCGGACATCTCTAATACACGCTGAGCGTGCTGACCATTTCACCACGAAGGCATGCTAAGAAAGGGGAAGAAATACCTTACGGGTCCTTAAGATGCTTATCAAGAAAAGTGCTTTAAAAGTTTATCATTTTATTACACAATATCACAATTTTAAAACAATGTTTTTATATCGTATACTTTTTCGATATATATTGCAACAGCACGTAAATAGTTATAATATTCTGATCATCATATTTATAATTTGCCTTTTAACATCACAAGTACGGTAACATCTTATAAAAACTGCAGTTTATTTTGAACTCACTTTCGCATTAATCCATAGTTAAGTAGTAACTGACTACTCATACTCATATACGCTTCAGTTGATTTATAATGTGGCAGAATGATTACTTGAAATAGCTTCCTTTCTAATTACGAAGTAACTGTCCTTGAAGATTTCATGATAAAAAATTAATTCTATTAAAAATAGAGTATTTTAATTCAATCATTAATAGCTACATCTTTCTTGCATGAGAGGGTAAAAGAAGCTGCTAACTGAGGTAAAACTACACCTCTATTCTGAACCAATACTCCTTACATAAAAACAAACCTATTACATGTAAGAATTCATTACACAGGTTATTTATAACAACCACTCATAATTTCAAATTACCTTTACAATTTTTATTTTAGAATTGTATTATTTTTTGTATATTATTTATATATATACAATATCACTATAATTATTCAGTTTCGTTACTCATTAATTTTAATCCTTAATATATTTCATATGCATTAAATTAGTAATATGCAGAACTATTCGTATCTTTTATCTAACCTTTTCCGTAGCAAATCAGATTGATTTCTTTCATAAATGATATTTATAGATGAAATTATCTTTTAATTTCAATATTAATGTCAAGAAGAATTTTCATATGATTCTTAGCGGCCGAGCGGTCTAGTCGCTGAACACTGGTAGTTCGGTCCGAGGTTCGAATCCCGCGAACGGGCTGGCTGCATGGGCGTTTTGGTGGTTTATACCATGTGTAACGTGTATACGAGCCAGTTTCCCTTAGAAAGTCCTCCATGAAGGCATCCCTTCCCTTAGGCAGATAGCCCTCGAGGCTTTGCCATAATCACACACACACATATGATTCTTATATAGCGCACAAATCGCGTGTAATTACATAACGGCAAAAGTAAAACTGAAGTTATCCAATCATAATAAAATCGAAACTTTTAAGTAACTCACTGTATTAAATCGATACCCTGTCCCTTTATGGGAAATTAAAATAACTTCATCATTCTTAATCTAGACATAAGTAGCATCTAGACATCTGTGCTGCTCTAAGCTTTGCCCTTGTTCTACTTGCATGTTCTCCTGCTTTTCCTTTTTCCTAGTTATGACCTTTGTATATAGAAGAGTGTATATCATTACTGAATAATGGATGTCAGTTTAACTATATATATTTTCTTCAAAAACTCGATGCAAAGAATAAAGAGCTATGTCAACTGGCCATTTTTATTATATTTCATTTTGTATAGCCATCTGTCTTCAATGTCAGACCCAAAATTTCATCCAATAAAAGCCACCAGGGTTTGTGAACTTGTACGGTATCTACATTCCTTTTTCGTCTGGTAATCATGCACAGTGGAACGTTCGTTCGTGATTGCTGAACAGAGCGTGTACCTATCGAAGTGCTTGTAGTACTCTATTACGTTATTCTGCGGATTAAATTCATTAAATTCAGTTGATTTATTTAAAATACTAAGAACATCCGGTTGTAGAGTCATTAGGATTCTTTTAGAGGCAGAAAAGATGAAAAATATGCAACCGCCCTCGCCGGGAATCGAACCACGGACCTCTGGAATACCGGCCCAGCATGCTACCGTTACACCACGAAGGCACGCTAGGGAAGTGGGAGAAACACCTTATACGGTTATTAAAAGAATCATCTGCAGCATCACCAAATTTTTATCAGAATGAGAAATGACAGGGTACAACCGGTACCGTTCAGTAAATAAGATTTTAATGCCATCTTTAAACTTTCCAAATTACTTATTGAATTAAAAACATTTATGAGGACACTCAATATATATTGTGAACCTCTCCAGTGGTTTGATGGTAGTTGAAAAGAGATCGATTTTAATTCTGGGCCGGTCCCCCGGGGTGTTTTTCTTCAATATTGGGCTAAATTGATAGCGAAGTCGTACTGTCTGTCACGTATATCAAACTCATGCCAACTACAGACGCAATTTTGTACTCTTGCTATGATAAAATTTGGGAGCATGTTTTGATGTGGTTAGACAAGTGAGATTAGCCACATGTTTATGTGATATAACTATAGCTCTATCCTTCTCTGTATAGATATATCAGACAAATTCACATAGAATATAGCGTAGTACACTGATTACATGTAATCTTATATGTATTGTAGAGTCATTAGGTATTTTTTCTAAAGCAGGAGAGATGAAAAATGAGCAATGCCCTCACCGGGACTCGAACCAAGGACCTCTCGAATACGCGTCAAGCGTGCTGACCACAACACCACAAAGGCATGCTAAGAATGCGGGAGAAATACCTTATAATAAGATCGTAATACAGTGCATATTATAGACATATTTATCTATAAATATATAAGAGAAGTAAAATCAAATTTAAATGTTTTACTGAAACGCTCTTTTTCTAAAGCTAGGCATCTGTTTCTGCGTGAACTAAATTGTTACATCTCCAGAAATGTATAGGACTTTCTTTAGCTAATTTTACAACTGCCATTAATGTCTTGACATGGATCCGTATCCTGTGATAATTTCGTGATCTTCACTTTTTTAACTAACCTTGTAAGAAACTCGGCATTTCTCCCATAAGCAATTACGCGAAGAAAAAACTGGAACAAGCTTCTTAATCTTTATGTTTCCAAACTTGAATTGCACAGAAGGGGAAATGGAACGATATAAAGTGCAATCTTATACATATGTATGGAACTCCTTTTTTTCTAAAAAAAATCCTAACCTATTTTTAAGTACTTAGTTGATAGTTGACAGCAGACAAGGGCACCAGAGATTTACCATTGGTTTAGAGGGTGTTGCCCTTCGACGGCAGCAGGAAATACTTCTAGCCACATTCCAGACAGAGCGGAGGCGTCATTAACTAATTAACACTTTCTCTGTGAAGGAATTTCAAGCCCATGCGACAGATGGAGTACATTCAGTCGTGACCAGTTACCAGTGTTTTCCAATTACATTATATATAAAAATGATCATAAGATTAATTTTATGTAATGGAAACCAAAGGCTTAAAAGTGGCACTTAAGCACCTCTAGAGCGACATTGGTCAGACGGGTTTCGGGATCGCCATGTGGTAATGTTTAACTCCATAAATACGCTTACAGTAATATTACTGGTTAATCGCTTGCATACGCCAATAGGAATGAAAAGAATGAATCATTATTCATGTACTGATAATATGAGATAAAAAGCTACACTCACCTAAAATTTATAATATAATAATGCTAATGCAGAATGTTTAATTTTGAAGCAATAAAATTTAATTTGTAATCATAAGGAACGCATTTCCGTATAATGATTATATTAGCCATTAGCAACCAATAATAATAGATAATACATACATTAATAGATACAATCAAATAATTGTAAATTATCATTATTCGATTATTATTATTATTTTTGTGATATTTTTTGGTGCTAATACAAATAATGGTGAATTACCTTTTACCTCGCTTGCTTCTTATGGTTCTTACGATGTAGATTTGCATTTGAAATTTACCAGCAGCAAATAAAAAGTACTATTACTTATTCACATTCTAATGCATCTTATTGATCTAAATTTAAGTTTACATATTTTATTAGTATATATTTCGTAGGAACAATGTGTTTGATATACTTTTATTATAAATGGAATAGTCGTAGACGCTAGATGCTTACACGGATACTGCGAGTTTGATTCCTGTGGAGATTGGGGATATTGCTTCTATAATTGAATGCTTCAGATATCGAAACAAGGAAGGTATGTGCAAAGCAGCTTTTGAGCAGTACTTCATCGAACAAAATTTTCACAAAGCAATTGGTAACAAAGTTATAGCTTAAACCTTTAATAATTACTTTTAAGGTATGCTTACCCGTGGTCCTGGAATAGGCACAATGGGATAACCAGTTTCTACAGCTTCTCGTGGTACTTCAGATGGTTCATCTGGCCCCTAGAATAAATATAAACAACATCAAATATGTTATTTCATATAAGAGTTAACCAAAATAAAAAATTAAAAAAAATAGTAAATTAGAGTTTCCTGGATTTTATTTTAATTGGCAAGAACTGTCATTATATTAGGGGCATATTTCTTTCCTAATCTTATTTTATTTTTGTACTTTAAGCAACTGCCTCTTTCTTGGTGATGAATACAGATTAAATTTTATTGCTATTTCATACAGTGTTGAATAACTTTATGCTTTCTTTGTCAAAAATAATAAGTTCTGAAATTCCGCCTCATAAAGAAAGATGTTTCTACAACTCATATACTTTGGGAATATAATATAGAATTAGATATCCTTCTTTATGGCGAATTTTCTTACACAATTATAAAGAAAATATACAATTTTGATTATACCATAGTGCCGAAAAATGTTTTGTTAGTAGGAAGTCTTGAAAACTCAATTGTACCCTCACCGGGATTTGAAGTTGAGTCTTTAAGTGTTTGTCAGATGCATCAACTACCTCATCACAAAAGCACACGTCGGAAACGTTTTTATTTCCTTACGTCCCTCTCTCAAAGGGTGAATGGGAGGGGGATGCGATATGGTATAGCCTTTTCTTCCTAAGTTGGTTCCTAACAATTCTAAAGAACAAGTACAAAGAACTTGTTCTTTAGACCTTTTTCTTTATATGTAACACCTTTAGTTCTGGGACCGCTTGTAGGATCTTTAGGTTTTGGTAAGTTGGAATTTGAAAAATGCATTCGAACTTCTATGGGAATGGATAATGGATCACCATATGTGATCCATAAAGAGATCATAAGTGAAGAACGTCATGAATTATTTAAAATATTTGATGTCTGAATATAAAAGCAAAGGCACAATACATTATTACTAAACATAATGTTTGCTTACTTTTCGTACATGAAATCCACTGTCCGAGTTATTCGATTAAAAGTAAGTAAGTAAGATTTTATTCAGTAACATTTTTTTTTCATTTCAGCAAAGAAAATGTTTAAAAAATGCAAAGTATTAAAGAGAAGGAAAACTTACTTGCGGTAGTACTGTTTGTTCCGGTTCTGTAGTTTCTTCATCCTCTAAAACATGAATAAAGTATGAAAACTTTAGATGTAGAAGAAAAGTACGTCATTTTAAATTTTAAAATTAGACAAAATTCAACTCTAAATAGATATAATTGCGCGGAAAAATTTTATCCATCTCGAAGATTACTCATATGAATTCTGTCTTTCTAAAGACCAAAAATCTATCTTCTAGACCTTGAATGAAAAGGACTTTGTACTTGTTCTTTAGAAATGGAGGTGAGTGTAAACCTAAGTTAGAATTTTGCCTAAGTTTTAAATTATAAAAATTTTGCTATCCAAATTACTACTGTCTTAGAACAAATTTTTTAAGCAAAATATTTTATTAAATAATAATATTTCACACGAACATATTAAAGGGAAAAGGACTTAAAAATTTCTTTCATTATTCACAAACTATGATAAATTAATCTAAATAATCTACTTTCCTTCATACACTTTACGGCACAAGCTTATGTCAAACAATACCTGCCGATCCTTTTAACTAAAAGAGGCCATCCGACTTAGATACATGCAAGTTAAAAGAGAAAGAACGAACAAAAAATTTAAAAAAAAAAAATTCAGAACACACCTTTTAACTGCGTACTTCCTCGTTAGGTTATAACCAGTTTTGCATTTTTCTTAATTTTATCCTATAACATAAAATCAACATGGCTGAGTATCGCGTAAAACACATCATGTTCTCAGGTTTGCACATACACCAATTTAGTTCTGTTATTCAATGCGGCGCAAAATCAGTTTCCGCAGCACAAAATCAAAAGGTTTTTGCTGTTGGGGATCCAATTCAAATCATCAGCTGTCGACGTGTCTTGGGAAAACTATATTACGCTCATATCCATACTTGCGTTTACTACTTAATCTGTCAAACACGCTCTCCTTTTAATTCTACTTACATTCAGGTTTGCATGGAGCATAGCATTTTGGTCTTCTTTAGCTAAATTAGACCTAATTAATAAAACCACGATTGGAAAGTATATAGTAGTCTAATGAAAAGAAAAATATAATGATACTATCTGAGATAACCCTTTATGACAACGACTCGTAATGTATAAGATAAGTGTGAGACTTACCGACGCATATGGGGCAGCATTTTCCGAGGGGAATGTACTTTTGGGTCTTGCACTCTATAGGAGGGCATTCCTCTGTGTCGCAGATGGAGTTTCCAAGGACACATTTGCACGAGGTGCACGCATCAGGGCTCCATTCTTCGCCGTTTTCATAGTACTCTCCATCGTATTCACAAGCAGTTTCGTCGTAACCTAAAGTAGGAAAACATTTACATTTTAAATATACTTTTCTCGTCTTTGTGTAAGTGATAAAGTATACATAAAGATTCACAGAATGTGCATTTTGCCGGACCTCCTAACCAATGACTTGTACGGAATTTTCATCATATTTTTCATACTGAAATCCATGAAAAATAAAATTTTAATTACATATTTAAGTAAATAATAAAGTTCCCTAGCAGTGAAGTATTTGATTTCATCCCGAGATTCATTCTCATTTCAGTGTGATTAAGAACATATTTTTTCGATATCTAATACTTGTTTCCTTGAGCATATAGTGCCCTAATGTTCAAGCAGTTCGCGGAAATTACTTGTAGGTCAGTTAGAAAGGTTTAACAGATCCACATCACAAGATGAACGTAGGAGGGATGTCTTAATTTCTGACATTGTTTCCCTATTAAGCGACGAATGGAGAGAACGGACAGAACCTAGTCGACCAAATATAGGTTGTGACGAGTTACTACGCATATTTTAGTTTGTACACCTTTGTAGAGGTTATTAGGTTTTTCTTGAAGTGAGGATCGGGAAACATCAGCTTTGCGCTTTGCCCTCGCAAGGACTCGAACCATGGATCTTCCACTTTCTAACGGGAGGTGCTGCTAACCATTAAACTACAAGATACACACTCTAAAATGCCGTTATTCGCTACTAATATTAAAAAAGAAAGGTTTAGGAATATCAGGTTATAAGATATTTATCTCGCCTTCTTAGCATGCCTTCGTGGTGTAGTGGTCAGCACACTCGACGCGTATTCGAGAGGTCCGTGGTTCGAGTCCCGGCGATGGCATTGCTCATTTTTCATCTCTTCTGCTTCCAAAAACTCCTAATGTCTGCACAAGGTTATTATAGAAATTTATCCCCTAGTTTCATGAGACAGAGACTTTATTGTGAAAATAGGAAGAGAATGAAACTGACTGGTAAGGAATCTGCCATGAAATACAGACACAACACTAGAAAAAGATGAAATATTCAGTACAAGGTTCAATGTTCCGTCTTACTTTCTTTGGGAACATGCAAGGACCTGACTCGGAACAGAGAGCTTACTAAAGCTATGTTCAATAACTGTGGGAAGTAGACAGGATACACAAGAAGGGTATACAAAACCCTTTATTTTTCTCTCTTTACAATATTTTCCGTACTTCGGAATACAAAGACCCACTACTTGTGGTCTAAACGTAAGAATATAAAAATATAACTAAACTATAACTTAACTTTGAAATAATAAACATGGAAGATTGGCCTTATATTAACAGGAAGCCGTATGTAGTACAGAGAACTGTTAACACTACAATACGTTTAAAATTATCAAGAGGATTAAACCTCTGGCCTGGAAGGCAACCAGCAACTGAGTGAAACTTCTAAGGCAAGCGGCCTGCTTCGTCTAACTCCTTCCTCTCTCTCGCTTGGCAAAAAGCCACAACTTAAGTACTTGGCGTTCGCCAGACAAATTTTGCATAAATAAGTTAACGCTTATAATTCTGGCCGGAAGTAGAAAATAAGAAGTGATAGTAAAGATTTAAAATAAAATAAACGTTAGTAAAACTTAAGATCCTTACACAATCGCTAACAGAATGCTCACACTGAGGCTAAACCTCTCTGAAAATTTACGAGCGTATTTGAAAAGATTCTTAATCAAATTCTTCTCTTCTGTCTAAGACAGAGATATGTGCAACAGTTGCTCCCTTCTCATCGAAATAATGTAAAGCCCTTGTTGTGTATTTTCTTGATGAAGTTGGATGGTTGAATTTTATGAACTAACGAACACCGTTCAATTTTACAATGAGTTTTAGCATATATAATTGCATAATCTGGGCAATGGAGATTCCGCACGCAATTCAAGAAGCTCTAATCCTCTCTTTCCTCATTAGGAGTAAGCTGTAATTTTTCGGCGAGTCTAGGCCTTATTGTCTTGATATATATGTAGAGACATTAGGTTATTTCGAAGCAGGAGACTTGAAAAATGAGCAACTCCCTCGCCTGGAATCGAACCATGGACATCTGGAATACGCGCTCAGTGTTCATACCACTACACTACGAAGGCATGCTAAGAAGGCGGGAGAAATACCTTATACATACTCTGTTCGTAGTCACAGGTATGCTACTCTTCATTAAATATTGTAATTTGAATGAGAAAGAAACATCAGTACTTTGACTTAACAGTTTTAATCGAGAATTGTAGTCGATGCCAGCCTTATATTGCACCTTTCAGCAGACGAATGATTAAGACCGTTGAAAACTTGGCAATAAGGGGTCGAACACAGGTGAGTGTTAACTGGCTAGTTTTCGTGAATTCTCCCTTGTGTAATGTAAATACTAGCCAGTTTCCTTTAACATTCTCCAAATGCTCTTTACTTGGGCAGATAGCCCTCGTGTGCTCTGTAATATGAACCTGGCCAAACTTAACTTAACTAGCAGCTGTTTTGAGATGAAGGTTACATTTGAAAGAGCAATAAGCCATAATCTTTCAACAATCTACGCAGTATAATCTCTTCGGATCTCAACTAGAGTGCCTTTCGGATTAGGAGAAACATAAACGCCTTTGCTTTACTGCGACAGTGGGAGAAATCCAATAGATCTGAAGTCTAAAAATTACAACAGAAGCTGTGGTACAGGTTTTTATTTACAGTGTACAACTGTAAAAGGGGAACAACGCACAAGAAATACTGCCGAATAAATCAGAAGAAATATAAATTTAAAGCAGCAGATTTTTTTTACAAGTTAGGTAAAGCTGCTCATTTTTCATGCTAACTAACGATTTTATGATATGTGATTGGAGTTCCTTTTCCTCTCCTATTAGTTCATATTTGCGTGCAACTTTTACCTTCTAGCGACGCAATTTGAAAATGATTGATTTTCTATCAGAATCAAATGCTCTGCCTGGAAGAATTCATTCAATGCTTTACATCATTTTGGTAAATATTTAGTTTTTTACAGCCATGTAAATGCGAAATTTTATTCCCTTTATGTACATTGTTTTATCTTACAATACAGTGGCTCCCAAAATTGTTAGGACATCTAAATATGTGCTGTAAATGTGGTATTTTAGAGAGTTAATTAAGAATGTTTTTAACATATAGTACTTTTACTCTATTCTCAATAACAGTAAGCATAACTTTTATCAAAATAATAATTTATTATAATATATTTCATAATATCTCTATTAACATTATCCCATTCTTTGGCGATCATTTGGTTCAACTCAGCGTTTCATTAAATGCTGTGTTCCTTCCCCATTACTTCCAATTCTTGAGGTTTTATGTTCTTTTGTTATGCGTTCTTATCACTTCCGAGCAGCATGAAGGTCGCATTTTAAAATATGTTTAGAGTGCCTGTTTTGATAAATATAATGTTTTTTCAGATTCTCAGTAGTTATGCTGATGTTTTCAACTTATACACTCATGTCCATAAATTAAGGATAATGCAAAATCAGGCAAAGGAAGAGTTAGAAGCAAAACAAATTTGACTTATTTGTAAAGCTTATTTATTAAACAAAAGGCAAAGAGCAAAAAAAGATGCTATATGTTTGATATTATTAAAAAAATTAGAGAATTTTTCTCCCTGGAGCAAATTACAAAAAAAAAAACCTATATACAAGAAACCAATATTACATGGTTGGTATGATTGTTAATACATTGTATGTCTACTATATGATGCAATACAGTCCGTACAACGCCTAGGTATGCTGAGTATCAAATTATCGATCTGATCTTGGGGGATATTACACCACTCAAAAAGCAAAGCTCTCCGAAGTTCCGGTAGACATGTAGGAGGAGGTTGACGGGCTGCAACTCGTCGGCCAAGCATGTCCCACACGTGCTCTACTGGATTCAAGTCCGGTGAGAATGCTGGCCAGTCCATACGGGTGATATCCTCCGATTGAAGGGATTCGCTTACGATGTTTGCACGGTGAGGACGGGCGTTGTCATCCATAAACACAAATTGTGCGCCCATGGCGACCCCGAAACAAATGTACATGTTGTTCCAGAATGACGTCCCGATAGATTTGGCTTGTCATGGTTCCAATTTGAACATGCAGGTCAGTTCTGGAACCCAGAATAATTCCACCCCAAACGAGCACCTCCTGCACCACCGTAACGGTGTCGTTCAATGATGTTTTCTTGGTGGTAACGGGTACCTGGAGCTCTCCATATGAAAGTCCGGCGAGAATCAGACTGCAAAGCTAAACCTGGACTCGTCGGAAAACATCACACAAGCCCACTGTTGCGGTGTCCACAATGCATGCTCTCTACTCCAGGCTAACCGCAGGCGACAGTGAGTTGCAGTAAGTGGAACGCATCTGACAGGTCTACGAGCATATAGACCAATCTGCCCTAAGCGTCTGTACACGGTCTGCCTTGAAATTGTCGTACCAGTGGCTGAAGAGAGCTGACGAGACAGGTCTGAGGCTGTGCTCCGCCTGTTTCTTTGGCAGTAACTGCCAAATACGGTCCTCATTCGGCGTTGTAACTCTGGGGCGACCTGTGCTGTAACGTCTACTCATATTACCATCATCTTGGAATCGTTGCCAAAGCCTGGAGATGACACTCAGGGCAATTCCAAGTTCGTCTGATACTTGCAGTTGGGTATGCCCACATTCCAGACGGCCGATAATTCTATCACGTAAAAAATCATCCAAATGCATCCTTTGTGTCATAACTATTCGGTTATTGCACTGAAATGCTTATAAAGCGCCTGCGAACAATTTTACTTCTTGCCTGTATTCCTTATATATCACTCTCTTACACTCTCGTCATTGTGACGTACCATCGGTGTCATCTGGTTACTTTCTGAAATTTGCATATGATTCTTGCAAGATGTGTGTAGTGATTTTACAGGTGATATATTTATTTTAGAGTTCGATTTCCGCGTGACTCCGAATTATCCTTAATTTATGGACATGAGTGTATTTTGAATTGTTTATATACTTAAAAATATTAATTATAGTTACAACAACGACCAGTTTACTTACTTTT